ACGGTAGTAAGAGATGATTAAACAAACGACAACCACAGCAGGACAACAGAAGGATCCGTTGAGCACCATCATCGCAAGTGTGAGCTTCAGTATAACGCAGAGAAACGTCTACTCACTCAGCAGAGCCAAATCTAAGGTGAGATGCATGCAAGAAAAGTGAGAAATGAGACCAGCTCCAGACAGAAGAGGGGCCTGATTGGTCACGGGCCGCCAGCGGTGAGGCGTACCGATCGCTGCGCGTTGACATTAGGTGTAATTACTTCAACACATACATTAGATGGAGGCATTTCATCATCCAGTCTTGTGGGATGAGTGAGCCAATCAGGAGACGTCTGTCCTCCACATTGCAATGGATCGGTTACAGGAACTGGGAGAGGCGCGCTGCAGACCGGAGGACTGCTCTCATCAGCACCCTGTTTAATCACTGCCTCGAGGCCTTAAGGAGAGAATGGACGACACACGAGTCCTGCTGGGACCTCAGCTGAACACAAAACACCCCGACAATGTATCGGAATAAATCCCTCTCTGAATCTCTGAAGTTTTCCATCTGCTCTCTGAATCACTGCCTCGTCAAAGATGGAAATCATCCAGTCCTCTCAGGAGTCTGATTTAGGACCAATCCCTACCGCCCCCACCGTCTATCCAGAGATGGTGGCCTGGCTCCTGCAGGGAACTCTTCCGCTTTCTGGATTTGCTGCAACTCTGCGGTGCAGGGGAACATTTTCCACATGATTTTGCCCAAAAATTATTCTCAAAGGCATTTTTCTTTTAGGTATAGCCTTCTGGATATCACTGTCGATCTCTTAAGGGTTTGTCTCCTGCCTGTTTGCTGCATGTATCAGTGTTTCAGTTCACCTGTTACTGGGAAATCATTACAAAAATGGTTATTTGGTAAATGTCACTGTGGTTCTAATTTGTTTATATGTAAAATAAACGTGAAGCCCGAATTAATGATTCATTCCATGTCTTGCTTTAACTAGACAGTCTGGGCCTCACAGTCCTTTTCATTTCAACCCAAGTGTTATCTTATTCAGTGAAATAAGCAAAAAGGATATTCCGCCTTCACTTTTGATCAAACAGGGGAATGATACAGGGGATAAATACACCACTCAGTTGACAGCATTTGCTACTAATAGAGAAGACAACTGGTTAGTGAACGAGCATTCGATTCCCATAAGAGACGACAAATGAGTGAAGGTGTCACATCGAGTTGTATAGAAAAAAAATAAAAATCAACAACACACAGGGATACAACCGGAAACTGGACTTGCATAACTTCTTTGTGTCTGAGAGAATATGATGCGGATGTGATGCGTCCCGTAGAGCAGAGGGCCTCTATATTTCACAGGCTTCAATAATTTCCCTTGTCCCGAACTGACAGCCCCAGACAGACGGCGGCCGGAGCAAGAAAGAAAATATGGATTACATCTCCCGGGAAAAAGGCAAGCAGTCCCCAGCGGAGTGCAGAGTCAAGGTGTGGTCCTCACACAACCACGGCAATAACGACAGGAGTGTTAATCAAAAGTCCAGGGTGCATTGATGCTCCTTCATTTCCTCCTACAGGATGAAGGCAGGTGGAGGAGCATTAAAAAGGAGACGGGCCGACGGGATCAGAAGCCAGGGAAACAAGCGGCGTTAACTATTAGCCGCTAATAGGACGGTAAAGGCGCAGATGGCGAGGCTCGCAACACTCCAGTAAACAAACTGAAAAGCCAACAGCATGTCGATTTCAGTAGACAGCCGGAGTGGAGCGGCAATGTTCCGTTCAGCTCCTTTAATTACCTGTGTGAGATTTAATCCTTCACATGACTCAGCCCATTCCTCATGATGATCTGCTCCATTCAACCTGACTTTACACATGCTGCCGGCATGCTTTTGTTGCTTTGTTTACTTGAAGTCGCAAGTGTTATGCAGAGCGTTAGGGTTTCTCGTCTTTTCAGTTGAAGCCAGTGGGGAATACGACTGGTGGGGTTTGGGTTATGTTAATGAGACAAAGACACTCAAACAGGCCCACGTCCTTTTAAAGAAAATCATAGACCAACATGGCCCTGTTAATACATTGCACGGTGGCAGAAGTCAGGGAATAAAAGGAGATGTTGAAAACATGAATAATGGTCTGACAGGGTCTATCGTGTGTCAATCCTATCAAAGATATTTTACCACTGCGCCCCTTTCTTTCCATCTCTCCGATATGAGGCGGATTTCAAAAACTGGAAAATGGGAAAATGTCAGAGTATGTTTCTAAATGTCATCACAGGAATGGCCTGATTTTAAGCATTTCATCTGAAAAATGCATTCTTGCTCTCTAACAATCAAGCACAAAACATACACACACATATACGGATATGCGACCATGACAGTGTGGAGCAGCTCCAGGTTTGGTCTGTTAGGGTTTAGGAGATTCACCGTTAATATATCGACTAAATTTAAACTGAATGAACTGAAGCTCGTGGGGTTCATTGCGTTTTAAGGGGGAAATTGTCGCTCTGAAAGAACTGATTTCTAACTTTGGATCACAATGTGAGAAACATTGACCGCTACCTTTAGAAATGCTTGAAAAAAAAGAAAGAAAAGGAAAGCAGCGTAGTGCAGAATATTGTTTTGTTTATAGGAAAATACAGACTGAATGGCACACACAGCTTCGCAAAGTTATTGTAGAATTGGACAATCGGTTCGGGTGAAAGGATGAAAGGATTAAGTGTAGCGCATCACAGGAGAGCCGCACATAAAGGCAGGAACGCGTGAGAGAAACGAGGAATAAAAGTTGCCACCTGAACCAAACTCGCCGCACTTTAGCGTTCAGTGAACTTCGTCCACTCGTTAAAACTTCCCAAAATGCACCGAGGACATCGAGGTGAACGTCCGCCTTACCTGTTGGCCCCTCAATGCCATCGGCGTAGATCTGAACAGTCAAAATCAGCAGGAAGGCGCAGGTGTTCATCGTGCGGCTCTTTTAGTCCACTTTAAAATGCGCAGAAGAAATCATTTCATTCACCGCGTGACGTCCGGGCGCTCGAGCGGCGCAGCGCAGTCCGTCCGCTGTCCCCGTCCTCACTGAGGGGAGTTTCGGAGACACTGGAGGAGACAGGGCAGAGCTAGTTCTGCAAACTGACGTCAGGGTAAACAGTTCAGGGGAGAGATTTCTTTCTTAGGACCACTTCCCCCCCTCCTCCCTCCTCCAGCAGCAGCTTCCATTTCCCCGCTGATCCAAAGTGTGAGCCGGGCGCCTCCAAGCGGCCGAACCGCGCAACGACACGGTGATGTTCAAACGTCGGCCGAGCGGAACACGGGTGTGTGTGTGTGTGTGTGTGTGTGTGTGTGTGTGTGTGTGTGTGTGTGTGTGTGTGTGTGTGTGTGTGTGTGTGTGTGTGTGTGCTGTTACACACCTGCATCTCTGCAGGTTAAAGGAAAGTCTTGTTTGTTGAAGCCTTGTTACTTCAAATTTAAAGATATTCAGGGTTGGGATTGAATTAGCTTGTCCAATTAGTCCCGGCAAGAACTTCCTCTCGATATAATATATTTCAGGATTCAGACTAGTTTTGGTAAAGGTGTTGACTGGCTGTGTTTAAGGGTAAGACGCTAAAGAAGACATGTAATGCAAAGTGCCTTTGTGGATCGGCGGGTATCTTGGTGGGGATCAGGTGCTGATCTTTACTGCTGCCTTTTCATCCATGGCTCGGCTTGCTATTAAATATTTCTTAGAATAGTTCAGAAACTCTTAAAACCTGTCTACACGCACCCAGCAGCACAGTTACAGGATTATGAGTTTGACAGCATAGGTTAAGAAATACTCACGCGTTTTTAAACAGCATATCAGCTATCTGAAGTCTAATCAATACAGCGAAATACAACGTTTTGATTCATATGAGCTGCTTTTTTGCAGCAGAGGTGGGACAAAAGATTATATTGGAACAGGACAGATGGCTGAGCATCGCCTTCCCACCTGCTCATGACATGTGCAAAGCATATTTCTCTATGCATTCGACAGTCTGACATGTGTGCATTGAATTTGCATTTGATGAGGTTCTTCTCACAGTTGCAGTATACCTGAAACAAATCACTCTTGACTTTTATGTTCATGGTTGTGTAACTACAGCAAGTCACTTTGACATGTAGAAATGTTTTCTCCGGCATGTGGGAGTCCTACATAACATTTAAAAGCATCCAGAAGCATTAGTTACGTACGACATTATGAGTTGGTGGACACTAGTCTATTGCTGCAAGTTGTCTTGCGTTGCACTTCATTACATCATTACTCAGCCTCTGAGAATCACCGGTGATATTGTTGCAGGTGCTGATGCAGCAGTCCCTCCTCTGCATGAACCAAGCTGGTGGCAAAACTTAGCCCAACCTAGAATCCCAATTGGATCAAGATGCTATTATGCAAACTATTCATCATTCATTTTGTTGTCTTGACTCAAATATTAAAGCTGTGGATTTAATTACAGGGGGCCCACTGACGCATCTAAAATGCTTCAAATATCCGAACACGTCTCTAATGCTGTTAGCCCCAGATGACAGATGAACGATGGGACGCTCCGTAAATTACCTAATTGAACCAAAGAAGCACAAGCTAACACCTGTAATTACACCTGCTTGAGGCAAGCCAGCCTCTTTCAGAGCTGTTATTCAGGGCACAGAGTAGTATTTTATTTTTTTAACTCAAGAGTATTTTGGCCTTAATCCATTTAAATGCAGGGTTATTTAATTTGCAGTTAAAAACCCAAACACTGACTGTTTGAATCCAACAACAGAACAGGCATCAGCATTATACTGACAGCTGCACTACGATGGAAGTCATTTCATCGAGTATTTCAACACCTGCCACTCATGACTCCTCGCAAACAACTGAATCTGCACAGGCAGATTTTATAACAACGTACTATTTGTTCTAAAAGACGTTGCCGAAAGCTGGCTATCAAACTATTGCTGTCTATCACACGGTCTCTGCATGCAGCGCGGAGCTTCAGAGGGAAATGAACAGCAAATCACACGACAGCTGTTGGAATGCCCTTTGCTTTTTTTTTATGTAAAAGGGATTCACATCAGGGGATCGCTGATCCTGTGACAGAGATGAGAAGTGTGGTGTGATGTGTGACTCAGAGGAAGGATAAACAAAACAAATCCGTCTGCATGTCTAATATATTGGCTTCCTGCAGGGAGCACTGTTCACGTCACAAAGTCATCAACGCCAGCGTTTTACAACTATTATCCACAAGCTGTTTGTGTTAAAGTAACAGACATAAAGTTGTTTGTTCTTCATTTTGGACCATTTGTGTCACTTTTCTGTGCATTATGTATTTCTGTCCTGTTCCATTCTTTCTTTAATAAAACGAAAGAGATGAGTAAAATTGCATTATGTCTTTGCAGCACATGTTATTGTCAACAGTCACAATCAGCTAATGTATAGTTCTCACTGTCAAGCATTATAGTGCAAAGATGTTAGATGAAACATCTATGAAAAAGGCCTAAAAAGACAATGATGAAGAAATACTTCAAATATCGAATCCAAATTTGATCAAATTCAACATGCAAGCGTAACTTGCAAAATATTAGTTATAAAAGTAAAACATTTGCAACATTGCAGCTATCTTTCAGACAAAGGAAAATAGTATCACCAAATATCAGAAATAGAACCAAATATTGTATTTACAGAACTACAGGTTTCTTAAAAATGTAATTTGATCTAGTTTAAAAATACAAACACAAAGTACTGTTCCTAAAACTATACACAGTAGACAAAATATGTTTGTGTTTTAGGACTGCAAATAACCATTAGTTTAATTATTGATTACGGTCTACTGTTGTTCATTGCAGATTACTCTATAAAATATCAGAAAATTGTAAAAATAATACAATTCCTTTCCTTATAGTTGTATAATCACTAAATGTACTCATGATTTCAAGTGTCCGTCACTCACCAACAGAAAGGCTCTTAGACGTTACACGTTGTTTCTCTCCCTCACTTACTTTTATGTTTCCTTGACACCTTCCTTCCTACAGCCACCTTGTTGCTATCACACACGCCTTCTGTCTCCTCTACTCTCTCGCTTCTAAGGCGGGGGTCTTCTTGATGCCTAACAGTCCTCCGTCCCAGCTCTTGGTGGATGTCTAAGACGTCCTCTGCCTCCTGGTTCCCCGTCTCCCTGAGCTCGTGGCCCTCCCTGTCCGCCCCGCCAGCCGTGAAGTGGCGATGCTGGACAGCGGAGGCGGAGAGATGGGCCAAGAGCTGAGGGTTGATGGGCAGCATAAGATGAGCGTAAGACGCCGCGGATAAGCCGGCCACAGAGAGAGCGTGGATCCCCGCGCTGGTCTTTGCGGGGGACAGCGAGTTGTGGGTCTGGCTGTTTGACCGGTTGTGGCGTTGAAGTCTTTGGTGTTTCAAGGACTGAGGTTTGAGCGAGCGGCTTTCGTCGCTAGGCTGCCTCCTCTGCTGCTCCAAAATCTCACCCGGCACTAAGGAAAAACAAGCTATTTATCACTAACGTATCTTACTGGTGTGCCAGGGTACCGAGAGGTGCCTTCGACCGCTTTCTCACCATAAACATTGTTGTGGATTTCGTTCTCTTCATCCAGGCTTCGCTTCAGGTCCAGAGCTCGCTTCACTGAGTCCAAAAGGCCAAACATCTTGCACAGGGAATTAAGTGTGACGGCATCTGACAAAACAGAAATCAGCATGCGATTAATACGATTGTCCAAAGCACTTTAAAAGAAATCAATGTCCATATATTCCACTCTAAAACTAAATTTAGCAGGTGGAGTCTAATAAAAAACATTATAAAATTTGATTTACTTTTCTAATAACTTGACTGGTGTTTTACCCAATTTAAAGCAATTATTTTCACAAGCCAGTGGGTCGTCCTCACCTGTCTCCTGCAGATTGGCCTTCTCACTTCGAACCTCCACTCCTTTGAGAGTGGCTAATAATTCAGTCTGGAGACTGGACAGGACCTCCCCCATCAGCCCCGAATCCACCACGCCCTTCCACAAGCTCAGTACTCCATCTAGACACGGTCAATTAGCTGGGATGTTATTATGATGTGTGTGGAACTCTGTGTGTGTGTGCGTGTGTGTGTGTTTGTCTTTTCATGTAATAATGTATTAAAATAAACCCGCACAGAGAGAAAAAGCGGCCTTGCAGAGGTGATTTGTGTGTGTGAGCTGCAGCGCTGGACAGACAAAGAGATATTAAGGCAAAGGAAATAGGAAATGTAGGATTAATGAGATGGCTGTCAGGGTTGGAGAAACAAAGAAAAAATATATAATGAGATAGAGGAAATGGGAAGGGCGCTACACTCGGTGGCAGGATGTTAAATGGGTGACGGAGGTAGAAATGAAGGAGCAGGAGTATGCTGAAAAAAGAGGTGAGGAAAGAGAAGGAGGGCAGAATGGAGGGAGACAAACGGCTTTGGATCCTTACAAAACTGAACCGAATACCAGTTGAATTTATTAGAGTAATAACATCTCAGAAGTGCCTGATGTCTTATCTTGAAAGAGATTTATCCACTTTCAAGTTAGCTTAAATATCTGTCAAGATAAAAGCAATATACCCTCAGAAAATATTCCAAATCCCATTCACAGCTATCTGATGATAAATGCATGTATTTGGCCGTGTGTGTAATGTTCGCTAATGGAATGAAACCATTTCTGGACATAGAGAAGAGTAGTTACAGGTTGAGTATTTTTCCTTAGAGTTGTCCATTTGTTTTAAGCCCCGTGACAGGCTTGTGCAGCGAGCCACTGCAATTTGCCATCCACACCAAAGATACTTGAGGCTATTTTAACTACTGTGGTGCGGCTGGAACGATGCCTAATCAGGGCACCTTCAAAAGGCCATTAAATGAAAGCTCGGGTCTCTGCAAGGAAAAGCCGCACTTACAAATGTCAAATGGCGTCGATGTAATTGTTAAGGGATGTGGCTCTCTGCTTTTTAGTGCTAAGCAACTTTCTAAGGTCAGTGTGCAGGAATAGAAGAGTATCCCCCAACTGCAGAGTTCAGAGGGTCCATCTGCTCAGTGCATCAGAGGCACAAGGGGCCGACCGGACTGCAGGGAGGCCGATCGCCGGGTTAAGATTGAATCTGGATGTTTCCGATTTATTTTCCTCATCAGTTTAGATTCCTATCCCCCAGAATTGTTGCGGATTAAGGGGTACGGTTTTCCAAATGCGCAGCCTCAGGAGATCTCAAGGTCAGTGGGCTGAACGCGTGACTCCTCCAGTACTAGAGCTGTCTAATAAACTTTCCAAATTCATCCCCCGGGGCATTGCCCTTGGCCAGCTGACAACGAGGTTAATAAAAGACGTAAATGCAACTTCCCTTAAGTCTACAGTAGATGTGAAAACATGACATTCACTTGCACGTACATTCCCATCGTAAAGTCACAGTGGAGCACTACCGGCGAGGACTTTCCTGCTGCGTGTCACGTTCTTGAAATCATCAATTATGGATATTCAACCCCCCTGACACGCTTTCCTGTGTTTACCTGGCGTGTCACTCCTCTTTCTCTTCGCCCCACATCCGTTGGCTGCTGTGGGATTTACATCCCGCGCTGGATAAGGGCTCCACTCTGCTGTTGCACTGAACTTCTTCTCCAAATTCTCCTCTACCTCAACTGAATTCCGTATAGCCTCTCCTGAAATGACTACAGAACAGGATACACTGTGAAAAACCAACAAATCTCACACACCATTGAACATGAGTAAAAACAGAGGGAAGACTTCCAAGAAAAACCCAACTGTGTTTTTCTTTCTGTGCAGTGGTTTCTCATTAAAGGAACCGGTGTGTTTATTGAACCGTATCAGTCGGGTGACTCACTTACTAATTCCTAACTGTGCTCGTAACATTCTTCTTTCATTCTTGAAGATAAATCATATCCAGGTGGCTTTAAACTTGTTGTTCTCGTCGTATCAATCATATAATGAAAAAACAGCGGCCTAAGCACACGTGGGTGGAAACAAATGTCAAACTGTAAATGTCAAGTGAAACCTACCTGTCAGGGGAGGCACCCGTCCTCCAACAAGGTCAAGAGCCAGACGTGGCGGGCTCGGCTGCACCGAGGTCCCCGGAGGAAACCGCGTGCTGTTGATCAGCCCATCGAATTTAGTGCTGCGGCAGGTGTTGCCGCACACGGTGTCGTGCTGGTAGAAATCTATCTGGCCGGAGTCCATCATTTTCCTGCGAGGGGAAGATGCAAGTTGAAAGAACACCCGAGAATCCAAGAAAAGTGGGTATTGAATTTGTTAAACAATCCTCACAGAGGTTTGTTTGACACAAAAGCCCATTGATCTCTCCTCTGGAGGATTCAGGATCCCAAGGGCAGATATTGCATATTGACTCGGTATATTGACTCAAAGTCAGAGCAGGAACAAGTGCAAACACGACGAGAGAGCGAGAAGTCTCCGTCAGCAGCTTTATGGCCTGTGATTTGTTCCTGCTATCATAATAATGCTCCTCACAGACTACCTCTGGAATGTCTCGGCAAACCCCTGCACGGGTCGACTCGACACAATTGCAAATTATATGAAGTAGCACATGATGTCGACTACATTAGACGGAGGTACTTCAAGACTGACACTTTAACCCCAATGTGGCCCAGTGATTAAAGGTCATGCAGATTAGATGATGATGCATTACAGATAGCATCAGTCGGCAGCAAGAAGGAAGAAATATAGTGAAATATTGTGTTTTTATTTCATTTTCTAAGTTCTACCTGAGCATTACACCTCCCAGTCTGATGGCCCGTTTCCAGTCCTTCAGAGTAGCTTTTCCTGCCAGATGTACAAACTGCTTTGGACTGATGAGCTGGTCATTGAACTGCAAGAAAGAAAACCGCATTTGTTTATGAAAGTTGCTATACGGGTGCAGAGAGAAAGCATCAAGCCAGAAATAATGGGGAAAAATGTCATGATTCTGGTGTCTGGTTGAGTGAAGAAGGTTTCAACTACGTCAACTTACTTTGACACATCTAACGTTGATTCCAGGGCACACAAACTTCTTAAATAGAAGGACCGCTCTGCTGTCTCCACAGGTGATGGGGTAACCATACTCAATCTCCTCTCCTTCTGCCTTACTGTCTTCTAACAGGCCAAAAGAACGTTTGCAGTAAGTGTTATATACTCAATGTTATATACTCACAGTATCATTAAATACACTGTCTTATCTCAATAGGATTGCTTCGTTCACAGTATTCACAGGAATACCTTCATGTTGTAGTTTAATGTCAGCAGTGAAGGGAATGTTCCTGTGTCACATACCATGATGTGTCTCGATGGCCAACACTGTCGTGCCAGTTTCAGCAGTGTCATCATTTATCCTGCAGAGGGCGACACACTTTGCACATCAAACACAAAGACGTTTTCATGCAAGTTGAGAGTCGAATATTTCTACTTTAACAGCAAAATATGCCATATACTTATTGCATATCTAATATTTTAAAACAGTAAATGCTGACTGTCATTTTATTTGATTCAAGCCTTCATTAACCTGAATATAAGCAGCATTGTTGTAGAAAAATGTAAAAAAATATATTTTTGAAATATTATCATTATGATTAAAATAGGTCTATACATTTCTACAAATATGTTAAAATGTTTTCTCTGTTGTATCACCAAACAAAACATCAACTGTCTCCTTTTCAATGTGAGCCGTCGTGTTACCCGTGCAGGGGGGGCTGCAGGTGCACGATGACTTGAGTCTTATGGTTGTTGCCACTTGACTCCTCTTCCTCCTCCCTCACGGTGATGAGATCCCCTGAAGATACGTTGACCTCAGCAGCCGCCATCACCCCTCCCCACAGAGCTGCACGCAGAGAGGAACAAGCATGCATGTTATGTCCGGATTACACACACACACACACGCACACAGGCATGCATGCACTGGTGCTATTTAATGCACGCACAAGTCAATGAAAGCTTCTCCCAGCAGTCTTCTCTAACATGCAACTGACGTAGAGATGAATCCCTACTTGGCTTAAAAGTGCATAATCCTAAAATGGACCGGCCTTCATTCCATATATATTGCTGTTGAGGATGCACATTAATATAGTTAATGGGACAAAGGCTTACAGTTTTAAGTAAAACCCGGGTTATAACGCAATCGTTCTAAAACTGTTAAAGCAATACAGCTGCAGTGGACATGAATGTTTACTAAAGAGTGAATTCATCAAATTGAAAATACTTGTAGTTTATTATCTAACCTTGTTGAATTCAGGCCACTTCTTTGAATAGCACCAATAAAATACCTGTTGAACAAATACAATCTCTAAGATTATTGTTAACTAGTCATATTAAGGCATCATTAAATCCGAGTTATATATTTATGTCTGTCATAATGTCATAATTTGGATGCGTTTAAATGGTTATTGCAAATATAATGTAAGGTGCTATTTATAGCTCATTTTGAATGAGTCAAATATATTATGGTGTCCGCTGGACTACTGTCTATGGTTTGATGAATTGGGTTAAAATAAAAAAAGTTTAAGAACGATTCCGCTCATAATCTTCTCTCAGCGCTCCATAGGCAACAGCTGAGGCGTTGTAAACACAGGGGGGGGCAATAAATATCTGCACAGACTGAGAAGGAGTTGATTTAAACAAACTGTCTCCGTGATGGGAAAACAACAACAAACTACCTTTGCACGCAGCGAATATTCATGCTAGAATAAATGTATCAACGTATTTCGCACTAACCAAGTAGCCCTGTTTGGATCAACTCCCCCACGCACAGTTGCGTGCCTCTCTCACCCTCCTCTCGCCCCCTCAGACTGACAGCACGCACGCACACCGCGGCCCGCAGGCGTACGACGGCGCGCGCTCCCAGAAGAGCGCGCACACAAAAACAAACCCCTCGGTTTAGATCCACCCTGAAAACCCCCTCTGGAAACACACTACCTGCTACTTTGAATAACGTAGCCGTAGTTTTGCTTACCGTTTTTACAGCGGAGGGCGGTTCATCCTCCTGCTTGTCAGAGGGACCCGGGCGCATGCGCAGTGCGCTGCGGTGCGCTGAGGAGCATCTGTCCCGCTGTCACGAGAGGCCGTTTAGCTCGCACGCTATGCGTAAATCGGTCAAGCGGCCCGCGTGCGGCTCGGATTGAGCTCTGACGGCGATGTGCTCACTTCCGTGTGTCTCTCAACCACAAGAGGAGGTTGTTCGTTTTTGATTTAGCGGGCGGGTTCCCGTTGGTGGACTTTTAGGCTCAATAACACGTGCTCCGCGTGCGTCCTGTGTGGTCTGTTGGTTTGTCACGCAATGAAGGCGGTTCACAACAGTACACAGCAAACAGTGTGTTTTTTTGTTGCCTTCATTCGACCAGCAGGCGGCAGACTGTCCACTTGCTGTTTTAATAAAGTGGTCGGCGTTTCAAAACTTCCCAAGACGTTTTAAAAAACATGTTTATGCCTAATTGACCTTTTGAACACAATAATTCACTTTCTGTATTTTTGAAAGAGCCACAGAAATACATGATAAATAGATTTCTATGGATTTCTATCCAGTGTTGCTGTTGTCATATTAACAAGGGAATAAATCATTAGTATTACTGCCAAACCACTGGTCCCAGATCAGCCCACACCTACAAATTGGCCCCGCCCCCCGTTTGGAAATGGAATGCTTATGATCCTGTGATTGACACTGACGGAGAACCAATGAGAGCGCGAGTTTACGTGTCGTAGCCAACAGTAAATATCCAGTGTTCTGCAGCATAAGTTTTCACTCCGGACACAAGCTCGAGCCATCGAGGCTTGCACCTTACTGCTGCTCGTAGTGCTTCGGGAAACATGCTGTCAAAGTGCGAGAACATCCGCGATGCTCTGGAGTTTCTCGTAACCGTTTTCTGGATCACTTTTAGCGTTTTTTCCGTCGCTGTCGACGGCCAGGAGGGTAAGGAGAAAAAAGCTTCTGCTGACTTCTGATAAGATAATATGAGTTTTTATTTAAAATATCTTTCTTGGATCTGAACTAAACAGTAACAGTTGTTACAAGCAATCCCCGTTACGAAAAAGCTGATGATAATTGTTTACTTTTGCTCACTGGTATGTCTGTAACTAGTTTAATTAAAAGTGGCAGAATTGTAACTTATTTTTCATTCTAACTTTAACCTAAAAAAACATTTGCTGTCACATACTAAACTTCTATCATACTAACTGATGTCACCATTACCAAGACCCGTAATGCCCAGTGCGTAAACGTGTTCATATAATGTCTGCTTTGCACTATGAGATACTCACTATGTTGTATTTGTTGATGTCAGTGTGCAAAATGCACCACATCAGGATGAGGTGGGGTCAAAGGTTGAGCATGTGATGTCACGGCAGCATTCTTTACATACTCCTCTCTTGTGCACGTTTACCTGCCAGAAGCTTACCTTTCCCACAGGTATTTTGGTTTAACATAAATAGAAAAGCAATGTACTGGCCAGCAGGCTGTGACTGTTACACTCAACCAAACCACCAATACGTTTTTTTGTGGAATTGTGTCTCTATTTTTTCTCTCTCCGGTTTTCTGATATGGGAAGGCGAGTAAGTCCGGGGCCAATTTATTTCTCACTTTTTGATTCCTAAAAAACAAAAAAGCTTTTGTCGTGTTGTAACATTCTTGTTCCGCTGTGATTGACACACAAGACGGGATGAGTCGATGTGGTGACAGGTAGCACAGGTGAACATCCTGTCTGCCAGTGTGGACCTGTAAAGACCTGCTGGGGGAAGAACAACGGCGAGGGGCTGCTTTAGATCCGCTGTTGCTCTCCTGCCACCCAGTTCCACCCCAGCGGTCAGTAGTTCACTTCACAAATCACTAAACTGGTGCGAGTAATCCAAACCGATCTCGCTCTCTGTATGGAAACGGATTGTCCTGGAGACAGAGTCTAGGTGAAAGGCTTCAGTGAGCAGCGGGGGACATTGGGGGGGTGGGGGGGGGGGGGGGATTACCGGCCACCCAGAACTTCCCCGGCTCTGCGACCTCTGCGGCCTCTGTGGCCTCCCACCGGAAGGCGACAGATCACCGCTCCGTTGCCCGCGGTTACAGTACGCCGCGTTGGCATTTCCAGGGAGTCCTCGGGGGACTTGAGGAGGGGCAATAACATCCCACGGTTTTGTGGTATCAGTGAGCTGAGGAGCTGTCGGGAATCCGGCGTGATGCAGGAAGTGTGTGACACCGGCCGAGTGGAAGGTTACCCTCCTGTTTCCCCTCAACAGATCTCGAGAAGCCTTATAAGGAAAACCAGGAGAGGGATAATGTGCAGATGCGTAGGCTGAGATGGAGCCGGGGGCCTTCTTCATGTTTTCACCATTCTTGGGAAAACGTCATTACTTTACTTTTTTTCCGAGGGGTCGGTTTTGAGCCCACCGCTCACGCAGCACTTGTCTCTGTTTGACCACTATGGGAGCTGACTTATTTCCTGTGACACACAGACAGAGTCGGGGGATCTAAATATTTGTGTTTTCCGTTCCCGTTATAGTGTTAGTCACAGCAGCCGCAGGTCACAGGATGTAATGAATCAACATAGATTAACAAATAAAAGAGACTTTTGGTCTACCTGGTTTCATGTCCTTTCTGCCAAGAACAACGTCTCTTCAAATGAAGTCAAAAAGTATACATTTTGTATTTATTCTTAATAGAGTATCCAGCTCACAGTATGTGTGTAGCTGAGTACTTCCCTCACAGACCGTTGTGTCATTGCACAGTTATGATCAGAAGAGTATAAACACGTCCTGTTCACAGGAGAAGTATTACTCATCCATCCTGAAGTGGTGTATTAACAAAGCCCTAAATATTCTGTGTATTCACAGAGAGAATTAATGACCAAGCCGTCTGCGGTTTGTTGATCTTAGTCTTGCTATTCTCTGCTAGCTGCTTTATGTTCCTTCAGTTATTCTAGTGAAAGAAAAATCCACTATTATAATTCACTTCAGTTTGTTGATTTGTAAATATTTTTCTGGTTTCTTTAGTCAGAATACAAGTGAGCATCTTTGGGTTTTGGATTGTTATGTGAATATGCCAGCTTGGGCTCCTGAACATTTTCTGAGAAGAATTGAGATTTTTGTCATCAAAACATTGATTTAAAATTACATTTGTACACCCATTCACTTTTTTGCGCGGGGAAAAAAACAACTGGAGAGTCATTTTTCATGTTTCATTTTTCACACCTTTTATTTAAAAAAATGTCGTCTTCATGACGACTGAATTATTCATTTATTTATTTTTTTCCCGCGCAAAAAAAAAATTCAGTCGGAGCCATCCACTCCTTATAAGCAACGAGTTGGCATCTAATTGGGAACCAACTGTGCGTGAACACTAATCCTAATGTTGCACTTACCCTGTGAAGTGACATCTCCCCCCATCACAGACTCCTTCTGGCGCTCGTATCATTGCAGGAAATGGCTGTGGACATTCCCTGCTGGGCACGGAGTCCGGCACGTTGGCCTCTCACAACTACCCGGGCACCTACCCCAGCGACACCTGGTGCAGCTGGAGGCTTCGGGTGCCGGAGGGGCGAACGCTGCGCCTGCTCTTTGGGGATTTCGACATTGAGAGCAGTGCGGGCTGCAGCAATGGCTCCCTTTTGATAACCGACAAGAGCGGAGAAGCCAGTCTGGGTGAGCTTGATGGTGGATGGCTTCTTTTTTTTTTGAACATCTGTGTGATCACTGTGTCTGAGACATTACAGATGTGCTCCCTTGTGCCAGTTCCTCGCTGCATTGCCTGCTGGTAGACTGATAATGTTCCTTGTCATTCCTCGATGCACACTAGGCTTCCCAGTACTTTGACACATTGACAGAACCCACTTTAGCAAAACCGACGCCCGCTGAGGTCTGTTATCAGATTCCTCAGGACCTGGCTCGTGACTCCTCATGTAGTTTTGTGATGTCACACGCAGTCTACGGATCGCCTCCTGACTCTACAGTAAACTAATGGAGTTAGACTTCCTCATCCGCATCTCCTCACGATGCCCACGAGGGACTGACCATTCATTTCACTCCTCAAGTCAATATGCTGTTACGAATGTGGTTTGTGGGTCTGCGTGTCCACAGGTCCAGTGTGCGGGAAGCTTGATGCATCGCGGAAGAACTTGACTCTAAGGAGCAATGAAGTGACAGTGACGTTCAAGTCGGGCCCGCACCGCTCTGGACGAGGGTTTCTGCTCTCTTATGCCACAGACCAGCATCCAGGTGTGACATTTGTAACTTGCTCACTTACACACATGTAATTATAATAAGTACATCGCGCCCCGTTCTTCAGTCATCACTGCCTGATGAGTCTGTAGCGCGCAGCTCAGCTCTACCAAGGACTCAATGATTTGACACTTTCTCAGATTTGCTCGATTTGCAAGTTAGCACTGGTGTGTTTTTAACTCTAAAGTCTGTGTGAATATTTCTCATGTGTGATTGTGTGTTAATGTGTATGTGCCGTTGCGAGCGTATGAGTCACTTATTGGCATTCATCCTCCAGCGCTAATCTTTGCTCCGGCCTGTTTGCTCTGAAAGCCGCAGCGAGACTCTTTCTCTCTCGGGCTGAATGGATCGAGGCCTCAGGCTGCAGTCGGCCGGTCGGAGGAGCTGGAGTTCTCTTTCCCTCTTCCCACGGCGAGCCGACCACCGTCGCCGTGTTCATTGGAACCCGGGTGTCTGTCTGATTTAGTCCATCTGCACAATGTAACACATAAATGCCTTGCGTGTGCACATAAATGGCACCGCGGTTACGTTTTTCCAAACAACCCCGTGGACGGGTTTGGTCTGAATCCTAGTCTATACTTAGAGATAATTTCCTTTTCTCTGGATGAAGTAATCCTGTAACACTGTACAGTATGTATCAGAGTTTCCTGTTTTTTACGGAGTTGTTTTTGAAACCAGTCAGTGTCTGGAGCTAAGCCCATGTCCAGACACACAAACCACTGTCTGTTAAGGGTGAGCACACGAGGAGCGTTCACTGTACTGGTGAACTGGGACAAAGTCACAGTAACAAAGGGCTTAGTCACATCAACAGCGAAGGCCGCTGATCCCCTAATGCGGCGCATGTAGGACATGTTGGACCATCTCGCACAGATTGTGGGTCTGCTTATGTAAATGGTGTGTGTGTGTGTGTGTGTGTGTGTGTTGGGTTTGAGTTACTCCTTTGCCATACGTGTTTATTTGAATGTACATCCGTCTGTTTTGCTGTTGTAGACCTCATTTCTTGTTTACAACGAGGATCTCATTCCAGCTCGCAGCTTTTGAGGTAAGTGGGTGACCTCCCGACATTTCCCCCGTAACGGATTCTGACTCGGTAGAAAATGTTTTCTCACGTTTGTTTGCGCTCCTTCCCAGTGCGTACTGCCCTGCAGGGTGTAAGGACGTCACGGGGGATGTTTGGGGAAACTCTGAACAGGGTTACAGAGATGTACGTAAAGCACGTTTCACTTGGCCTTTGGTCGCGCACTTCTGCATTTGTGTGACTCGCCGTGCACAATCACGTGACAATCAAAGCACCGTTTACTTCACTTGATATTAAAAAAAGACCAATCTGCTTTTAAGTGATTTAGGTGGTCTTAAAAATCCAAATTTGAGTGTGTATATATATGTTCCTTTTATAATGCCACTTTTTTCATTTTAGGGCTTGCAAAAAGGCAATAGTCATAGTTTACAGATCACTTAAATCCCTCCTCGTCATTGGGGAGTTTAATTGTTTAATTTAACTGTTTAACCGTTACAACTGTAGTCTATGTGGTATAGTTGCACTCGTCATCTCTCTGATTCGTCACAGTTCATTTTTTGTTGTTGTAAGATTAACACTACACACGTGAAGTGTAAATGCCTCCGTACGCATTCGGAGGCCTCAACGGATGGACTCGATGTCTGAAGGTGTCTCCTCTGTTGCAGACGTCGGTCCTGTGCAAGTCGGCCGTCCACGCCGGAGCTGCATCTGATCGTCTGGGAGGTCGTGTCACTGTGCAGCGGGGGAGAAGTCTCACACTTTATGAAGCTACCTTTGCAAATGGAATCCTCTCAAAAACGTGTGTCCCATGTTGGTGTACTTGAAAGAAGAAGAGATGACATATGCGTGATGGTGGATGTCATTGAGCCACAAACAACTTTAGGTTTTCTGTAGATGTGCTTTTTTAACGGTCTTCTTTTGGCAGGGGATCATTGTCTGAAAAGAAGCTGCTTTTCAACCAAGGTATGACCAAGAAATTACATGTATCACTGCTTGTTATTTACATCCTCTCTGTTCATTTCTCATGAGATATTGATGCATTTTTGAATTTTATAACGCGGAAGGTTCTGCTCCAGTCACCACAATGTTTCTCTATATAAACACATTGGGTGACATAATATAAACCTCCATCATTGGTCCATCGTTTACTCTTCTCCCCGAACAGATTGCAACAACATCCTGAAGGTTTCCGGATTAAATGCCTCATCATTCTGGGATGAAGACAGCCAAGGGCACACCATGTCCTCCAGAAACATTGATTCCAGCAACGAGTTGTTGGCCTGGGCTGCAGGCGGTGATGACGTGAACCCGTGGGTGGAGCTGGGTCTGAGTGATAGAAGCACTATCACAGGTAAGACATGTTGAAAGTAGAATACCTTATGTGTGCAACATGTGCTTAATGATGTAGTTCAATGTAGCTGTATAAAGGATAAGTCCGATGAAGACCAAAATCTGACATACAATAGATTATTCCTCTCCCCACTGACCTCCATTGTTCTCCAAAAAGAAACACATTGGTGAGTTGCACCGGTTGACCTGCTCCCTAATTATGATAAACATGGCCACAGTAAGTCTTTAATAGTCAATCCCACAGACACAAATAATCGCCTTCCCTTTAAAGACTTCAGTTCTTCAGCAGCCCGATGAGCTCGGGGACTCGACAGGGTGAGCAGGTCAAAAAGTAATGAGATGTGTCCCAGCACATCGGGTCTTTTTGTGTGATCCATTGGCAATAAAATACTACATCATCAGACTTATCCTTTGTATGTTTAACTCGGCTACAATTTTGATTTAAAGAAGAAGGTTTTTGCAGTGTCTTATCTTCCGTTGCTGTATTATTGCTTTTTTCAGGAATAATAACAAAGGGCTCAAACGACCACAACATAGAATCCTTCAGTGTTTCTTTCAGCAAGGACAGAAAATCTTGGAAGCTTTACAAAGGGGCTCTCAGCAAAGAAAAAAAGGTATGCGTCGTACCGCGATCAGCAAGGTTCACCTGAGCTCGCGTGGCTACTGAGTCCATTCTGCCGGCTTCCCGTCGACCTCTGAATGAGTGACTTCTGGTTCTGGTTCCCAGGTGTTCCGTGCCGGTTCCGACGGGCACCTGAGGGTTCTCAATAGCTTCTTCCCGGCCGTGGTGGCCCGCTTCGTGCGGCTGCAGCCACTGAGCTGGCGAGTCCGAGCTTCAGCTCAGCTGCAAGTCCTGGGCTGTCCCGTCGCCAAGGTGACGCCAAGGACGCGCCCGGCCGCCGGTGGGTATTATCACTAGTGATGCGGGATCAATTTACCGCGTGTACTCGATCCGTCTGCCGGCGTCTAGTTTGTGGCTTCACCCCCCGGTGTTACGACGTCCTGTCCTGCTCGTCCAACAGAATCTCCGCCCGTCAAAGTCAACGTGGGAACGCCGCGGCCAAGCCAGTCCCAGACCCCCACCCCGCCCCCCACCGACGGCCCAGTGCTGGTGGACACGAGACTGAGTGTGTACTTGTGTCACTCTTGATTTCACATCAAACGCCAGTCGGGTTTTTTTTAGAAAGACTTCATGTCACATTAGTGAGATCGTGTTGTTATTTTATTCTTTTACGCTCAACGTCGCTCATGAAAGTGTTCACTGACCCCGACGCTTGCGTTCTTGCAGGCTCCAGTCAGCCGGTGGTGGTGGCAGTGGGAGTGGTCCTGGGGCTGATAATGTGCGGTAGTTGTTTGTTGGCTGGAGTCTGGTGGAAAAGAAGGTACTGTATTTTAAAACCAGTGGACTTTAGGTTAATTTAGCACATAGTATATTATGACTCTATAAGCCGTGTTTTGTATAAGTATAAGTGTTTTGATTGATGCATAATTACTCAATATTGAATCATTGGTTGTTTATTCTTTTCATTATAAAACTTTTGATTGAAAGATGAACTGAAAAAATCTGTTATTTAAATATGTTGTTGTTGAATAACTGACTACTTGCTTGAGTTCAAATTGCGCTCCCATGTTGCACAGCACACTAGAGAAACTGTATAAAGAACGTTCAGGGCTCTGATTGTGTGTCGATCTCCTTCCCCACGTAGGAAAAAAGAGTCACAAATGAAGCACTCCTTACCAACAGGTAAGTGAGCAGCTCTTCAATCGTTAGTTTTCATCGGTATTTTTCCATCTTCCCTTAAAAAGCCTGATGACGTGTTTCGTTCTGTCAAGTCGGTTGTCAGAGCTTCCAGGCCAAGAGTCTCTCGTGCAGACAATCCGATGTCATCTCTTACCCTCTGGAGCGAAACGTCCACGACGCTCTACCAAGCCCTCCTCTTAATGGTGAGAATTCATAGAACGGACGTTTCGCTGCTTCTCCTCTGTGTTACTAGTTTAATTAGCTGCTGTCTTGTTCCGGTCTTTGTCTGTTCCGAGGTTAACTGAATGACTCGGAGTGGTGCACTCTTGCCTTCCCTCCTCCATCCTTTCTGCTCCAACGGTCTCTGGCCTGAGTGGTCGGTGTGAGGAGCTCATGCCCGGCCTGACAGGCAAACAGATCTCTCCATGGGCCGTCCATTCTTCCTCCGAGCTCGGCCCGTCACCCAGACGCAGTATAAACATTCCTTTCTTCGGCCTGCGGAGCCTCTGAAAGAGACCCTTTAATTGGAGCTCGATAATGGGCACTCAGCCTAACCCCCCCACACCCCCATCACCACCGCCCAGAAACTAGATGCAAATAAGCAATTACCCTCAAGCGAAAGCCTCTTTTGTAATACAGTTGAATGACATTCACATAAAGTATTTGAGTATTACTGGGTATGTACCATCATATTTCTTTCAAATATTGAGGATGAAGGTATGATAAGAAATGGAGATAAAAGGTGAGTCGACATGCCTGTTTGAAATGTGCGTAGAGGTTCGTTCTCTCCCTTCACTGTGAATAACCTGCAGGTTCACTCGTCTTATGAGCTATCCAGAGCCTTGGGAATCGCTAAGTAATTGAGCCTTGTCTTCTAATTGTATCACAGTACAGTATTTTAAAAGGTACTCTAAAGTAATCAAATGGTTTTATACATTTTACCCTCATTCTCGTCAATTTAAAAGTAATATATTGTCAATGATTGACAGAACCTCCATTTACCATGAAAAACTCATGAACAATATTTTGGTTAGAAGCGTCATTTTTAAAAGGGATATACAAATGCAGCAAGTTTTAGATGTAAGATAAAACAGTTAAGATGATTCTTACAAGGTAACAAATAAATTGTATCACAGGAAAAGATACTGGATTAAGGGGAAAACATCTTCTTAAAATGAATAACATGAGACGGTTGAACACTTTTCTGCAGCATTGGCTAAATACTAAATTGTAGCTGATTCGATATCTGATGGTGATTTCAGTTCCAATGACCTTTAAACAAAATACAACTTCAAACCGTTTGTATTCCTTTGGCTTTGCAGACTATGCAGAGCCCGATGTTGCAGCCATCGGACAGAAGATCGGGTCAACATTCAGACCGTCCTCAGACGAGGGCTACACCACCCCCTTCGCCTTCAACCATTACGACACCCCTGGCAACCTGCCAGAGTACGCCGAGCCTCTTCCCCCGGAGCCCGAGTACGCCACGCCGTTCAGCGAGCAGCCCTCGGAGTCCGTCCTGCACGCTTTGACGGGGATTGTTCACAGCAATTCACATATAACAGCGGCGAGCGCTGGAACGAGGACCACATCTGGCCACGCTCAGTATGACTGCCCCTCACACAGGATGCTATCAAATGGCTACTGCACTCCGGCCCTGCACGCCAGTGGCCCGAGGCCGGTCAGCGTGGTCTATGCAGAGCCCAAGTCATGTGACTCTTTACTACAGAAGCACACGTTTGAGGAGCCTTTGTAAACACGATGAGACGTGGAGGACAGAAGACAGTACTAATGCTGACACCGTTGAACCTCCAGTGAGCGATGTACCCAAAGTCGGTCACTCAGTCACTGGGACCACGGTGCATATACGAAGGTTCACAGCTCCGCTGTGCACAATGATCTGAGAGCCGTGCGCACACTAACATTTCCTCCCAGGAAGTATGTAGATCAACAGCGAGAGTATCCTGTGATGCACACAGACAATGCAGGTTCAGTTTCCCCTCAGTGATAATGTTTATTAAAATGTTTAAACACAAGCTGCACTTTCAGGAAATACATACAGCAATGTACGCAGGGTATTAAACAGGCAAGAGTGGATGAAATGTTACATGTCTTCACGTTGTGTTCACAATGTATATTTCAAAATGTTGAGTGAAAACAAATTTCTAAATGTAACAAAGTGGTCAGGGTTGTTGCTATTACTTTGTGTAACCACTGGGGGGCTCTGCTGAGCCATAAACAGGAATGTTTTGCAATTATTTGACTCCTGGTTCAATTTACTCAGATAATTATCACCCATTTATAACATTCATAGTAACAAATAAAAATGTTTACATTTTTTTTGTATTGTGGTATAACACAGAAAGGCACAACAGGCAAGATATCATGATTATGATGAGCAAGATAGAAAAACGTATTAAACAATTCCAGTATGTGGCTTTAGTATTCGGGGGGTTTTGCCACTGGAGAGTAACGTAATTCCACTTTTCTATGCAAAGTTAATATTTTCATAGATATCTGTGTGGGAAAATAAAGCTCTTAAATTAAATTTCTAAGAGAAAGAAATGAATTCAACTAAATTGTAGTCATTGCTATTGTTTACACCAAGAGTAAAAGAAGAGGAAACTTTCCCCATTACTAAGCGTTTTATATTTAATTTCACTAGAAGCCCCTCAAAAATTGTAATTCAACTTTTTTCAAAATGCTTTAATAAACATTGTGGTTTCATAATTAGTGCTTACCTCGCTGACCTCTAACCCTGCTGGATAAGGCACAATAGAACAACTATAAGAGAAATACTTAATAAGTTGGCCTCATGTGTGATTGCAGCAACATGTGAAGCCTGCGGCAGTGATGAATTTTCAGTCAGGCAGCTGGAGCAAAACTAGTAAGTTAAACTTACAACTGATCAGGAAACGGTTTAATACTTATAGCTTTATATGAGCCACATGTTCACAGCAGTAAACAAGGGCATGAGCGGGCAGATGGGCGTATTGCTGGGTTTTCTAAAAGAGGCCCTGGTGCTTGGAGACACTTTCGTCCACAGGGACGGCCCAAATCAAAGTTCCTCAAAGTTGCTTTGAGTGTGCAATGTACGGGATTGAGAGCATGAATACAACTCCCCTTACTGAAGTCCTCTTCCCCTCTGTGTGTGTGTGTGTGTTTGTGTTGAGCTCCCTCTTGCTCCGTGCACATAGCCGGGTCGGACGTGCATTCTTTTAGTGCATGTGAGGTTGCTCTTCAGGTAAATGCCTGTCGGCTAACAGCAGTTAGCCCTGTCGACGTTGTTAGCCTCTGGCCGCCGGCTATTGAGAGGCAATAGAAATGCTTCCAACCTTGTAAACTGCACCTTTACCCACAGAATGTATTCAACATGCAATCACTATTTACTCAGATGTTGTAATGCACCAACAGCATGATTTCACTCCCCGCTGTTATTGTGGACCCCCTTGTTTGTGCTTAACTCTTCCTCCTCTTCCACCTCCTCCTCCTCCTCCTCGTCCGAGTAGTGCATCAGAGCCTGGTGCCTGTTTCTGGATGGGGCGTCCTTAAAGCGCAGGCCACAGTCCTCACACGTGTACACGAGCATCCCTCTGTTGCTGCCTGGATTTGTTCCCTCTAACTGCGACTTGCTCTCATTACCGGCCTGACCGCCGGCCGGAGGCTCCGTGCACTCGGGAGCGGCGTGCGTGCTCCTATCCGAGCCGTTAGACGTACTCATCGCCACGCTGGTCGGAGGAAAACTCCTGGGACGTCCGGGTTGACAGCTGCGTCCGGCCGACCCCCGGTAGGCTTGCCCGGCTCCGGCTTGCCCGGCGTGCTCAGGGGCGAGCCCGTGGACCGTGCGGTAGTGGAAGCGGATCCCGGAGCGGTTGGAAAAGCTCTTCTCGCAAAATCTGCAGGCGAAGGGCCTCTCTCCCGTGTGGATGCGCATGTGAATCTTCAGGGCTCCCGACTGGGTGAAACATTTGCCGCACTGGCTACAGCAGTAGGGCTTCTCTCCTGTGTGGGTCCTCTGATGGGCCCGGACCCCCGCCAGGTGGGGAAACCCCCTGCCGCAAAACCCGCATGAATACGGCCGTTCGCCGGTGTGAATCCGCCGGTGGATCTTCAGAGCCCCCGACTGGCTGAAGCTCTTCCCGCAGTCGGAGCAGGTGTAGGGCCGGGCGCCGGTGTGCACGTTGAGGTGGATGCGGAGGTTGCTGTGCGAGTTGAAGGCCCTGCCGCACTCCGTGCAGAGGAAGCCGGGCGGCTTTTGGGCGTGCTCGGCGCGCTGGTGCTGCAGCAACTGGGACGGCCTGGCGAATGACGCAGAGCAGTGCATGCAGGGATGAAGCGACAAAGCGCCCGCGGCCGCCCCGCCTCTTTCCGCTTGTTGCTGAGCGTGCGCTTGTCTGTGCTGGTGGTGGCAGACCTGAGAGCAGGTGGGAAAGGAGCCCTGGCAGGGCAGGCAGGGAAAGGGGCCGGGGAACTGCGGGGCGAGGCAAGAGGTCATGGGACAGTGGTGGCGATGAAAAGGATGGCGGGCGTGAGGGAACAGGGAGTCTGTGCCTTCCTGGTTGCTCAGTATCTGGCCGCAGGTCTGCAGGCTGCGATGGCAACACAGGCAGGGGAACACGGGGAGGTGGGAGAAGGAGCCCGAGGACGCTCTGGTGGGAGCGGTTTGCTCCTGGTCCTCCCTCTGAGCGGACGCCGTGCTCTCTGGGTCGGACGTGGTGCTGCTCGGTTGAGGGGTTTCGGGTAAGCTCACGCCGAGGCTCATTGAAGCTGCACCGCGGAGATCTTTGGGGTGGCACAAGGCGGCCGGGGGAGGGGGCGCGGGCACAGGCTGCCTCGGTTTTAGAGTCTCTAAGGACGGTGGAGACGTGGCTGACGGGCAGCCTGGGCAGGTGCAGACATTATGCACATCTAGACATGAAAGAAATGTAAATTACGACCAAACGAACGCAACAGGACGATGGGGGCAAACCTCTCGTATTTTGATCTCTGACCTGGTCTCTTGTCTCGGGCCTGTCCCTTCCTATGTGCCGTCCCGGGCTGGATCCGTCGACCTGGCTCTGCCTCCGACTTGTCCCGGACAGGTCGTAGTTGTTGCAGGGGTTCGAGTGAGGCACCTTTGAAACGCAGAGCCTCAACACCACCAACACCACCGGCAGCAACGCCCCACGCTGCGTTCAGCACATCTGGCTGATCCTGCAAGGCGTTTCCAGATGTGATAAGGTCACCAATGAACTGATGCACCTCCATCCAGGAGCACTGAGCACGCTGCGAAAAGTACAAGGCACAGTTGGGGTCTGAATGCATGTTCGTGTGTGAGAGGCCAAAGGTCCACGTTGCAATGCGTTGACAATGAATCGAGCGATCGTGGCTTTAGAGGAAAACATTCGTTCCTCTCCACATAGAGCGAGTAAATAACGGGGTTGTCTACTTACAACGTCGCCGCACTTCTCTTTGTCCATGAATGTGACCGCGCGCCGGCTGCTGTCAGATCGACGGCTTCAGATCGATGATCTTAATGTTTCCTCAAACTGGAGGCGGGGAGGAGGGGGGAGAGAAAGGGGGGGCAACAACAACAAAAAATGCGCGTTCTTTCTTACAGCTGTGCTGCAGCTTCCTCCCGTCCACCCTGCGGATTCTATTTCCGGGTCATTTACCCACGTGACACGTTTTAGTCGCGTATATATATTATTTATATTTAGATATTCATACATAGTTATGTTTATAAATTCTACGAGAAACAAACTTCGTGAACATCTGAGAAACAAACTGTATTCCAATTAAAAACGTATTTAATGAAATGGTTATTCTTTAGAGGGCGTAATGCGCTTTATCACACTGACTAATACGCAGTAAATCTCCATGACAACCACAGAGCGGCGTTCCTGATCCCATGATGGAGGCCTTATGATGGGATATCTCCGTGGAGGATAGAATTAGACATTTCAATCTGTATTATCTAGCGTTCCCATTTCTATCGAACTTGACTAAATAATAAATTAAAGTCATCAATGAAGTAAAGTAAGAAAGCTTTCAGTCAAATACTTACCTGAGACACAAGGAAACGTTTTTATTCGTAACAAAAAAAAATGTAAACAAGATATGAACTGACATTGCAGCAGGGAAAAGTTTATTTCTCTTTTTTTATCAAAAGACACCTCACGATTCAGCAAATGTTAATCAGATCATAATAGAATGTGATATTGTGGTCATTACCATTATTTGCATTCATTAAATATATTTTAAAAAAGTACCAAAACTAAAGTGTCTAACACATAATTGCAACTTCATCACTAAATACAAAACAATCCAGTGCTTTCATTCGACTTAATACACAATAATAGACGCAAAGGATCCATTTTCCAAACATAAAAGCTTGAGACGTAGAGTGTTTTAATGCTGTGAGAAATACCATATGTACTGCATAGGCTTCAAAATACGTGCTGCAAACTTTACTCAAAAGGAAAATAAAAAAAACGCCATAGCAGCAATGGCTTGGAATGTTTGGTTGGAATTGTAGAGGAACCAATAACATTTTTTATTCTGAACCAAAAGGTCTGTCGGTCAACTGCGTTCTATTCATAAGAGTGGAACCAGTAGAACAAAAGTCTGCTTGGTGATACAAGGGCACAATGGTAGATATGATTCAAGAGAAATGTACACAGTGGCTGAAGTACCAGCAGAGGATGTATCCTTGATAGGAATAAGACACGACCAGAGGAATGGAATCTGACAACGGATTACTTTTTTTTTTTTTTTTTTTCAGCAATGTCTACCGCCATCTTAATTAATCTGTATGACCACAGATCAAAACCAGGACCAGGAGACTGAGGCGCTTCCTTTATCTCTACAAACAGTCCAGAAGACGTTGCATTAACCATGAAACTGGAGGAACCCAGGAAATCCACTTAGAAATGCTGAAGAGAGGCAAGTTTATCTGTGTCTCCAACAACAACCACTTTGCTGTAGATCTTTTAAAATTCTTGTCTTTCGGTGCTGTTCAGCTCGTCTGAAATTTCAAATTCTCCCGGCTCACTTTTGATAGCTGAAACTGGAATGTTGCCGAGAGTTGACGAATGACTCTTATTGGACAAATTCAGAGGGGCGTCCCACTCTAGATCTCGTTTGACCCTAGTTACCAGATTCAGGGGGCTATCTTGCATCTCTCCACGGTGTTCATTTGAAAGAGGCGGCGGGGCCTCAGTCGGCCCCCGCATAGATGGAAGCGTCTGAGCGATGCCTGATGTGGGCGTCGGAGGGTCAGTTTTACAGACGGGGAGAAACACAACAAGTTTGCCACCGGTTGGTGGCGGCGGCAGGACGAGGCGCATCGTCCACACTCCATCTGGTTGACCGAGGTCGTTTTCCCCCCTCTCCGTCATACGTCCTGGTCCAGGAGACTCCTTGGCTGGGGCAGCGGTGGCGTTTACGACGGCAGCAGGCGTAGCGGCTGTATTTGTTGGGGGCGATGAGTCTGGTTTGGCATCGACCATTTTGGTCTTGGATGAGGAGCTCGTCGAGGCTGGCCGTTTCTTGGGAGCACTCTAATTATTGAAAAACACGGGGGGAGAAAAACATCCCCAGTTACTCGATGAATTACAGTTTAATGACATGAGACTAAGATGTTTAAATCAAGCTGGGGAGATGTGCCATGATGCCATGGACGTTGTCAAAAGCCTATTAAAGAAAATGGCTTCCAACCGCTTCGTTACTGGTGTTTATAGAAACGCCAACAGCCGAAAACCTAAAGTTTCCACTTTGCTTACGTCCTCCACTGTCTCTCATATGGAGTCAAGAACACGCAAGCAAAGGTTGTGACATTGCAACGGATTTGGAATCCAGTTTTTGTCAAATAGGCAAATTTTCATTGAAATTTATCAAGTATTAAAATATTTGCTTACTATGGCGTTCTGGTCCAGAGGTGTTAATTGAATTAACAGCTAAAATAATAACGTAATCAGTAAATCAGAGAATCAAAGGAGGGAAAAGAGAAAATCAAACAAATACTGACTGCAGGTTGAGGTATCTTTCCACACGTCTTGAGGTGGCTGTGATAGTTCTGCTGGTGGGGGAAGCCCAGTCCACAGCTCTGACAAAGGCAGGGCGAGTTGCCGGCGTGACCCCCCATGTGGGACATCAACAGCAAGGCCGAGCGGAAACCCTTCCCACACTCCGCACACTTCAGCACCCTCTGATGGGCCCCGGCGTGTTTCTTCAGCTCCTCGGGAGTCTCGAATCGCTCCCCACACTCCAAGCACCTGATCTCGTTCCCTTTGGGCTCCTGGTTGCCCCAGCAGCCCGTGTCCTTCTTGTGCCGCTGGAAGTCCTCCTGACTCAGGAACTCCCGGAGACACGCCACGCAGTGAATGCGCTCGGGTTCACATTTGTGTTTGCGGTACAGCCGCGCCAGGCGGTAGTGGCAGCGGCAGCGCACGCAGGTGTAAGGCAGCAAACCGAGATGGGAGAAGCTGTGTTTCAGGAGGGTGTTTTTACTCGTAAAGGTCTTGGTGCAGTCCGTGCATTTAAAATGCCGCTGGCACGTCGTCCTCCGGTGGCGCACCAGAGATCTGTGAGAGCGGTAGACGCGGCCGCACACCTCGCAGATGACGTCGATCCGACATTTCTGGAACTTCACATGGTTTTCACACTTGGAGAGGGACGTGAAAACGCGCTTGCAGCGGTCACACTCGTAAAACTCTTTCTCCAAGTGAGTCATGGACAGGTGCTCCCTCAAATGTTTCCGCGTTGCGTATTCCGTCAGACATATACGGCACCGGAAGACCTCAACTTTGGTCTGGGCGTCGGCGCGGTTGCTGGCGTGAGCGCGCAGGTGGACCCGGTAGCTGTGAATCTGGGAAAAGCGCTTTCCGCATTCGGCACACGAGTACGGTCGTGCCCCGGTGTGCAGGTTCATGTGATCCTGGAGCTTGAACTTGGAAGGCAGCTGCACGTCACAGACGCCGCAGCGGTAGTCGCCTGAATGACTCAACTCTGTGGGAGAAAGTGTGCCGATGGACCAAAAGTGAGAAAAGAAGATTAGATTAGATTAGATTTGACACATGAGGGTGTATTATACCGTTAGCACTTACAAAAAGTTTTGGTCTGCGATATTCTAGTTTGTCACTGTAAACTAATTCCATTAGAAAGCTAAACCCACCCAAGTCTCATTTTTTCCCACAAATCAGTTTCAGTAAGGTCCTGTTCATTACTCCTACAAGTTGGATTTTAAAAACATTGATGTAATAAGCAAGGAGACACCGGATCAAGCGTTCGCTTCACAAATGATACTGGGTGAAACAATTAATTCATTGATTGTTTTTATCTGTTTCATGGGACTTGTTGACAACAGGAAAAAAATACTATTGGATATTAATTTATGACAATTCAGTTAAAACTGTTTCAGGCAGACTGGGGAAAACAAAACACTGCTACCTGCTAATGAGGGCACAGGTGAATGAGTCATACCATTGTATAGTCCCTCCTCCTCCTCATCCTCCTCCTCCTCATCATCATCCTCCTCCTTCTCCTCATCATCCTCATCGACCTCTTCTTCCTCGAACAGGTCCGAAACCTCACTGTCATCGGAGTAATCCTCCAAATCCTGCATCTCCCTCGATGCCGCTCGTTCAGTGACGTCATCCCGGACGGAGACGTTCGCCGGCGGCGGACTGGCGGCTGCTGCTGCGCGCGCCTCTGACGGGCTTTTGACGGCTTTCTCGCCCGCCGGGGCTCGTTCAGCGGGGCTCTGTGCCGCTCCGCTGCCGGGCCGAGGAGCCACGGGAGCCGCCGTGGTTGGTTCAACGTGCGACGGCGGCTTTGCAGCGCCTGCTTCTTTGCCAGCGAGGAGCAGCCTCCGCACGTGCGTGTCGGGAACGTGACCCGGGGAGAGGGAGTCCCCGGGCGACGAGGCGCGGCGGGGAGCCTCCCGGTACGTGGGCTGCAGGATGTCCGGGTACCCCAACTCTCTCAGCTGGATATCGATGGTGTACTCAATGGACATGACTGCTGCTGCTGGAGGAGTCACAAAGGGAAAATGAAACAGGAAGAGACGCGGGTGTTCAAAACACAACAGACGCTGACTTTAAAAAAAAGGCGCTGAATATAAATCCGATGAGCCACAACATGTGTGTCTACTCTTTATTTTATTTTCTATCGTGCTTGTAAAACAGCTCATAGAAAGGCATTTAATGGCGCACCTGGCTCACCTGGTGGCTAGGATGGCGGCGTGGCTTGCAGGCGTGGTTTCGGAACAATTAGGAAAACGAGGCTCCCCCACTCGGCGTCGGCTTTTTATTCCAATGCTGAGGAGCTGAACACTCGCCTGCAACGATGTGGGGGGAAAACACAGCGACAACAAAAAAACAACAACAAACAAACCATCCGATCGGCTGGTTACTATTTCACTTCCAACATGATGCCCGAAGCCGGATCCCATTATCAACGGGGAGGTTGCTACAAATAGGGGAAGCAAGTGGAAGAGCACAAGGGGCGGAAGCAGGCGTGGGCGCACGAGCACGCCTGCAGTCCGGGGGTGGTACTACACGATGGGTACTGCATTTATATGGTGCTCCGTACTTTTACTCCACCGATATTCAGTGCACATATTTTACTTTAGGTGTTTAAGAATTGTATTATATTAAACCGTACAACTGTATAACCATGGCCAGAAAAGAATGAAGAAATATTAGCACATAAGAGAATTATGAATCCGTTATAATAATGCACAGTTAAACAGATGCATTGGCAGATAACAAGTGCTTTATAAAGTTACTATTAGTTCAAAGTATTTAAGTAAAAATATTCCCTGTAATACTACATTATAGTTTTATTGATACAGCTTACTACCATTGATATCGCTGTGGTTTGTCATGTAGAGAAAGAAAATGCAGCTGATTTTCTGGTAATATTGTATGTTGGTTAAAATATTAGTCTCCAAAACAAGCTGCATTTAATCACGTTAAAAGAAATGTATACCCATAGTTGACGGATTATTCCATCCCACGTACTTTAGATACTTTTGCGTTTTTGTGTTCCTGCCGAAGAACTGCGACAAAGACAAAAAGTTATTTCTTCAGAAGCCTCCCTTGGGATAGCATGGTTTATTAGTTTTGCAGTGGGGAGAGAAACAATCCAATCAGTGAAAAACAAAAGATATACGGTTTCTTTTGGGACTAAATGCTGGCGCATGCTTCTGCGTCGACGCACTCGTTTCAATTCATGGTTCTGCGTGTGTTGCAGAGCAATTCACCACCAGAACAACGGGCGGAGTAACGTTTGTTGAAGACGACCTAGAGAGTCACGTCTATTTGTTTGTTTATTTATTTCTCAGACTTTATTGCCCCGTGCATCGCCACTGCTGCTTTCCATCGCGGACACATTTGTCCCGTATTTTCCTCCACAACTTTGTGCACCTCTCGACCGGCAAACCGGCGTTTGCGGCGATCAGCCTCCGTGAATCCAACCCGCTTCTACAACCCGCCAATGACGGCGTGTATAAGCGGTCATATTTACGCATTTCTCCCGACAAAACAAAAGTTCTTAAATCTGATCCGTTCTCTCCTAAACATTCTTAGTTTTAATAATGGCGGTATCGGGCTATGAAAGCGGAAATGTGAGACTCCGTAAAGGATGCAGTTAGCGGACCAATCGCAGCCTGGTGCGCAGCGGGACGCTTGCGTTACAAGCCTAGAAAAATGTCTCGACACACGCAAGGACGCAAGGTGGCGTGAAAAGCGACGCAAGGGACACGCAAGGGGGGCTTGCGCCTGCGTCGCTCTGAAAACGCAGAAGCATAAACTAGGCTTTAGTTCCACTTAAGAAATGTCTAAGACAAGAAGTATTATTCTTATAAGTGAAAATTTTAAAAGACAAGGACGATTATAGTGGATCATTTCTGCCCACATTGAACCTGGAGCCAAAGTAATTTTTTAGCAAAAGAAGTCTTTGTTTCCTTCTCATTGAAACTTTCCATTAGAAAGGAACGGTGTCAAAAAAGCACAATATGAACCAAAAGCTGTACATAAAATTTCTTTTGACAAAATGTATGGACATTCAAACATAGTATCTCTACTAGGCATGTCATTTAATTAAAAATAGGTGCGTACCTAATTTGTGTTGGAATAAAACAAGAGGAAATAAAGAAATTTAAAAAATAAATGAGCCCATTAGTCTAAAATTAAACTCCAAGTAATACATTTAAATCACACACATTTCAAGCTTAAAATCAAATCTATTTGAAAGAGGTAAAACACTTTTTTTTCCTTTTGTTTGTTTTTTACAAATAAACTCGTTTGTGGCAACGATGGCAATAGATAGATTTAAAAACATTTGGTTTGTCAATTTAGGTGATGTGTCCAGAATCTCGACAGCTCAAAATCCAAACTTAAATTCAAATCACAAACTTGCTAAAACGTCATTCTGAAAACCATTCCGATGTCTGACCTACCACGAGATGTTCAGATCTCCTATGTTTAAAAGAAAAAAGAAAATTCCCTACTAGCATCTTGAAAAAAAAAAAAAAATACATATTATGCAAGCTCCCCAAGGCTCAACTATCTCTTAGCACTTGGGTTTTCCGGCTTTTCCTCCGGGTGGATTTTCTGGTGAGCCTTTAAGGTGCGCTCACGGCCAAAGCTCTTCCCACAGGTTGGACAGGCCAGTCGTCCTACGGCATGAGACCGTGACATGTGGGCTTCCAGCTGCTCAGGACGGGCAAAGCTCTCTTCACATTCCTCACAGGGATGCGCTTTCCGGGGGGCGTGTTTCACCTTCTTGTGAGCGCGCAGCTGAATCAAGGCAGGGAATGTGAGGTCACATTCGGGACAGGGGTGCTGCCGAGCTGCAGGAGCAGCATCCGCTTTAGGTTTCTTCTCCATTGCTGGTGCTTGACTGTCATCCTCAGGACTCTTCGTATCTTCCGTCTCTGATTTGACTGCTGCTGCCGCTGCCGCCGCCGCTGCTGCTACTGCCGCTTTGGAGGGACGTCCACGTTTTGCACCGGTTGCTTTTGCCTTTTCCTCGAGAGGTGCGGTGGACTCTGATGCGCTGCTGGCCTTCACCACCACCTCGGGCGCTTCTGCCTCATCTTTCTTTTTCCGCTTTCCCTTTTTCTCAGCAGCTGCGGAGTCTTCCACTTTGGCAGGCCGGCCACGTTTCTTGACGGATGAAGCACTGCCGTTGCATTGCTGGCCTTCGGGGTACTTCTCCTGGTGTTCTATCAGCTCGGGTTCCGTTTCAAAGCCCTGACCACACTTCTTACAGCGGTGGGTTTTTGAGTCCTCCGGCTGTTCTGCGGTGTCCACGTCCGGGCGGAGATGCTGGGTCAGGCGATGATTACGCAACAGTCCAGCGCTCCGGAAGGTTTCATTGCAATCTTTACATACCATCTGTTTCTCTGGACACACCTGTCTCCTGTGGGCTGTTAGCTACAAAAGGGTAACAGAATAGCTGGGTGAGCTTGTTTGGCTTAACTGGCGGCATTTAGTTTTAATACTGCCAATGACAATTATTCTACTCACTTCAGAGAATGTTTTAAAGCTCTCCTTGCAGTGCACACATTTAAAGGGCTTGTCGTCCTTGCTGTGTGTTGGCTGGTGCTGTGTCAGTTCCTCAGAAGACAGGAATGATCGGTCACACACATAGCACGTGAACAACGTGTTTCCCTGTGAAGACAATTTTTTTTTTTTTAAAGGGAAAAAGTTCAAATAATTTAAACACTGGTAACATGTTCAATCCATTGGTTTACCGACAACAGTAGCATTGTATACAGTGTGCCTTCTAATGTTTACACTAAAGCACACACACACACACACACACTGTAACAAGTAATGTACTGTGCTACCATAATTTATCTTTTGCAAACACCAGTAAAAATGAAGCATAAAATATAACACATTGTATCGTTAACCTAATGCGGTCAACATGTGTTGCTTTATCTCAAAACACATACACACAAATACTCAATACAGGACATTAACAATAAACTATAATATTCTTTAAAGAATTAAAAGTATCTGTTAGACCGTTGATCCTGCTCAAGACAAGCAAGTGACAAAGCTCTACCATGTAGTCATTCAATAAAGTGACGTTGGGAGCGTACCTGCTGAAGCTGTTGCTTGTACTCTTCCCGGTGGCTCTTCTTCATATGCCTTTCCTTGGCTTTGGCGCTGCAGAAGGTGATGAAGCACTGGAAACACTGCAGATTTTCATGCTGGTCTAGATGATGGAAATTGAGATTAGAGACACCGTGCAAAATCAACTGGTCTTTCAGTGGCGTGCAAACACAAAAGCGGTTACTGTAATACCACTTACAGGGCTGAACGGAGGCTGCAGGAGGTCCATTCCGAATGACGGGCTTGCATGGCGCCGCTGGTTTTTCGGGGGGAACTTCCGGAGGTGGGTCCGGCAATCCCCGACCCATCACTATCTCTTCTATGTTCAAAATCTCAGAGTCCATCCTGTTACAGTGGCTGCGCTCAACAAGCACACCCAAAACAATCGTCCTGTATGCAATTAAAGAACAAGTTGAAAACACAAGGAAAGTTCTGCTACTTATCCCATGGAAATAACAGCAGTTCGGCTAACTGCGGGAAAATAACATCCCACCGGTTGCGTCCATTTGTATTATGATCAACACATGATAACGAACAAATAAGTCACCAACTTAGTTAGGGTGGGACCTCAGTAAAATAACAGAGTATAGAAACGGTGACGTTTATGGTTAATATTATTGCAGCTGTCCCATAACAAGGAAGTCAAGTTTCAGCTAATCGTGGCTAACGTAGACGCTACGTTGCTGGCGCTAAGGCCGCTAGCCGAGCCAACTAGCGCCATTATAACCTATGAACATCCTTGCTACTGGTTGACGAATTAAAACGTCACAACTAGTATATTTTTCAATAACCGTAAATATTGTGCAAATAAACGAACTGTGTTGATGCAATGCATTTGCCCGTAGCTAACGCTAATCATAAGTACTAGCCTGTCGATCGGGCTAACGCTAGCTAGCTACTAGTTAGCGCTAACAACACAGGCTGCCATTCAAATAGGCTCGAGGACTTTTTGATTACAAATATCAAGTTTTACCTTTGTTTGGCTCTTGCACCCGTCTTACTTTAACCCCGCCGACGGACCTTCTTAAATATACCTACATCTTTTAAAACAACACATTTCATAGCGAGCATACGACTACATTACCTCTAGCCGCTCTTTGCCGATAGTTTGACTGAAAGAGTTGGATAGATCGGACGCTTCCTGGCGCGCGTGCGTGCGTGCGTGTGACAGATAGCCGTTGGTACAACTAAGATGGCTGCCGCGCAGTCTTCGGCATTATGCTTTTTATTGCCATTGTTGATGCGTTGAGAAAAACATCTGAAAATAAATAGACATCAATATTCCGTTGACGCGGGGCTCTACTTTGCGTTGTAGGGAGTGTAGCGTGAAACACGCATATAATAATAAAATATTCTCTCTCAATTCAAATGCCGCCATATCGGTTCATATACGGTATTTATCTTAATACAATCGTTTAGAAACACACAACGAGACAACTATCGTTTTTATAAATATGAATTCATTTGAATTTATCTTCCTTTTTATATAGTCGGATTCTATGGTTGATCCCCGTCACGTGACCCCAAACAACTTGTAAAACGTGTAATGTGTAAATATTCATTGTTTTCATTCTCTGTAATAGTTTTGCTGCTTTATAATACACGTGGGGCAAAAAAGCCTACACAAAGTCCAATCAACCGTATAACTGGTGATTTATGTCAAGATGAATACTCAACACCAGTGTAAAATGATCAAAAACAGGACATTTAATGTTTGCAAACAGAGTTGACACACATACAAGTCATGCACCAAGCCTACTCGGAGGTCTTCTTTTCCAGCCTCCACATATATACTAGGATAAGGTATGATAAACACGTGTACGCACAATGATCTCATTGTACAAGGACCGTCATGTTCTTTATCCCGAGACATACATCTGATCATAATGAGAGACGGAGTGGCCTCCTGGACACCGGACACGCACGCCACACAGATTTTATATCCTGAGCGTCATCTTCTCTCAGCTGACATGTCATATACCCAACTTATTGTACAAACGATACACCCTTCTTGACATGACATTATTGCAGTTTTTCCAATAATCACCTAATCAATTTAGGACTTATCTCAAGGTTTTGCAGTCCATTTACAACTTTATAACTTTTTTTTAATATAATGTCCTCTAAAATCATATTTGTAGTGTTTTATACCTCAGGGATATGAGTGCACACGGATATCAATAGAAGTATGTATGTGTAGTCAATTTGTAGTTCCTCTAATCTTTGTGATTTTCTCTACTCATGCAGTGTGTCCATACATAGTGTGTAATCCTTCTGACAAGACTTTTAACTCTAACTTCCTTTAACCTACCAAATGGTTGGATGAAATACTAAATATCTCCCATTGAAACGGTGTATTGTGCAAAATGGAAAACAACAAAGCATGTTTTTTCTTATTTTACTTTTTTCAAATTAAATTAAATTCAGATCGAAAAAAGGAAGCTCATGGAATGCAAATTCAGTTCAATTAAAAAGCTTTAAAAAAAAGGGACAATAATTGATAAAAATCATCTGCAACACAAAGTGCATTGCTATGCATATTGTTTACATTTCTTTCTGATGGCTCAAATACCTTTACACTTTGTCAATGACATATTAAGCTGCATCATGTAGCATTTCCTTTTTTTTTTAAACAGCAGTACATAATCCTGCACAAATACGCCCCCGCCAGAGAAAGGCAATTGAGCAATTGTTGAAATTTGACAAAGGTCATAATACTGTATGCTTTTTACAAGCTGGGTTTTCATACACCAAGTGCACATTTACATTCAAACTCAGAAAGAACATTTTTTGAAAATAAAAAGGGTAAATTCCGGATGTCACACTTTTTCTAAACTCCCTTGATTATGAAAATTTAAAAAGCAGTTGTGGTTGCGTGAGATACAAAGAAAGACACAACACTTAAGGCACATGACGCGAGATGTTCTTTGACAGTCCCCAAAGCGACACCTGCCACCTTCTACCTCTCCAAGCTGCTCCGGCCAGTGGCCCGAACCATCGTACCGTGTGGCTGCGTCTGGTAAAGGACTCTCCTGCACCAGGCTGGTATCGGGGGTTTCGTTTGTGGCGTGAGCCCTGTCTTTGAGTGGTCGAGGGGGAATGGAGTCCTGGGCAGCAGAGCCGCTACGGAGGATCAAAGCCTTAGACACCTCCAATCTGAAGGACATGAAAGTCAGAGGTGCAGACACTGCCCTGTGATCCTGTCTGTACAGGAGCCAGGAGTTGACCAAAGCTAGATCTGTTAGGTACCAGAGCACCGCTTGCGGCCAGCAGCTTGGGGCTGAAGCAGTGAGGGGGATGGAGTAAAGGTTCCGCAAATCTCTGTTGAGATGAGCAGACATCTGGGCCTTCTCGAAGTTCTCAATGAGTGAAGCAGTGTTCTTCTGGGCACTTCCTGCGGTAGAGAGTATGAAGCCACAGTGCGATCTGCGTAACATCAGCTTCCCGTCCGAGCTTACAAACTCATCTCCAATTTGTCCTCTGGCTCCTCCGACCCTTCCTGCGCCGTGAACCCCTGCAGCCAACAGACGCTCTAGCATTGTGGGGGTGGAGAGTTCCTGTTTGCAAAGAAACACCATACTACCTCTGGGGGCCATTTTTTCTACAGCATCTTCTTTGCCAGAAAGACCCAACTCGAGATCCACATGTAAAAGAAAACCTCCAAATCCAATTAATGTGGTACAGTAGAGAGACAGTTTCTTATTTTGAATTTTCCCAGGCAAAGGGAGTAGATATTGGTCCACTGCATAATTCCCCTCTCGTCTCAGCGCCTGGCATCCAGCTTTGAAGCGGCTCAATAATTGCTGAGCCTTCCACAGCGGATCCGCCTGTGTTTTCGGACCGCTCGGGTCATTTGGCGCATCCTCTGATGTCCGTTCAGAAATGTCACTCGGCCTGCTCGAGACAGCTTCACCTTGCAGCGCATTTTGAAAGTCACTACCACCATGTCTTCCTTCCTGAACATTACTGTTGACTGGATCTTTTTCCGGGGAGGCGAGTTTCAACCCGCGAGACAGCTCAAGGAAGCGGGATAGTGGCACGGCTTCAGCAATCAAGGGCACCTTGGTCAAGTCCTCCCAATAGAGCTTTGGACTAGGAAACTGAAAAATAGCAAGAGACCGTTTTTACCTTTAGTGGTCTACTATCTAGTTAACAAAGCAAGTCAAGATTTAAAAAAGCACAAAGAACAAACCTTTAAAGTTCCCATTGCTATGTGAATGCCAACAAACTGTGCAACCTCCCTGGCTGTAACAAGTTTGGTCATGTTGGAAAGCTTATTTGTACAACTGGCCATTTCTACCCAGGTATCCCAACCAAAATAACTAGAGAAATAGTCAATGGGCTCTCTGGTCCTGTTATCTTCTCCAAGGTCTGAGGTCGGCAAACTATGGAAGAAAAAGGGAGAGAAAAAAGAGGCACGCACACAAGTATGGTTTGAATAAATATTCAACACTATTTTTGCACAGTGTGACAGAACTATTCAATCACATTGAAATGGTAAACGATACACATTTTTTTAGAGTGCTCTTGTGAAGGTTGTATACTGTACTTTTGGGACAGCTCATCCGGCTGTTCCCTGCTGCTCGTTTGGTTTTTGCAGAAATAGGCCATTATTTCTGCTTCAGTGTCAAGCGGAGGATCAGACAATTCAAAACCACCCGAGTCCTCCTCATCGGAACCTTGGAGGAGAAAGTCGCTGATGTCTGGTGGACGCTGCCACTCAGTGTCCGCCACAGCTGAAAGATCAGATTATGAATGGACGAGTTAAGTATGATCAACATTTTTTCAAGTACGATCTAAATAGATCCTACGTGAAAATCTTCTCATAATCTTGTAATTTCACTGGAAAAGGCGTTGACTCACTTGAATTACTATCCGTTTCCTGATGTTCAGTCTGCTGGGCATCAACGGATGCTCCGGTTGTTGAATTCGGACTGTTTGTCTGAACCTCCCTCTCTTCCTCCTTTACTGGGTAGAAGATACACTGGTCGGTGTTGGACTCTGGGATGATGCAACTGTCGTCGCTCGCTGTCCCTTCAATCTCCATCACTGAAAGCAGAAAGCCAAAAACAGGGTTTCAATTCTTTACACAGTGACACACATTGGCTTATTGTGTCATCCCATTTCAAATCAACCACCTGCCTGTCGTCATCTGACCCGTGAGCGGTATCAATCTCTTCTTGCATGTGCACGTCTCCTCTAGTGTTGAACTATTACTTCAACATGTACCCACGGTGCGACCTCATACTCACATGGACTGGGGGAGTTTACAATGTCGACCGGCTCCACATTCCATCGGATGCGTTTGCTGCCTTGCGCGGCCTGGGCCTCGTGCAGCACGAGGCTGCTCTCCTCCTTCACCAGAACAGTCCTTATATCACGATGGTGCTGTGGCTGCACACTCGCACTCTGTCGGTTTTGACAGGTGGGCTCCACCAGTGGTGGATCTGAGACGCTCTCTTCTACCTTGATCTCCTGGGGGCTGCCACAGCTTTCATTCTCAGCAGTGCTGTCCAAACCCTGGACCCACAACAAATGTTAGTTCGCAATGCATCATTTACACATGATCATTGGTAGTTGTTGATACAACTAACGACTCACATGACTGTGATTGTTCCCATCCGTCATCGGGCACGGCTCCTTCTCGGCAGGGGTGAGGATCTTCTCAAGTATAATGTCTGGAGACTGGTCGGACTCGCTGTCCTCGCGTCCCTGGAGTCCTCTCAGATGCATTACCCCCATAACACCAGTGGTAGCAGACACTAACTCAGGAACAACTTTTTCTTGGGGCATTGATTCAGTTGGAGCAGTATTTTGGTTGGTCTTAAGACTGATCTCCGTCTGTGGAGCATCTGGGCCAGCCTCGCCTTCGTCATTCATTTCTGAATCAGAGCTGATGGGACATTCTTCGTAAATTAGCCGGCATTCGTCCTGTTCTTTCGCTGATTCCGTTCCTCTGATAATGCCCCCAACTGAAGCTCTTTTAGATGTCACACCTTGTTTCAGACGCCCCGTTCCTCTTCTCCTACTTTGAGCATTCATTGAAAAAGTACATGTCCCTGCTTCTTCTTTATTGTGGACCAACAGTTCTTGCTCCTCGTCTTTGATTTCCACATGATGAGTGGAGCATGATACAGTCTGTGAAGTTAGGTCCTTTGGGGTGTCATTAGCAGCTTGCCCTGGCAGTTCGACAGTGTTTTCACCCGTGGAATTGCAAGTTCCACTTGATTTATTTGGGGGAAGAACGTCTTCATGAGATGTTGGTTCATCTCTCTCATTCTGCTCCCCAACAGTGATTAAATCTACCTCGAGAAGTAAATCCTCCTTAATATCTTCCTCTGTGGTAAATTGATCTTTAGACTTAGAGCTAGGACTCCTTGCAGGACCTTCTTGTTGCTTGTCCGCATCCGACGCCAAAGGCTCTCCTGCATCCAAACTCTTTGTCTGAGTGGAGGTACTTAAAGGGGGCTCACATGGGAAATTCACACCGGTCTCACTGTTTTCCCTTTGATCAGATGGGGATTGAAGTTGAGGGAAAGTGTTGGATGGAAAATCAGTTTCACTTTTACCGTCAGCCTTATTTTCATAGGCACCAACTTCAATATCTGAAGGAGAAACCGGTAAAGACGGGGATGGAACCAAAGCCGGAAAGGAGACGCTTCGCTCTCTCCCCTCTGAGGCCATCTCTGCAAGCTCGGACTCGGTGTCCCAGTCTGAAGCGGCATTCATCGCTCCAGCAACCTCATCGGGCTGTTTTGGAAGCTGGTAAAGATTTAACCCGGAGACGCCTTCAAAGACGTTGCCGTTGGTGTAGGTGAGACCAGGACTCTCAACGATATGAACGGTCTTGTGCTTCTGGAGGGACGAGACGTCGCTAAATCTTTGACCACACTCCTGACACTCTAAGGCACGCTTGGAATTGGAAGTTATGACTCCTTCAGTCTCCACGTTGGACGAGGCTTTACGTTTCCTTGTAATTTTTGGTTTTACCAGCGTCTCAGGTGTTTCATGAGAAACTTGTAATGAGGACAACAACGAAAAAGCTTTCTTTTTGGGTCCTCCTCTATTCTTACCTTCCGCTGGAAGATTATTTGTAGAGTCACTGGCTGAGTGTTTGAGTTTGTTCGCTTGACTCTCTTGGGGAATAGTTTGGGGATCATGAGGGGAAGCCTGTGTCTGGCCTGATGCTTTGGAAGGGTCTAACTTGTAAACTTTCAGTTGAGGCTGTTTGTGACCTTTCAGTAGAAGTAGAACGTCTTCCTTTATCTGTGGTGAAGGGATGTCTGCTGCAGCTGTGCTCGCAGTGGTCTTCACTTTTTCGGGTTCAGCCTGTTTTTTCTTCAGCTTTCCATTCTTTGCTTTCTCCGGCTCATCTTTATGAATTCTTTTTGTTGTTTTTTTCTTTTTAAATACAGGTAAAGTAACAGTTTTCTTCTCACTTATGAGCATAACCCCTTCTTTGGCCACTTCTTTTTGCTTTTTCATTTTATCCCCTTTGATATTGTTGCGGGTTCTGGGTTGAAGATGGTGATTTTGTTTCAGAAGGAGATACCGAATGTTCAATTTTCTTCTCCGCTTTCCCCTTTCCGCCCTTCTTCGGTGACACTCCCTTTTTCTCTGAGAGATTTCTTGGCGGTGTTTTCCCTCTTTTTCCCTCCTGCCGTGTTTGCGGACTCTGCTGTGATGGCTTCTTCCGTTTGTTTGTTTTCTCTTTGGTTTGTGGACCAAATTTAACAACAAGGCGAGACTTTTTGGTTTTTCGCCGTTTGGTAGGTGAGGGATCTATTTGGAAATCCTCCTGACTTATACATCCGACCAGTTCTTGCCTACATCCTTGAAAGATAAACGCCCTGGTCGGCTTTCTTTTCCGCACTTTAACCAGTTCTTGAGCTGACATTACATTTACCGGTAACTCCGACACCGGCTTCATCTTCGGTGGAACCTCGTCTTTAGCGGTTGGATCCTCTACTTCAGACTTGTTCTCCACCTGCTCCTGACTCTCCTTGCTGTCTGCCAGTAATTTCACAGATGAATCTTGTTCAGACGGTCCAGGCTTTTCTTCTGGCTCGTGTGGTGCATCTCCATCCCCTACAGGTTGGCCCTGATCTAGACTTACAGTTTTCATCTGTGAATCAGTCTGTTCTTTGAGATTAGTTTCTGATTCACTGATAGTTTGTGTGAGTGTGTCTGGTGGATACAAAGGGTAAGAAGGAAGGCCCTGATGCTCGGTGCCTAGAGGGGCCAACTGCAGCTCAACTGTATTCATAAGTAATGGAGTGGACAGGCTGATCTGCTCATCTAATGCAGAGTGATCAGAAGTCTTCTCCAAGTCAGTAGTTGGAACGAGGCAGGCCGGCGAGATGTCTTCATATGTCACAGTTTGGCATTGTTCCAGGTCCACAGTTGGTATGAGTTCTAATATGACGGTTTGCTCGAGGTCTTGCTCTACCTCGTTCTGACAAATAATTTGATTCATAGGATCAGACTGAATTTCGACAATATTGGACTGTTGAATGATCTGATGAGTCACCTCTCCCTCAGCTCTCTCTGTATGTTCAGTCTGAACCAGTGTTAGCTCTGTATTTTCACCCGCTGCTATGTGGGATCCCAGTTCTGCGAAAGAGGGGTTTTCTAATTGCCCTTCTGGAGTAATAGGTTCAAGTATAATCGTTTGCTCCATTGAATCCGTGGGGTTGTTATAAATGTCCAATCCAACCATCTTAGATTCAGTTCCTTTGAGTCCCATAAAGTCCATCGTTGGTGGGTGGGGATTCAAATGTGTCGTTTCAGCCAGTTGTGAGACCTGCTGCACTTCCAGCGGGGGGGCATTAGGGGGCACCTGCCCCAATATTACAACTTGGTTTACTTTCTGCACATTTCCCAAAGCCTCAATAAGTCTACAAATCTGCTCTGTGTCAATATTGGCATCAACTTTTTGCAGCGGCCCGTTGGGCCCCACCTGTAGGAGTGCTGGTTGGTGAATAGATATTGGAGTTATGATGGGTATACCTTGTTCCACTTGCAGCCCAGCTGAGAGGGCCTTTCTGGCTGCAGCAGGCTGCATATTGTGCTTAGTTTTCATGTGATATAGCCTTGTCCTGATAGTCTTGAAAGTGGCCTTGCATACACAACAAGGATACTTTTTTGGAGTAGCACCTAAGATGACAAAAGAAGACAGCTGGGATGCATTCAGGTAAATGATGAGAAGCACAACACATTTCATGCTATATGACAGATATAGTATAATTTTTAAAGATTATAGAATTCATGGGTTGAAAAACAAAAGCGAGAAGAGGAAAATAATCTGTTTGATATTTAAGTTAAGTTTTGTAATACAAATGTAATATTTACAGAGCCATCGCCCTCCATGGAATATACTAAATTAATTTAATAATAAATGTAGTTTATTCTTCTGTCTATGTAGACCAACTCACTCCAGACCGTATCTTGTATCGGCTACAAATTATGAATACAAATTGACATACTACATATTACAAAGTACTAAGCCCTAAATGTCTCTTTAACTAAACTCCACCGTATAGAAAGCCTGCCAGGGATATTGTGTGTCATTAATAATTATATTACTTTGGATCATAAAATGTGACAAAGACCGAGCCTGCAACAATCCATGCAGCTCTGTAAAGCCGCAAATGCTTTCACTTCAAATTTGATCATGTTTCTCCTATTAGTTCAGCCAGTTAGCATGCTAACATTTGCTGATTAGCACTAAATGCAATGCAATAAGGTGACTGTTTTAAATGTGGCTAGTTGTGCTAAACATTTCATATTAGTAATACAGAGCCCACTAGTGTCCAACATACCAGATTTTGTGGTAATCAACTTTAATGTCAAAATATTTCCCCCAAAACCCCCCGAAAAAAAATCAACCTCTTGGTGGAACTTGAGGAAAGTCAGAAGATCAACAAAGTCATTAAGACTAATCTTTTGAGTACCATTATTGTCTGTACAAACTTCCATGGAAACTATTTGTTGCTTAAGACATTGCAGTCTGGACCAACAAACAAACATTGTCATCCCTTGAGCAACGTCACCAGCATTGCTAAAAATAATGTTAATATCTTAATGTGTAAAAACAAGACGCCCGTAACAAAGACACATTTGTCTTACCTTCGGCTTTCTTCGGCTTGGTTTTTGCAGTGCCGTCTACCCGCTCTCCTTCAGCTCCCTTTGGCAGGTGTACGACCAAATGTTTCTGCAAAGCTTTGGTCGTGATGTACCTATTTCCACACTCTTTGCAAACATGCGGCCTCTCTCCCGTGTGTGTGCGACGGTGATACTTCAGCAGTGTCATTGTTTTGCACGGTTTGCCACAGTCGGCACAAGCATAGCCTTCCCCGTCAAAGTGTTTTTTTCTATGAAAGGTGAGCTCTGATGACTTGCGGAAAGATTGGCCACAGACTGGACACTTGAAGGGTGTCTCCTCCGTGTGGGCTTTCTGGTGGACCATGAGCTCCGTAGAGTTGGTGAATTGGCGATCACATATGTAACAGGCGAAGAGGGCGTTGCTCAGTATGCACTCTTCATATTCTGCTGGGTGGTTCAACTTCAGGTGACGCACCTTGCTCTTGTAATCGCTGAAGATGATGTGGCACTCGAAGCACTGCAGGGAGATTTTAGATGCTGAAAGGAATTGGGGAAGGAGGGGGTAGAAGGGTTATATGTAACATCCCGTTCATCCATGTACTTAAGATAGAGACAAACATTCCTAAAGATATGAACTCCTGCAAAAAGAAGAAATGCGGCTCCTTCATATAGTGACACACAGCACACGCGTGGCAAAAGAGTTTGTCTGCACATTAAAGCTTGCAATGTAGTATTATTTTAAGAAAGATTCCTAAGCAAGAGATTCAATAGTTTTATAAATATGATAATATATAACCTTATTGTTTTTCCCCACAGTATCTCATAACGGCTTGTACCACCATATCTAATCCGAGTGGGGGGGGTTAGCACTGATTTAAGTGTTCAAACCTGAAATAGGTCTATTACTTCTTGGTTCAGAGAGGAATGACATAAAACAAATAAAATGTTGAAATACTCACATGTGAGAGGAAGTAGTATTTGTTTGGACATGTCCATCTTTAGAGGGTCTATCATGGCCTTCTTGGAAAGAACGTATTTCCTGCCTTCACGTGCGCCTTTATCCGCTTTCTTTTCCTTTTGCATTTTGCCGGCTGGATTCGCTTTGGTCTCCGGCGTCGGTTCCGCAGAGACATTCGGCTCCAAAGCGCGGTCCGCGTTCCCGGAGGAGTCTGCCGGCGTCTCAGCAGCGGGCTCGTTCTCCGCTACGCGCGTGACTGGCGTCCTCTGCGCGTCTTCCGTTTGCACCCCGGCGCTTTTCTCCGGTGGCTTCGCGACGGTTTCGACCCGAGCAGGGAGCAGCGGATTCGCTGTCCTCTTGCTGGGCATCTGGTCCTCCCGGTGCTGGCGGAGCTTCGGTCTCCGGGTTCGCACTGCTGTTGGGACCCGGTGGGACTCTGCATGGCTGGCCTCGTCTCGGCTGCTCCAGTGCACTTGTTCATTTGTTTCTATGAAACCAGGTGACACAGAAGGCCTGTTGGTTGCACGTGTGGAACCAACACATACATGCACACAGTTACTGTAACTGCTGAATACAAGCATGGTGCCTTTCACGGTTGGATGTGTTCTTAACGTAGTAAGCAGCATCGTCATTATTTAGCTAGCTACATGGCGACAGCTGGGGGACTGCGAATGAATGGGTTCAAAACATTTGAATCACAAAAGACTGAAGGACATGGAGGGGGGCGTGTGGTGGCGTAGAGGGGGGGGGGGGCGCCATTGCATACTGATAGAACTATAACCAGAACCGAACACTTTGGTTGTTATAAATAACTTATAACTATAGTTTTGAACAAACCCTGTGTAATAGACGCAGACGCACGAATATGTAGAAACCCGGTTAGCTTCAATTCACTGGTTTACGTTTAAGACCGGGAAGTAAGCGTTAGCATCCGACGTTAACGTTGCGTCCCGTTACAACGCCAAACAGGCTAAATAGTCATTACTTTCTGCATTGCACCCTTTTAAACACTCGCATGTGACCCGTAAAGCTGTGTGAATGCAGGAGGGGGTAGTTTAAAGGTTAGCTACCTAGCTACTGTCGCGTCCGCCCAAACATCTCCGCGTTGTTCCCCACAAAGCATCACAGAGGGGCTGCAGACGCTCACGTGACTTCAGGTATTACAGGGGAGTCTGGGAGCCGCAGAGGAGTCTGGGAGTTGTGGTTTTTCCTACAATCAGCCCTCAAGCGTTGCCGTTCACTATACTAAAAGACTACAAAACAGCACGCTGCGGATACCAATAAACACAGTATAGTTAGAATACGTTTAAAGATGATTACAGCCAAGATTGCAATGGCATCTGTAGTTAAGATGTATTGCAATAGTCTCAAACCCATTATTTTTTATAGATTATAGATCAATATGTAACAGTACCATTGAAGCAGTATACGCTCTATAAAGTTTGCTGTAAAGTTTAGGCTTGATTTAAAAGGCTTTAAACATGTTTTGTGAATATTCAAAGTATAGTGGTTTTGATAAATACTTTTTAATTATATGGGGCACAAAGTCTCCCTCACTTGAGTCTGCCCTGTCTAACCCACTCTTATGTGGAATTGAAGAAAGAAAAAAGTAAAAGAGCCAGCAGGTGGTGAGTACTGCCGTGTGTGATGTAGGGTCTTCAGCACAGGATGAACGCTGTAAATTCCAATTACTGCAGTCCCTCTAAAACCTCTATAAACCAACAATAAAAAGTACATTAGCATTACATTACATGTCATTTAGCTGACGCTTTTATCCAGCGACTTAGCAGATCAAGCAGAATATTCTTCACCAATAATGCTACTACTGTTAATATATTTAATCAACATGTACATATACATCAATCATATGATTATCAACAAGCTATCACCCATAACTAGTAATGATTTGTATACGAGGTATTAAATTCACATATCCATTACTACAAGCAAATATCTCAGTTGTTATTATTCATTTGTACCCTCATTACACTTTCAAAACATGCACAAGATTTTGTCCATTTGGAATGGTTGTTAAACATAAAAGTTATTTGTAGAATACTTTTAATAATACAAGTCAAACGAACAAATCATATTGCATTTAGCAACATGAATGTCAATAAAACTAACTTTACCACTTGCTGGAAAAATACGGTAATCAAGTTCATTCTGAATTTAGACTGTGGGATTGAAGTGGAAAATGTGATTGAACATTTTGAGCATACAACTTTCTTCAACATATTTCCATTTCAAACAGTGATGTGGTTTTAGTTCATGTTGTATGTAAAACACAATTTCCCTCATGCACAAAGACGACCACTAAAACATTTTGAATGCATTTTATTGGTTATACAAAGAGGGGAAGTTAGTTTTTCTTCAGTTGAACACTTTCGTGACATTGGTTTGCAACACCGTGATTATCAACAATAAACAATAAAACCTGTAGTTTAATGTCATAGCATCAGATCAGGCTGTGGATACTATTTTACATCTTCCTAGGATATTATAGTTTATGTAATGTTAAATTGTGAGAAAGCGCTAGTTTAAAAATGTACTTTGTTTCTTAGCTCTTAAGCATTTATATTTAACAGTAGGTCAAAAAAACAAGTAAGGCTTAAGTCAACAAAGGCACAAGTATGAAAAAGAAATACGGCACTACCGCGAGCCTTCAACCCTGAATATAATCCTGAGTCATCGGAAGCTCACCGGTAGCATGTCTTATATAATGCAAATGCAGCTCTTCCACTTCATCAAAGCCCATATCGCATTCAACACACGGCCATTTAAAATCTCTCCACATGTGTGTTTCCTGTGACTCGCGCTGGTGCAGCCACTCTCCCATTTGTGATTCCAACTTGTCAGGTGGAACAGATTCAGCCCAGCCGAGTGCCGTTGACATCTGGAAGTGCTGCACAGGCTCTCCGCCATCCGACGCGTTCACGTGATGCCACATCGTATCATTTGCCGCATCATTTTCATCGCAGCCTTCTTCCTTTACCGGAAACTCCTCCGGGTCCGTCTCCGCGTGGCGCTCCTCTTTGACGGCGGCGGGCAGTAGCCTCTCTTCCATCTCTTCCTTCGTTGAGATATTTGCAGAATTCGCGATCCCCAGAGGGCTCCGGCTGGACTCAGCGTGAATCCTGCAATCCCATTTTTGGTGTGAAGTCAGATTTCCAGACAGGGTAAACATCTTCCCGCAGAATGTGCACTGGTACGGTTTTGCTCTGGTGTGGGAGGCGTAGTGGAGCCGGAGACGATGGCATGAGCCAAAGTCCTTGTGGCAAATATTGCACGTAAACGCCCCCGAATTGTGCTTCTTTGTGTGATTGTCTAGCCGCTCCTTATTTTTAAAGCCTCTGGTACAAATTGAACACCAAAACGGTTTCCGTTTATGAAGTCTGACGTGGTTTTGCCACATCCTCATAGTGGGGAAAACTTGGTCACACTGATCGCACTCAAGACTGGAGTTAAACGACCTGTGAACCCTCATGTGTCCGAGTAGCCGTGCTCGCCTGATGAACGATAGCCCACATTCTAGACACTGATGGCTCTTTAAACTCTGACAACTAGTATCCGGAGCTTTCTTGTGAGGTTTATCGTGCAGCATTTTGTGCTTTTTGAATGAACTGAAGTATGTGTAAGCCTTCCCACAGACCGAGCAGGCGTAGTGCTTCGGAAGCTGCTGGGAGGCTTCCCCACCTCGTGTCGAGCTCCAGAGGTTTGCCTGCAACCAACGGCTCTGATCACACCCATCCGCAGCCCCACCTGGGCCTCCGCCAGGGTTTTCTCCACGGTCTCCTCTCCCAGAATCCTGTTCAGCTTCAGGAATCATGTTGTCTCCCGTCTGAGCCTTCTGAGCCGCAGCCTCTGCCTCCTCATTATTATCCTCCTCTTCTTCTTCTTCTTCTTCTTTATGGTAGTTATCCTCCTCCTCCTCTTCTTCGTCGTCGTAGTCATCCTCCTCATCCACCTCCTCCTCCTCTTCTTTGTCGTCGTAGTCATCCTCCTCATCCACCTCCTCTTCTTTGTCGTCGTAGTCATCCTCCTCATCCAGCTCCTCCTCCAGGGCATGCTGTTGCAGGGGGAGTCCTGAAGACGCCGCGCTGCGTAAACTTCAGTCCCCCGGCGTTGCATTCGATGCTGCACTGGTTGACTAGAAATGGAGGAAACGCCACAAATTAGACCTTTAACAAGTAAATATGTTGTCATTTCAAACATTTGAAGTTCATAAACCGCATCTGAAATGAACTGATTATAATAAACTATTTTCTGTCGTCACCCAGCTGGGTTCCTCTGTGTACGGCTGTTACTGGTAAAGCTGCCAGTGTTCAGTGTGAAACTTGAGTCGGGGTTCTTCTCTTCATTCACAAGTGAAGTGTAAATCATCTAAATCCATTTACATCTCAGCTTTGTGAATTTAATAAACATCTATCGTTGTGTGCCAAAGCGTTATGAAATATTAAATACTACAGCAGGAAACGGACTGAAAATAATTTAGAATCAAAGGGAAAGTAGTACATCTTTTTACTATTTGCCATTTCATTATTAACAGACTGAATGAGTAAATAATGTATTTGTTTTTTTAACTAAGGGTTTATAATGCACCCCAAATATTTTATGCAACTTTGGTCTTAGAACCATTGATTACAAAGGTATCTTATCTTCAAACACAATTTGGATGAAATCCATCAATCCTCATACTGATGACCTCGCTAGTTACTTAACATTAACTTCTCAAACCTTTTTGTTACTGTTTATGTATTACAAGCAGCCTTTGTAACACTTTGGCCAGAGACTACACAAGCAACCTTCTGCAGTTTACATTTTTAGAGCACTTTAATTCTCCTTTGTTTTAGAAAACAGCAAGTTAAACAAGTAGTCAAACGGTACATTGGTCATCTCGGGGAAAAGAAATGAACATAAAAGTACAATACTTACTACATACTGTAAATACCCTTTTCCCCAATCCATAAGTGGAACAGTAAACTAACGACTATCCTATACGAACAAAAGTACTTTTTTAGTTGCAGTAAAAAAAAAATAGCTTTTCCACAATTTAGAAATAGAACACTGAAAAGGAAAGAATACAGTAGCTTATACATCAATGCAAAATGTATTGTAAAATATAATACCAGTCGTTTGGACACATTTTCTCAATCACTTCAATGAGAAAGTGTGTCCAAATGTTTTATTTGTTTTTTTAGGTAGAACATGGCTGTTATTTCAAGCAGATTTTCTTTAACAGTTCACATAAGCAGTCCACATTTTTATATATTTAGTATTTCTCTGCGAAACCGTCGGCTTTCAAAATGGCACAATTCAAATTAGTACATATTATTTAGTTGTGCAGAATCTTTCAATGCTCCATAAACTTTCAAATAAGTGTCTCAGCTCTTAATCCCGAGGACAAACGTGTACATGTACAAATACTCTGATACATCCAAATATGAATTAGCATAAATCGGGCCAGTAATCCACAATGAGATTAACTCTTGACACCTCTATTGAAAACGGGAACAAACAGTGGCTCATTTTTGACATTTCATTACTAGTTTATGGAAAGGGGTAATTCTTAAAACATTTTTACTTTTACTAATCCAGTGTAGAGGAAAGTAAACTGCTCTGCTGCACTTTTTTAGCCTTTTTAAAAAGAAAAAAAGATTTTAAAAAAAGAATCAAAACAATTCAGAAACTAAGAGGGAAAGCATGTTTCTATTTAGCCTAAGCACATGTCTAACACAGAAATGTGTAGTTAAAAAACAACAACAACAAGAGCCCCCCCCAAACAAATAACGAAAATCCACAATCTGATGTGTCCACTTCATCTCTTTCCAGGTTGTATAATTAAATTCACTCCACGGGTATGTTCAATATAATGCTGGTGCAAATCGGTCTCTTGACAAAAAGTAGTTCCACATTCAAGGCAAGTAAGGCCATTGGGATCTCCTGAGGAGGCAGAGGCATGGGCATCACTCTGGCCCCTGTCCTCGCCCACACATTCCTGGTGATGGTCGATAAGGTCCTGTATTTCACTGAAGGTCCGGGGGCAAATGGAGCAGTGATAGGAGTCATTGTTGCAGTGCTGCGTCTCGTGCCTTTGCAACGCAGTCGGGGAGAGGAAGGCCTTGCCGCAGTGTTGGCACTTGTGGCTACTCTGCGACTGGCCGTCTGAGCTGAGTACCCACGACATCCTGCTGTTGTCGGCTTTCCAAGGCCCCGAGGTCATGGCGGCGCTGAGCCTCAGGCGCACCTCGTTGGGGAGACGATAGCGGACCTCGTCGTGCCAGGTCAGGTGTTGCTGCAGCTGGCTCTCGGTCCAGAAGCCGTGGCAGCAGAGGGCGCAACAGTAGGGCCGGCTCCTGGCCTTGGTCCTGTGGGCTTCCAGCTGTTCCTCGGTCTGGAAAGCTTTGCCGCACTTGTCGCACTTGAAGAGGCACTTGGCCGTGTGCTCCGACAGGCGGCTGAACGGTGGGGAAACCTCGGCCACGGTTTCAGGATTTGGAATCTCCCGTTTGCACTGGTGCCTCGTCTCCGGGCACACTTTTTTGTGGTCGAGGAGGACGGCCGAGGAACCGCACTGCTTCCCACAGTCGAGGCACGTGACGAATTTAGCAAACGGGGGGTCTGGACGGATTTTCTTCTTTCCTCTAGTTTTCCCCGTCAGCGACTGAACGACGTCACCTCCTGAGGCGACGGACTCTGTTTTGATGGCGGCCGGACCCTTGCTCTTCTTGCCTTTGGTCCTCTTGGCGTGGGCCTGCCACCTGTGGGCGCGAAGACCTCTTGCTTTAGCAAAGGTCATAGAGCAGAGGGGACACTGGTGGGCTTTTGGCCTCAAAGGGGTTGATGCCGTGGACTCCCTCCCGATCAGGTTGACGTGAACCGGTCCCGGGCCTGGATGATCCGCAGTGCGACTGTGCACATTTTCACAATGGGCAGCGAGAAGCGAACCTTGCTCGAATGTTTCGTAGCATTCCGGGCAGGAAAACTCGCTCGCGGCGTTTGGATCAGTGTGTGGCGCCGTTTTGGTGTGACAGAGGGGATTAAATATCTGGTGACGTCGGAAAACACGATGGTTGAAAAACTGTTTGCCACATTTGGGGCACTGAAAAGGTCCTTCTTCCGCCTTGTGGCAAAGAGAGTCCTCAGCCGCGGGCCGCGAGAGTTTCTTTTCTTTGTGCCATCTTTTGTGGGAGCCGAGGGCAGAGTTGGACATAAATCGACGGCCACATTCTGCGCAGTGAAATGTTCCTTTGCTTGGCTCTTCCTGCTTGTGTTTTTTAAGCATGGCGGGCATAGCCAGTTTTGCTTTTGCTACGGATTTGTAATCCTCGGCATGAACTCTTTTGTGAAAATTCAAAGCTCCGACCACAGAGAAGCTCCGGTCACACTTTTTGCATTTGTATTTCAAATTGGTCGTACGCGGGTTCTTCAAGGCGCCTTCATGTGTTGGGATTTCCATGTCAAGCTCCACGTGGTCCATTTCCTTCTTAACATCAGCACGTACTGCAATACGCTGGGGGCTTTCCAGAGTAGCATCCACGTTATCTTTCGGCAAAGTTCGACAGGCATCATTTTCCGAGGGTTCTGTCTTGCGAGAAACCGCTTGACTGTCTCTTTTAATGCAAAGTTTTTGATGAGCCCGAAGAGAAACCTTGTTGTTGAAATGTGCGAGGCACGTCGCACACTGCAGATCCTCCAGCGACGATGGCGAGCGTCCAGTCTCGTACCCGTGGCTCTTCATGTGGAACTGGAGTGCTTTGGCCCGGGAAAACAGCTTCCCGCAGTCGGGACAGCTGTACGTGTTCTTTTTCAATTGCTCCACCTGATGCTGGAAGGACTTAATAGGCGGTGGGAGCAGCTGGTCGTTGTGCACGACCTGGTGTCTCAAGAGGCTCGAGAAAAGACGAAATGACCTGTTGCAGAGTTCGCACGTGTGGTTTCCGTTCTCGTGTTTTCGCATGTGCAACGCCATGATTCCCTTGTGTCGGAACTTTCTACCACACACGGGACACGCGACCTTGAAGCGGGGGTGTCCATTGACGGAGTGCACAGAGCTCGTGACCTCTTTTCTTGGCTTCAAATCTGTACACTGAGTGGGACTCTGCTTGTGGTGGGAGTAAGCTCCGAGAGACCAAAAGCCCTTCCCGCACTGCTCACAGTGATAAATCTTGGGGCCGAGAAGGGTTTTCTTTGGATTGTATTCTTTAACAACAGAGATGTTCTCCTTCTTTTGCGCGGCGCAGGTTCTCATGTGGTTGAACAAGCCAGCGGCATGCGAATAAGGCATCATGCAATCCGGGCACTGAAACTGTTCTCTTTTGGGATGGTGCAGCTGATGAGAGACTAAAGCAGACAACTGTGTGAAGCATTGGCCGCACTCATTACACGACAGAGTCTTCTCCTCTGAGCCCTCGGCCTCATCATTACTGGTGTTCTGAGGCTGTTGAATGTGACTGCAGTGTGCTGCATAGCTGTTGGCGTCTGACTGACCTTGCGTCTGCCGCTTTCTTTTACGAACGCCATGCCACATTCTGTGAACGCGCAGCGATGCAGGGCTAGAAAACCAGCGGTAACAGTCGGGACAATCAAATCTTTCTGCGGGCGCTTTATTCTCAGCTTCGCTGGCCGCACGCTTCTCGCCGGTTTGCTCAAAGTCAATTTCCACAATTTTCAAATCCATCTCTGGTTTTGGAGCTTCAACGTCGCCGTCATCCCTTACTTCCTGATCGGATTCACAGAGCAGCTCGAGGTCGGGATTGGGGTTTTGGATGAGCTCGTCCTCCGATTCACTCGCACTGATCACCTGTACGTTGAAGTCGCCGGGGTCATAACTCTCCACATCCTCATCATTTACTTCTTCTTCAGCCACACCGGTGGAGAGCACATTCTCTGACTCCACCGTGTCCGGCTCGGCCTCGTTTGCGTCGCTTTCCGTGGTTTCCTGCGGAGCTGGCAGAGGAGCGCGCGTCGGAGCCTCCTTCTCCGTTTCTCTGAAAACGTCTGTGTGATGAAGCTGATGGGAGTGAAGTGCTGAGGCCCTGGAGAACTTCAGCCCGCAATCGCCACATTCAAATGCCTTCTTCTGCAGCTGACACACCTGATGAAGAAAGGACTTGGCCGCGGTCTCGTCACTGTGCGCCGTGCGCTGATGCCTGTAGTAGAACGTTTGAGTCATAAATACTTTCCCACATTCCTCACACGGAAACCTGTTAGCAGAATCGTTCGCGTGATTAGAATGCCATCGCTGGTGGTTGAAGAGGGCAATGTGGCCGCTGAAAGCCTTTTTGCACTCGCCGCAGTAAAACTCGTTGCAGCTTTTCTTTGGTTTGTCTTTCATTTCTTCCGGCGAGCATCGACTGTTGCGGCTAAAGCGCTGATGTGTTTTAAGGCGCAACAGCGCCGCAAAAGCTTTCCCACATGAACACTTAAAAGTTTTCTCAGGAGTATCAACCGTCTGGTTGTCACTGGGTTTGGCTTCAACATGCGACTCCTCCGCGTGGAACGCATCGCCCGAGCTCCTGTTTCGGGACTTAACTAATTTCTCCTCGTGACAGCGACGGTGGGCATCAAGAGCGGAGGCGCGGGAATAATTCCGCCCGCAGGACTCGCACTGGAAGGACTTCTTTTTCAAATGTTCAAGGTCGTGGAAAACAGATTTTGAGGCTTGTCTGTGAGAGCGCTGATGGTTGAGGAAGTGTCCGATCACGCCGTAACATTTCCCACAGTCTGGACATTCATAGGTGTGTTGCTTGGTTATCCCGGGATTCGCTTTAATACTGGAGTCCTTTTGAGAGGTCTGACTGTGGCTCTTCTCCATGTGTGAGAGAAATTCACTTGGTTTAACAAATGACAGCGAACACCAAGTGCAGTAATGATCCGTTTCATGGTCCTTTTTCGCAGTATGTAAACCATCCAAATGGTTGACTAAACAGACACTTTGTTGTGGGTGCTGAAGTTGATGTTCCAAGTATGCTGCCTCCTCCCTGAAGCTCTCTCCACAATCACGACAGCAGAAAACCCCTAAAAATAGAAAGGGGAAAATAGGGGGTCAAAGCCACTCCTGTTTCCACAGAATCACAAAACAGAAGAAAACCCCCCACAAAAACAGAGGTGCAAATGATATCTTTATTTCCCAAAGGTGATTGGAGTTTACATTAGAATTAGGAGTAGACTTTCCAAATCAAAATATCATAAGTTTTGAACAATCATATAAAATACTTTTATTGTACAGATTGCAAATATATACAGCACTTAAGCCAAATGCATGAAGTGTAATTACCCAATTATTTTACACAACATGTTGCATTCTTCAATAGGCAAATCAAAAGTACCACATTGGAATACATTGTGGTGCTGTGCGACCTGTGAGACCTGCGCCAGAAAAAACATCTGTGCATCAAAGCTGAAGTCGCACTTAAGTGGAAAGTTTGGTCGTTCAAACACAACGGACATATTTATGCCCGTTAAAAATGTAATTGTCAGGAAGGCACAGCAATGAACCGACTGGTAGTCGGGGGTCCCAATATAGAAGGTAGGCGAGAACGCAACAACATTCAACATTTCATAGAATAAAAACATAAAATCAAGTACACAATATGCTCGGAGTACAAATAGTAACATTTTATGTTGCTTTACAAGCAAAATAGAGGCTTATAAAACTGGTTATTGTTCTCTTTAAAAAAACTAACATAATTTAGAAGGCCATTGTGCCGCAACTTCAATGCTATAAGTCCTTATTAAATCAAAATATCAGAAAGCTGTAGGTTGCCCATGTGTTCTATTCCCATAGAGTAATTAAGTATTACTTAAGTAGTATGGTTAATAAAACCTCTTTGTGAGGCATTATGCCCAATCAAAAATCACCTTGTCCGTGTGATATGCTGTCACTGGCCATGGTGCCAATTTGGCATTTCGTACATGCACTTTACATTCAAAATGTGATCTCAAGTGTGTGGTAATTGGTAACTGTGTGAATACTGAATACTGACTTTGTTAGTCAATGCAAGGTCGTATCTATCACACATCAAAGCTGCGTGTCAGCTTGGGCTGTGGCCGGGTTCACTGGGTTTGTATAATATACAGGACTGATCAACAGCTATACGGCCAAGGGTGAATCATAATGAATAATGCAAGTTACTGCCATTTTATGCACATTTTTAGCGGTACGCTCCCCCCCAGTTTTCCCAAATTGCACTCATTTTGCATAATATTTCCATGTGCCCGCGGTGAGGTTCGCACAGGAGGTCACCGCGCCTGTTAACGTCACACACTGGTGTGTTAACGGTGCTAACGGAGTCGATGTTTAATTACGTGGCCGCTGGGTACTTACGATCAGCGGTGGCCTCAGCAGACGGAAAAACGTTGTTTTCTGATGCTGTGTCTCCATCGCGCGGGTCATTTTCAGCTCCGTCCTGGTTGGTCGCCGAGGCAGCAGCTTCGTCCATCTTGGCGTGGCGTGTTCGTTAATGCTAACGCTCCGCTTTCTTGAGTTCTTGTCGGGCTCACAGAAAGTAGAAATAGAGTGTGTCTATCTAGTCCGTTTCCTCTTAGAAGGGTAGCATCTTGTAATGTTTTCAGCAATGCGAGTAATGGTGAAGCCAGCTAACGCTAGCTGTTGTACACATTAGCCCTGTACATCCGTCGGCGGAAGTGGATTCTTCTTCTTCTGTTTGTTCCGGTAACGATGGACGGTGGCCTGCAGGGATCAGGCCTGGAGTCACTTGCCTGGATGGAAAATGTCTACTTTTGGAAATAAACAGACTGAGCCGCTTCTAACGTGTTCCATGGTAAATTAATCACAATCGTTTTCTTTCGTTGAAAACAAAAAAGGATATTGTATGGTAAAGGATCAGCGATTAAAATGATCATTTTAAACTATTAAACATTTTCCAATATATTGTAATATTTTTTTCTTCTTTCAGACAGTCCTCAGGTATGAGAATTATGTAGTAATGTTATGAATGAATTAATAGGATTTGGTTTGAGGGACTCCAGTCCAAAAAAGAAAAGGCTGATTATTATTCAGAATTAGCCCTCATCAATCATGATGCATCCATCCATCCATCCATTGTCAAACCGCTTATCCTGCACACAGGGTCGCGGGGGGGCTGGAGTCCATCCAACTTCGGGCGATAGACAGGGTACACCCTGGATTGGTCGCCAGCCAATCGCAGGGCTAACACAGAGACATACAACCATTCACACTCACATTCACACATCTACGGGCAATTTAAAGTCCCCAATTAACCTGGTCCCCAGAGCATGTCTTTGGACTGTGGGAGGAAGCCGGAGAACCCGGAGAGAACCCACGCAGACACGGGGAGAACATGCAGACTCCACACAGAAAGGCCATTGGGCGGAATCGAACCCAGGACCTTCTTGCTGTGAGGCGACAGTGCTAACCACCACGCCACCGTGCCGCCCATCATGATGCATGTTTTCACAAAAAACAACCCCACACACAGTCCATTCCAAGAGAATTTCTTTTAGCAAACCCAATGTAGAGGGGAAAACATTTAGAATGTTAAATATGAAACTTTCCAAACCAGGAAATCATTTTGTTTGTGGGTTTTTTAAGCATGAATGAGAACTCTATTCTACAGATGTTAAAATGTTGACGTTAAACCCTGAACTGGCCAGTCTTAACAAGTACTGCTCATCACAACATTGTAAACAAAGGCAAGTTTTATTTAATTCAATATATAGACATGGGAAATGTCTATTTCTTTCCATACTAAAACAGTGGGTAGAGGTAGAAGGGCACATGTTTTTAGAAACATGAGACGATAAATGTTAAGACAAACAGGGACGCTTCTTTTTTGTACAAATGGACCGCTTGTTTATTTTACAGTAGTAATGCATTAGCAGTGATTTTCAGTCAATTATTGGGCTACCGAACCTACTCAAATGCCCATTGTAATGGCACAGGAGATGGGATTCTGTACTCTGCTAAATATATTAATGAAATGAAACCATTCAGTATTCACAAAAAAAATTGCATTGAACTCAAAAGTGGACTTTTATAAATAAAGGTACATTCCAATCTGAAATAATCATTCTGAAGAGATAGACATATTGCATGGTACTGACAGGTTTGCAGTAGGTGCTAAGTACTCCCACCTAGTATCTGTTATCTGAAATTTGTCAGTCAGTCATGAAAATTTTCCAGAAATGACTTGAATTTTACCAGACCGATTAGAGCATAATATACATTTTGCATCATCAGTTTGTCTTTTCATCATAAATATTACTGACATTTTCACATAAATGAAAGTTGAATTTACTACAAAATTCACTATTTGACAACAATGTTGTCAATCATTTTGTAGAGACACTTTCTCCCTGTATTTTTCTCCCAATAAGCAATTAACGGATAACTCTTACCGTGAAATACCTTTACATGTAACCGTGACATTATGTTTGCACTCGTTTTTGACCAAATCACCATGTGAGATATTTGGACCCAGCCAATAGCATTGTGACTACAAGTCCTTCTCAACGGGAAGTGTGTGTGTAGTCGACTGTAGGTTCTGACACAAGTAATGAGAAAAAACAAGCGCTCAACCCTCTTCTCCTCAAAAGCAAACACAGAAGCAAACCCTTTTTTAAAAAAAGGTAGCTTAGAAATTGTTGCTCTGTGTTTTTGGAGTGAGGTCACGTTGTCGAGCCGACCTTAAGCACAAACTATGCTTACAATACCAAGACAGCAGACATGCACACTGTACTCATAAAAGGCACACAGTATACTTTACATGAAGAAACACAGTTAAATGATTCAGGACAAATAAAGAGGACTATAAAAGAATTCATATTATGCAAATTGAAAGGCTGTTGGCAATAAATGGAACGTAGACTGTAGGACTATATGAATCTTCCGCCCTCAGGAGTTGCTTGGACCGGTTATTTGGATAACTTGTGTGCATTTCAAAAAGGGAAAACTAATGCAATGAAATGATGTTAGTATTGGAATTTGTCGCTGAACAACTTTAAATGTGATTAAAGTGTACAGACTAAATCAGTTTTACTTTTTTGTTTCTAATCAACATCCACTCAAATGAGGTTCCGCTGAGTAAAAAATATAAAAAATAAGTCTTGGTGCTAGTGTAGAACTGTCAAATCTCTCCTTGTGCATGTTGCAAATAATGCATTTGTAGATCTAGCTCCCGGGGAAGAGAACACCCGCATATCATGCACTGAAGAAGCCGTTCTGGGCCGAAAGGCAAACGGGGTCCAAGTTTGTGAGGTTCCGTCTGTGTGGCGAGCTGAGGTAGGGGCAGCGTCTGCGTTATGTGTGGCCTTTCGCTCATTACCGCCTGTGGTGCAAAAAAAATATTTGGGTGTGGGGGTCTTGAGAGAGTGACAGAGTGAAGAGGGTGTGGGCCAGGCAATGCAAGGGGAGGGAGCGGAGGTGTGAAGAAAGGAGGCGGCTGGTTGATGATTATTTGAGTGCCCGTTACCATTGGCTGTTGCTGCAGCTCCTTTCCACTTCCCGGTTTGAGTTGCCCAGTAAGCAGCGTCTGATTATTTTGGAAGCCCCATACTGGCGTTCCCAACCCATGGCCAAAACGATGAGGCTCGTATTGAATGGAGATGGGAACCTTCTGCGCCGTAGTGGGACTCTGCACATTGACCCAAGCGGACGGCACCTGCTTTTGCTGCAGCTGAAAATCTTGGCCATGTAACAATTTCTCAGGATTTATAGTCTTTGGAATTCCTGGTGGTGTTGGTATGTCCCACAAGGTGCTACCCACCCCGTGAGAAATGGGAGTAGGAATTGGCACAACACTGTTTTGGTCGACTGGAGCTGAGGTGGACACGCCCGCTAAGCCGGAAACCCACGGCTTCTGCAGCTCACAGCCGTTCCACGGCTTCTCCGGCTGGCTAACAGTCGACAGCATAACTTGAGAGTTACCTACGTCCCAACCGCCAGTGTCCTCCTTAGGCGGTGTCGAGGGCTCTTTTTGTATCAACACCGGGGGGGCGCCTGCCCATCTTGGCAGCTGAATGTCTTGACCCAGCTTATTTGGAGGGATCTGTGAATTTGCGAGCAGAGAAGGTCTGATACTCCACAGAGCCGCCCCGTCTATGTAAGATGAAGGAAGAGGAAAATTGTGTTGCAAGGAGCTTGTGGAGGCGAGCGCTGTGGTCGCGGCGGCCGTGGCACCCCAAGTGACCGGCTTGTGCTGCCTGTGCTGCTCCATCTCACTCACTTTCGACGCGCTGGATTTGTTTGGCACTGCGGTCATGAGCGAGCTGACAACTGCAGCTGCGCACTCCCTCATGCGCGGCGACTGTGAACTCCGAGCAGATGTGGGACCCGACAGAGTCACTAAAGGGCTGTCTGCCCAGCTCGGACCCCTCTGATGGTGCTGCTGCGAGGCCCCCTGCGTCGGCGGACTGTCAAACTGGGTCTGTTGCGGAGCTGTTTGTTGCTGCGACGACGGGACCGGCATCACTTCTCCGCCGTCCACCTTCCACTGCACTGGCTGAGGGTGCTGCTCGGGCGGCCACAGCTCCTTCTGGTCTTGCCCGTGCGCGTCCATGCGAGGCGCAGGTACCGCGGCCTGCGGCTGGACCGCCTGTCTGGGCAGTTCGGCATCCCTCGGTGCAGAAACCAGGTACGGAGATTGCAGGGGGCCGACCATCCCGGAACTTCCGAACGGCCTGGACCAGCCCCACGTGGGCCTCGCCCCTCGCCTCCCCCTGCTGCCTCTGCCTCTCGTCCTGGTGCCCAGTGGGGAGGAAGGGTACTGGCTGAAACCCTGGCGCTTGCGCACATGGATCTTCTGGTGCACTAGCAGGCTGCTGAACCAAGAAAAACTTTTGTGACACTCATCGCAGCGATGAGGTCGGTCTCCCGTGTGCGTGTTCATGTGATCCCGGAGCAGGTAGGCCAACCCGAAGCTCTTGTCACACAGGTCACACTTATGCGGTTTGTCACCGTTGTGTGATAACATGTGGTGCTGAAGTTGGGTCTCGTCGCTGTAGCCTTTGCGGCAGCTGGTGCAGCGGAACGGTTTTTCCTGATGAAGCTTTTGGTGGGTTTTCATGTTCTGCAGGAAGGCAAAGTCCTTCCCGCAGTCAGGACATTTGTATGGCTTCTTGCCCGTATGGATGATGAGATGCTGCTGCAAGTAGCTACCAAATCTAAAGCCCTTGCCACACACTTTGCACTTGTAAGGCTTGTCCTTGGAATGTATGCGCATGTGCAGCTCTAACACTGAACGGTGGCGGAAGGTTTTTCCACAATCTGAGCACTTGTAGGACCTGATACTGATGCCGTCGCCTCTCCATTTCCCCTGTACATCGTCACTACTTAACGGAGTTAACTGATTTGGAGTTGGTGTTGCCGCCTTCTCTGAATGTTGTGCTACAGATTTGTGGACACTTAACAGATGCATATTTAAACTAGATTCATCCCGATAGACGGATGGGCAGTGGGGACAGATGTGTCCCTTTTCCCAGTTCTTGTTGATTTCCTTGGGGGCTCTGGGGGTCCTCTCCAGCGTCTCGTACTCTGCCTCGTGAACCAGCATGTGGGCCCTCAGGTTAGCCGGCGCGGAGTAGGTCTGGGGACAAAGAGGGCAGTTGAAGGTGCGTTTCGCTTCCTCGCACAGGTGTGCGTTCTCTTTTCCCGGCCGTGGAACGGCCTCTTGTGCGGACGTGGGTGCTGGCTTGCTCGGCTCTTTGGCGGGGGGGTTGTTTTTGCGCAGCCTATGCTGGCGGCAGTGGGCCTTCATGTTCTGGGCAAAGGCAAATGTTTTGTCGCACTCGGGGCAGCGGAAGGGCTTCTTGCCGGTGTGCAGGTACTGATGCTGATGGAGGAGGCTGCTGTACTTGAAGGCCTTGCCGCAGATGTTGCACAGGTGAGGGCGCGTGTTGTCCGTGTGCCTGCGACGGTGGTCCTCCATGACGGAGTAGTGTTTGAAAACCAAGCCGCACTCAGGGCATTCGTAAGGCTTCAGGGCGGCGTGACCTCGCCGGTGGCAGCGCAGCGCCACGCTGCTCGGGAACGTTTGGCTGCACTCCTGGCACGCGAAGACGACGTCCGTGGAGTGGAGCCTCATGTGCTTCGTGACCGACACCTTAAACTGGAACTCTTGGCGGCACAGGGGGCAGTGGTAGGGCTTTTCTACTACATTGCAGCAGCTGTGTTCCCTCAGCTTGCCCACCGCAGAGAAGACCACCTCGCATTCCGCACACTTAAAACCACCCGCCGCCGCCTGCATCGGAGTCGGAGTCTGCAGCTCCTTCTTTGGAGCAACGAGCAGTTCCTCCTTCTCTCTGTGTTCATTCCTGTGTTTGATGAGGCCGGTGCGGTGCTGGAAGGTGAGGTCGCACTCTTTGCAGGTGAGGGGCGTCAGCTCGTCCTCGTGCGCGTGGAAGTGACGGTGGAGGTTGAACGTCTCGCGGCGGGTGAACCTCTTGCCGCACTCTTTGCACACCAAACGGCACTTTTTGGGCTTGGCTGTTAAATAGGCCTCTTCCTCGACTCCCACCATCATCTCCTCCTCCTCCTCCTCGTCCTCCTCCTTCACCACCACGTCCACCTCTCCCAGCGGCTGCTCGGCGCTCTTCTCATCGCTCTCCTCCGCATCCACAGGGGCTGTCTCACCGGCGGGGGGATCCTGCTGCGACCCCCGGGCACCGGCTGGGGCATCGCTGAGGTCTGGGGAACAAAAGGGAACAAAAGCCCGTATATGACTCAAACTAATAACTTAGCAAACAGGTATCAACACTAGTAGCAGCAGGATGCTAGCTGATGTTGTAATGTTACTTGCGTTTAGCGGAGTTGACATACGTTGCTGAGCTGCAGCTCGGGTTAGCCTGGAGGCTAAAGCTAACAGTCAAAATAATAATAATAATAAACATTAAGAACGTTCGCGTACCACGCGTGTCGTCTCCCTCCTCGTGTGCCCGCGCCTCTCGGTCGCCGTCTTGCGTCTCGCACCAGTCCACCGCGCGCTGGTCGCTGTCACGAGCCTCGGCCATCTTTTCAGCAGATTTTAAGTCCTCCGGTGAACTGCACGTCGTTTTTTCGGCTCCGGCGCCGGACTCGACGCTCACGTCAGAATGGCCTGAAACACCGCAGCCGTCCGGAGCCACGGTCCGCTCGTCGCGAGGGCTTTCCGCGGGTTCGTTTTGTGTCGTTGCATCCTCCCGGTTTAAGCCGAATCCCGACTGCGCCGCATCGGTCTTCTCACCAGATGTTTCCGCCGCCTCCTCCGCAGGGCATTGCTGTCGTTTTGGAGACTCCGACGGGTCTACGGCGGCCATGTTTCACCCATGCACCCCCTCGTCCAGGACACACAAGGATCACGCTGGCGGATCCCAGCCAGCCGGAACGGGGAACGTTTCCGGTCAACCCTTTCAAAAAAAAACAGCCTCTACCGACAAATAGCTGTGGTTAAAGTCTGACGTTTTAATTCGAAGTTTTTAAACTATACATTTCCTTTTCTGCAACTTCTCTGGTTGTCTTGTTTCTGCATATCAAACACGCTTCACAATATAAATAAACATTTTCACGGGACAAATCCGCATGTCATTAGATGAATTTATTTTGCAGTCCATGTCTGACTTTTATTAAAGTGTAGTTACAGTTCAGTCGATATCTACAAGATTGTGCAAAACTACGTAGATGAGGGCAATACGCGGTTTCTTTGCAACTATCTACAAACACATTCATCATACTGCATGCAATATTAGAATAAATAGCCCCTACATACTCATGTATGCTTTTAAATTTCCTAAACATGTGAATCAAAAGTTGGATGCATACTTTGCTGTTTATGCCAGAAGGTTTTACTGTTTTTCATCAAAAACTGGCAAGACTTTAAAATGTAGCACAGTTGCCTTAAAGCACACGGAACCGAAAACAGTAACTTTGTTGTCAACCAAAGCAGTGAAAGACTTTTTCATAAAATTGTTAAAAAGCACAAGCATACATTAGCAGGTAAGTACAATAGCCGTTTAACTACCATATATGGTAACAACTGCAGATAATGAGTACTTTATGATAATGTAGTTAAGTTAATCAGGAGCAATGAGACATACTGAACTAGTAGAAGCATCACGAGCTGTGCAGTTTGTCTGAATGGCATGTACAGTGACATGTATTTTAACACCAGCACCTACAATATGTTGTTGTCTGTGTTTTTAAGGTTCCAAGTTGTCATTGACTCCACAAGGCAGGAAATCTTTTAGAAATCTGAGGAACCAAGCTCCTGTTAAGGCCACCCTATTATCCCGCGTTTCATTCACTTCATTCCTCTATTGAGACAAACTAAAGTGTTCTGATTTGAGGTGAGAAGTAAAACTCCAAATAACATTTTTACAGAAATGCTGTCGATTTTGAAACGCCCAATATGCATCACGCGTACTTTCAGTTTCTAAGTGCTTTATCCTCAGCGCCGCCTTCTGCGCCGGTGATCAACGGCTCTTCCTCGCCGAGGCCTCTGAGCACTTCCATTTGTGTGGGTCGGTGGTTCAGAGGGACAAGTGCCATGTATTTCAGGGGACGATGGTGCAGGAACCACCGCTGCAGCTGACTGATTATTTGAATGCTGGGGGACTTGTGGCAACTGCTGGACTACATGTGGCTGATGCTGATGTTTTAGTTGTGTTTGCAGTGGTGCTTCAATCCTCTGTTGTTGCTGCTGTTGCAGTGGTTCTGTGTGTTGCAGCAGCTGCTGCTGAGCTGGCTGTGACTGTAAGTGCTGTTGAGATGTTTGCGACCGGTGTGGTTGTTGTACACAATACTGCTGGGGTTGTTGCTGGGCCTCAAGCACTCCCAACAGCCTTTGCAGGAGAACATTATTTTGTTGTAGACTGGATGCTAATGCCTCTTGCGAAGCAACAAGTGTTGTCATGTCCTGCCTAAAACCGTCCCCAAACTCCTGCAGACTTTTTTCCACCCGGTTTCCCAGTTGAATTGCTGCTTCCCCCAACCCTCGTAGCTCATCTTCAAGCCAGGAGCTGCGTGGAGGGGCTTCAAGAGGACCCTGGTGTGCTCCAAGTGAAGGCTGAGGACTGCTGGGCTGGGGGCTGCCGTTGAGAAAAGGGGCACTGTAGAGGGGCGAAGGAGGCAGCCATCGTTCTGAAGGAGGGGGTGGTCCTATGCCCAGACCCAGTCCTAAACCCAGTTTATCTTCCATGCTGTTCTCGCCTGGCTCGCACTCAGATTCTCCCAGCTCTCTGTCTTGCTCAGGATTGTCCTCATCTTTTTCTAAACCATCTCTCTCTGATCCTTCCACTCCCATACCTGCAAAACATATTGTCAGTGGACAGAAGTAGGTATTAGTCTCTATCTATAAAATCAACAAAAAGAAAACCAGTCAGTTATCTAAATTACCTGTATCAGAGTCGGGGAAGCATGGGAAACTGGGCTTTGGTCTGGTGCTTTGCTTATGCCTGGTTTGTGAAAGTCTTGGACTAGTCTGGGAAGGACGGCCAAGCATTGAGGCTCCTCTGCTGGATGGCAGGTAACAGCTGCGGTGGCGAGCATCCGCTAGCCTGCCTCCGTTGCGTCTCTTTAAATCGTCCCAGCGCTTTTTGACCTCGCGGAGGGTGCGCGGAACTCTGGACACGGCATTGACTCTCTCTAGGATTCCTGCCCAGATGCGCTCTCTCTCCCGCCGCCGAAGCCTCCCCGCAGGGCCAAAAAGTTCTCCTTCACACCGAGTGACCTCCGACACTAACACCTCCAGCTCTGCTCCGCTGAAACGACTCTTTCTTTTTCCTGCACCGCCAGCAGCCAGCGCAGCTGACATGGCTCTGTCTGTAGAGGGACAGGTGAGCAAACAGCCCATAAGGGAAAAAGGGTAAATATCAAGTGAAACTAAATATACTATGTGAGGGACAGATAGGTGCCGCAGTGCCAATCTTATTAACGGTATTTCCACTCTATTACCACAATACACATACATTACCGGTCAAAAGTTGAGAAAGTGTGTCCAAACGTTTTATTGGTGCTGTACAACTACTTTTGTACTAGTACCACGACTACCTTTTGGAACGAAATGGAGCCTTGGGAGCACAATAGCATAATTTATCCCAAATGTTTCCATGATAAAACATTACCAATAATTAAATAATAGTATGTGTCCTGTTGCCATTAGGACACACAAAACATTATCAAATAAACAAGGAAATATGCAGTCCAATTTCCCATTAGGGTCTCACTTTGTTACTTTGCTTACTTTGTTCAATGGACAAGAGTTCATCTGAGGACATGCCGGGTGTCATGATGTTGGGATGCACCACCACCACGTTGAAGGGGAGTCCCCCGGGTAATCCACTGCCCTGGTCGCAGCTGCCATCCGAGTCTTCATCCTCCCTGGGGAAGCCGTTTTCTGAGGCCCCCCCTCCAAAGGGTCCCTCCGGAGACTCCACTTTGATGTGCATGGGAGGTGATTGCTCGTACAGCAGCCCCCCCTCCTCGTAGTACTCAGTCATGGGTCAGATGTGAATCACAGCAGAACTGACTGGCGGGCCAATTCTGATACTGGCAGCTGCTGCCCCATTAACACGAGTTCAAGGTGTCACCAAACCCACTGCTAAAGACATTACAACTCTTCACAATACTGCACCCGGTGATTATAAACCTATTTGGCTACAGCTGCTGAGGAAATACAGAGTAAAAGTACCCTTTAATACTTTCACCACTAATATTACAGTAAATCAGGACATTGTCGCCTTTTAGTTGGAGATACTATCATATTGTCTAAGTAGCGCACAAAGTCCACAGACTGTTATGGCTAAAAGAGGCTGCCGCTTGAATCCATTTGTCTCATTTGCATTTGTTCTAATATGTTAAAGCAAACATAAATGCGCGGTGTAGAAACACCCGGGGAGACTAAGAGCTACATCGAAACGTCCAGTTGTCCTACAGTGAGATGCACCTTCAAGGCGGAGAATCGCCTCGAGAGCTGAAAGGAAACAAGGGAACATAAGTCTGTTGACAAATGTGGAGCATTTTCAAATAATGTGTCCGTTTTTTTATTAGTGACGATGAATTCTGTGTTCTGTCGCATCGATGCGCATTTTTTTCTGCACCACATCCGCAATGGTTGCGCATTCGGCATACATTAGGTGCATATCTTCTAACTAGCTGTTAGCTAACAGGCTATCACAGTTTGGGGTAAAGCAGCAGTGTGAACAGTCAACGCGACATCTGCTGAGCAGACGAGATCAAAAAGTCAACGCGTTTGGTGTTCTTACCTCATAACAACTGCACATGGCTGACAAAACAAAACCAAAACACAATTGGTGCAGCTGTTAGCTCAGCAGCCGATACACACACTAGAGACAGTCGCTTAGTCATGACGTCACTGAAGGGGTCTGTTCAGGACCAATCAGAGTTGGGGGACGTTAAACGTCAGTGCAGCTCAGCTAATTTTCGTTTTCAATTTTTGAATTCATAGGACGATACATGTCCCTTTGTCCTAACTAATGTGTCTAAGGAAATTGAGACAGCAAATATGTTTTCACACCTCAAATCAATTATTTGAATATATTATCAAGTTACCGTAAAGCAGATCCGCAAAACTCGTTTTGTTTACAGGTTCTTTAAAGTAGTGAAAGTAGTGTTAATTGACAATGAACTCAATATAGCAAATGTCAAAAAATCAATCAATCAAAACTGTATTCCAGACTCAGGGTTCAGATGAGACAAGACAACCAAAAGAGAAAGAAAAATGAAAAATACATACACAAAACAAAAAACAACACAGTGCTCCAGGCTCAGCAGTGACTTAGAGACATCTGTACCAATATCTGCACAGCTGGGACTGGTAGCATGTACGAAGGCTTGTGTTTGCTACAAGCAAAATGATTTCATTGTCAGAGTCATTGAGTCTGCAAATCCATGTATACATACGATTTCTCGCGACAGTAAGAAAGTATTGACTCATGAATGCACAAATAGTCTCTTTAATAATATTCTCATGGCATCACTGTATGCGACTTAAAATCTTTAAGTACACAGTTAAGTTTAACTTTGCAGTGGTGTACAATATGCTCTGAACAGAAAAATATTCAATCCATCGGTACACATACTAGACTTGCGTGAGAGAGTGTCATGTGCATACATTCTACGACACTGCTTATCATTATCATCTGTCGTTTGTTCTGTTAAGAAATGTCCGAGATATTTTACTTCAGAACTAAGATTAGAACTAAGATTTTTACCAGACGATTTGAAGTATATGGATTTTAGACATTTGTCCTCTTCTACAGATCAACATTTCACTTTTCCTACTATTGTATTCAATATCATATTCATCACCACAACTTTTACATATACCAAGGAGCTTCTGGACTAAACTCCACTATATATATATATATATATATATATATATATATATATATATATATATATATATATATATAGTTTACTAAAGTATTATCAATACTGCGCCCAGTACTACAGATTTTCCGTTGCTTGGACAGAGAACTGGGGACAAACTTCCCTCCCTGTCAGACACCTTTGCTAATACCTTTGCTACTATTATAGTATCTAGGAAATTAAGATTAAAATATTACATTAATTGAGTTACTGGCTATAACAATTGCTGACGATGGAAATGGGTAGTATATACATTGTGTAATTAAATGCAAACAATTTAATGAAGATCAACATAAAAATGTATCCCTAGTAATCTAACTGTAAACTTAAACGTGAGAAATTCTTTTGAAGACTCGTGGAAAAGCACATGTTCTGCTTTTGGAGCATGCTGCTCTTTCCCAGGTTGGATAATGTTTGATCATTGTACTATAGGTGCATGGAAAAGTCCTTGAGATAGAGATAGATAAGAGAACAGTCTGCCTCTATATAAACCCACGGCATCTGTTTTCGTTGTGTGTAAAATCAGTAGGAGCATCATGAAGCAGCTCATTCTTCTAGCCCTCTTTGCTGCAGCATGTAAACCTCAAAAATTATATTTACATGGTTTCCAGTGAGGGGATTTAAATATTTTAAAGTAACTCACTGTTTGTGTTTCAGTTGCTGCTCCCATCGAGGATGACAAGATCGTCGGAGGCTACGAGTGCAGAAAGAACGCTGTGGCCTACCAGGTCTCCCTGAGCTCCGGCTACCACTTCTGTGGAGGCTCCCTGATCTCCAGCACCTGGGTGCTGTCTGCCGCTCACTGCTACAAGTCGTAAGGACACACATTTCATTTGACGCACACGTCTTCCTCTGTCGTTCTAGTAGAACGTTTCGTGGTTTAAGATGAGCAGCATTTTCTTTCAACATGAAATGACCTACAGGTGCAAAGTCGGGTTGCTTACCTGCTGTTAAAGGCCCGTGTCTCTCTCTGCAGCCGTGTCCAGGTGCGTCTCGGTGAGCACAACATTGCTGTCAACGAGGGCACGGAGCAGTTCATCGACTCCGCTAAGGTCATCCGTCACCCCAGCTACAACAGCGGCAACCTGGACAATGACATCATGCTGATCAAGCTGAGCAGGCCCGCCTCCCTGAACAGCTACGTCGGCACCGTGTCCCTGCCCTCCAGCTGTGCCAGCTCTGGCACCCGCTGCCTGATCTCTGGATGGGGCAACACCAGCGCCACTGGAAGTCAGTAGCACATGCAGTCAGAGCTGCAAAGCACTCAAAGTGCATTGTGGGGGCGGAAACGCTTACATCTGCTCTCTATCTTTCTCTCAAGGCTACTACCCTGATCGCATGATGTGCCTGGATGCCCCCATCCTGAGTGACAGCAGCTGCAGGTCTGCCTACCCTGGACAGATCACCTCCAACATGTTCTGTGCTGGATTCATCGAGGGAGGCAAGGACTCCTGCCAGGTACCAGCGGAAGTCCTCACCACGGTTTCCTAGCGCATCAAACGGTTCAACGTGTCCCCTTACGTTTTGTCCTTTCCACCTGTGTGCTATCAGGGTGACTCTGGCGGCCCCGTGGTGTGCAACAATCAGCTGCAGGGAGTGGTGTCCTGGGGTTATGGCTGCGCCCAGAGGAACAATCCTGGAGTCTACGCCAAGGTCTGCAACTACACCTCCTGGATCCGCAGCACCATGTCCTCCAACTAAAGCCACTTTAATGGAAGCAACTTTGATCCCAGGAATGTTTTGCTGAAATAAATGATGATCAACCGCATTATCGTTTGTTTTGTGCTTTTCAAATACCTGTTGCTGTGTTATTAAATATCAAGAATCTATCTGAAATGACCAGTTCTGACAACCATGAACAAGAGTTTTAAAGTAGATCGCTTCAAGTTTACACAAGATGACACCTTGCATTACTATTCACAAACTGATAACAGCCTCAGTAATATTGATATGCCACTTAATGCCATTATTTGTGGCAAGATTAACTGCAAAGATCGGTTATCTTTGCATAATGCGTTATACAATTGTCAGTTGTTTAATAAATAGCAGTGAACCATTCTGCCAAAAAAATAGCTAAGCAAGATAATCTTATAGAACAAATGTGTCTAAACTACATACTATAGAGGATAATGGCTTAAATGCAGGGAATAATTTCCCCACAGGAATTAATACAGGATTCATTTTTATTATGGATCATTAAACACTGGATTTTATCAGGAAAAGCAAGACATTGGCCAGAGTCTGAATACAGGACACATTGCAAATTGTAAAATGAAATAAGCAGTATGCTTTATTTAAATAAATAAGAAGGCCATGAAGGCAAACTCAACGGACAACAACCTTCAGCAGAATAATGTCTATGACATCTGGAAAGAAGTTAAGGTTGCCAACTTGCCAATAACATTAAGATGTCTTCACCATCCCTTATTGGTGGGGCTACTGGTTTGGAAAGTATAGTAGATCTGTGGACTAAACATTATCACGTTATTTTAAACAGCGTTAGGAGTGATTTATGTAATATTGGGGACGTTTCTCTTGACGCTGGTGTGTCTATTACACTCGATAAAGTGCTGTACGTTTTTGGGGAAATTGGCAATGGTTAAAGCACGTGGCCTCGATCAAATAAAATCAGAATTTCTTAAGCACACAAAACGTGGAACTCCAGTGTTACTCACTATGTGTTTATTGCCAATGCATGACATACTTCCTGACTCTAAGCTGAGTGTCATGTTAGTCCCAGTGATCAAAGATAAAACCAGTAGAATATCCAGCAATAAAATATTAAAGAGCCGTGGCTCTAACTAGCGTACTTTCTAAGTTATTATATATTCTAATGATGTACTCCCAATATTTAATGACACGGAGACGGATATTTGATCTGTTGCTGCCACATCAGACCAGGTCGCAACATCCTTTAAGAGAGTCATGAGCATCAGCCGTACGTATGCAGTGATCGCCATTAAAATAAATAGAGGAGTGATGTTTTGAGCCATGAATTAATGTGTGGTACTAATCACATTCATGTGAACTTGCCATCAGACTGCGTTAAATAAACAATTGGAAAATGTCAAGGTTGTTGATATTTATGAATCGTGAGGAGACAGACAACAAAAAACCTTTAATTGCCATTGGGTGAAAATAGACATTATAAATTAAATACAGACAACTTACATATATTGTTGATAAGAGCGTTGTTGTTGATCTTGTGCACGTAGCAGGTAATGACGGGTGGCAATGTAGTGCATTTCATTGACAGATAAAGAGGCATTTTAAAAATCATATAATACAACAAAATTTCCACATGTCTTGAAAAGAAATCAACAGTTATTTATGCTTTATAAGCTCTGTGTACGCTGCAGGCGCTGGGACTAAAGCTAACATTATCCATATGTTGGCTCACGTCCTCCAGATGCGTTTTCACACACGTTACTCAGCGTTAACAGCAAGTTGGAAAACTGGAAATAGTTCATGACCTCGGAAAATCTGATAGCAAAGGGACGGACTGGGTATAAAAGGGGCTGCGGTGCAGCTGAGCTGACACCGAGGCTGAGACAACGCAACATGAAGGCTTTCATTCTACTGGCTCTGTTCGCAGCGGCATGTGAGAATGAATATTCCTTTTAAGATGTTCTTTAAAGCAATTTGTCTGTTTTATGAGAGTGTGCAAAAGGTTATTTAAACTTTCTTCAAATATTTCACCTTTTTTATTGCCATCAGTTGCTGCTCCCATCGAGGATGACAAGATCGTCGGAGGCTACGAGTGCAGAAAGAACGCTGTGGCCTACCAGGTCTCCCTGAGCTCCGGCTACCACTTCTGTGGAGGCTCCCTGATCTCCAGCACCTGGGTGCTGTCTGCCGCTCACTGCTACAAGTCGTAAGGACACACATTTCATTTGACGCACACGTCTTCCTCTGTCGTTCTAATAGAACGTTTTGTGGTTTAAGATGAGCAGCATTTTCTTTCAACATGAAATGAGCTACAGCAGAGGTCTTCAACGTTTTTCAAGCCAAGGTCCCCCAAACTGATGGCGAGGTGGAGCAGGGACCCCCTATTCTACGGAGCTTGCTCCGCCATCTTTTATTTTTGAGCTTCACGCTCTTTAGACGTGAGCATAAACGCGATCTGATTGGCTGGTGCCTGCGCTGTCGTATTCACATGAAAGGAGCAGTGAGTGAACCGGTGCCCAGCTTGAGAGCTGCTGAGGGAAGCTGAACGTGTGTGTTGCGCACTGACAGATAACGTCTTCTCCATCAGTTTATCCGTTCGCTACAATATGTTGGATTCATGTTAATGTGTATTTAAAGACCATAAATACAATTCTGATTCTGATTCTGAAGACATTTACATTTGTGGGGGAAAAAATTGTTTTAAAAAATTGTCTTATCAACCAAAAATTTCGCGACCCCCCTGCAGTATCTTCGCGGACCCCTTGGGGGTTGCAGACCCCCTGTTGAAGACCTCTGAGCTACAGGTGCAAAGTCGGGTTGCTTACCTGCTGTTAAAGGCCCGTGTCTCTCTCTGCAGCCGTGTCCAGGTGCGTCTCGGTGAGCACAACATTGCTGTCAACGAGGGCACGGAGCAGTTCATCGACTCCGCTAAGGTCATCCGTCACCCCAGCTACAACAGCGGCAACCTGGACAATGACATCATGCTGATCAAGCTGAGCAGGCCCGCCTCCCTGAACAGCTACGTCGGCACCGTGTCCCTGCCCTCCAGCTGTGCCAGCTCTGGCACCCGCTGCCTGATCTCTGGATGGGGCAACACCAGCGCCACTGGAAGTCAGTAGCACATGCAGTCAGAGCTGCAAAGCACTCAAAGTGCATTGTGGGGGCGGAAACGCTTACATCTGCTCTCCATCTTTCTCTCAAGGCTACTACCCTGATCGCATGATGTGCCTGGATGCCCCCATCCTGAGTGACAGCAGCTGCAGGTCTGCCTACCCTGGACAGATCACCTCCAACATGTTCTGTGCTGGATTCATCGAGGGAGGCAAGGACTCCTGCCAGGTACCAGCGGAAGTCCTCACCACGGTTTCCTAGCGCATCAAACGGTTCAACGTGTCCCCTTATGTTTTGTCCTTTCCACCTGTGTGCTATCAGGGTGACTCTGGCGGCCCCGTGGTGTGCAACAATCAGCTGCAGGGAGTGGTGTCCTGGGGTTATGGCTGCGCCCAGAGGAACAATCCTGGAGTCTACGCCAAGGTCTGCAACTACACCTCCTGGATCCGCAGCACCATGTCCTCCAACTAAAGTCACCTCGGCCATTGGTTGAAGTACAGAAAACGGCATCGTCCATTAAAAATGAATATCAAATACAGCTCATCCATTTGATTTCTTGGCAGAATAAAAGAACTGTACTGAATTGCATCACTACAAACATGATTGACTTCAACGTAAACAAACCACAGATGTTTAAGACAACAGGAAATAAATTGAACTGTAACTAACGTCAGTTAAGTTACTTCTCTTGTCAAGCAATAATGAAATGATATTCATGACACAAATTTCTTCCTAACCTAACATTTAGGATTTTAGGATCTAATGGTTATGAACACAGATTGGCATTCTGTCATAAAATAATGAAGATGTTCACATATAAATACAAAAATGGCCTTTATTGGTATTAAGACAATAACTAAATCAAAGCTTACGTTGAAGCATGAAAAGGCATTTTTCTAAAGATGATAAGGCGTTCAATGTCATCATAAAACACGTCAACAATAGGGCAAGTCTTGATGAACACGTGCAGTTCATGTAGAGCAGAGATTTGCTTTTATGATGTAAATGCATGTCCTTGTTGGAGATGAGACCAATCACCTAAACATTATGAATGACACGTTCACTTGCAGAAGACAAAAAAGGCAAGATTTGAAATATACACATTTAAAACAAAATTCCCATTGGTCATAACGTAAATACCAAGAAAAGAAGTTCAAAGTTATTTTTTCCAGGTCTGCCAAACAAAATAAATTTTCACGGCATCCGGCCCTCTAACCCGCGCAAGGTCCTTTTCGCTGTTACGCAATGAAGATGCCAGAAGGTTAAATGGCAACGTTTTTTTACGGTTATTTCATTTTCAATCAAACAAATCTTATATTATCCCATAATTAACCATTTAAAAATAGTTTATCATTCAAGGGTGTCAATGCACTAAACTTCTTTCTTCTTCATCTTTTTGACACGTGGATGGACAGAAATGTAATTACATAAACTAAATGAAAAAAAAAAAAAGAAGTTCCTAATTCAGAATCTGTCAGGCATGACAGGATTAATAAATGTCTGTAAACAAATCTTCCAAATGATTTCTGATGCATTTCATTTCCCACAACCTCACCAGGTGTAAACGGACGATATCGGCAGTTCTGTATTTCCGTACACGATCCTTTGTGTTCTGTGAGCACGAAAGGGGAACGTATCTCCACTTAGCTCATCACAACTGGCCTCTAGCGTGCTGCAAATAATGGTGATAAAGGTCTGAAATAACAGCATATGCATCCCCACACACGGCGCACGTCACACCGGCTGCAGACGCCTCATTCGATATGCTGACATTTTGGCTAATGTGTCTTTTCACAGTTCTCGAGGGATGAATTGTTTTTCCGAACGCATTTTCATCTATTTTATCACGACCGGCTTCTGCATCTTGGATCGATTGTGTGCTGCTGGGACGCGTGGGACTTTCATCCAAATCAGGGCCGCTGCCTTTGACGATGGGCATTGTGAGGGCTTGAGGAGACTCTCGCGTTGATCCGTCGGGACATTTGGGTAACGGGCCGAGAGAACCATTGCGGTTTTCCAAAGGATCCGAATGCCACGCGGCCGCGTGGCTGTTGGTGGGCGGGATCAACGTCTCTGTATGATCATCTATGGAAAAATCGAAATCAGAGTCCTTGTGCGTCGAGGGATGGCAAAGCTGGTGAGTGAAGAGCAAATCGAGAGTCTTAAAGCTGCACCTGCACTGCTCACATTGATAAGGCAGAAACACCTTCTTGGGCCGGACCTCAATCCACTGGACCTCGGGGTGCTCGCTCATGTGCTTTTTATACGAATGCACGAACCGAAACCCTTGCCCGCACTGAGGACAGGTGAAGCGTCCGCGCCTCTGTCGGTGGACTCTCTGGTGATGCCACAGCTTCCTCCAGGTCGCCAGGGTCTTGCCGCAACAGGCACACGTGTAACTTTGACCCGCGGCATGCGTGAGCATGTGGGCCCGGAGTCTGCCCATGTGCCTGAACAGGCGCCCGCAGCTCGGGCAGAGATACTTCTTGGGGTCCGAGCGGTTGTCCAGCCTGTTCAACTTGGACACCAGGGGAGCCGGGCGCTTGGCCGTCGACTGGAACGGCTTCTTGGACGCGGCCGAGCGTTTCTTGGGAGCGGCCTGTGGCGCCGTCTTCCGCGCTTCCCTACAATTCGCGCCCGGGGGCGAGGATGCCGGATTGGGTCCCGACAAACAGCGCAGCGACGGCACCGTGTACTGTACCAGCGACATCGTCTCTTGCTCCTTTGCCGAGCTGGAGACGCTGCTCTCTCCGCGGCAACGGCCGCGATGGGCAACGAATTCGGACAGGACGCCAAACAGCTTGTCACAGTACAGGCAGCGGTAAAGGTTCGCCCCCGTGTGGGCTCTCATGTGGCCGTTGAACTCCTGCAGGTGGTCAAAGACATTCTTGCAGATGTGGCACGTGTACGTCAGCGCGGGCCGCGGACGCCGGCTGGGCGGCGAGTCCTCGCTGCTCTTTACAGGTCTGCACCGGTGGTTTTTAGCGTTGCTGTAATGGGTGAACGCTTTCTCACAGCGCGTGCAGTTGTAGCGCTTCACGGACCAGTGTGTCAGCTCGTGAACGCGGAGGAAATAGGCCTGACCGAAGGCTTTGCCACATATGTCACATTTATAAGGCTTCTCTCCCGTGTGGACGCGCACGTGTCTTATGAGGGCCGACTGAAACAGGAATGTTTTACCGCAATATTGGCACACTTTGTTTTCCCTCTTTTCCAGTGAAACGGGTCTATGAAGTCCCTCGCTGTCTTTATAGTCCTTCCTCGCGCTATGTTTGTTGGTTGCGTTGTTCTCAGTGTCCCGGTCCAGCATTTGAGCATGCATTTTCATATGAGAGGAATACTCGGAGCAAGAGAATTTGATCTTGCAAAATGGACATTTCTGATATATTTTGCTCTTTTTGTGTGTCTTGAGATGAAGATTTAAGTTAGAGTTTTTGCTGAAACCTTTGTCACACTCAGGGCATTTGAAAGGTCGTTCTCCTGTATGGACGCGTTGGTGTATGATGAACTGAGATAGAAATTTAAACGTTTGACCACAGTAACCACATTTTAAAAGAGATTTCCCCCCCCTTTTTACATAGTTGACATCAGAGTCGGCCTCCTTGTACTCGTCACCATAGTCTGTATTTTGCAGAGTGTCCTCGCTGCTTTCACGAGCCTCTACAGGCTGCTCGCTCTGCAACACAACGCTCCTTATCCTCCTCCTCCTCTTGCCGCCTCTCTTGCGCCGGAAAGCCCTGTTTGGACCTTGAGCTTCAACTGTGGTGTTGCAACGCAAAGATTTAGGCCCACGCGACTCTGACGAAGGATTTAAATGATCCAACTCGATCTGAATACTCTCAGCTTTCACAGCAGGTGGGACTGCAAACGATTTAGCTGCTTGTTTACGGGACGTTACGACGTCTGCGCTGGAGGACTCGGAGCTCTGCGGACCTTTTGAGGACCCGAGGCTGCTTTTCGATTGGGACTCCTCGCTGCCCTTCATTTCGGCCGGCTGTTTAATGTTCAGAGGGTCATCACAAGGAGTCGGGCTGTTTAAAGAAATGACTTTAGGCTCCGCTGGCTGCGAACCTCCCTGCGGTAATGCGCCTTCCTGCAGTTCCGTGCGCTGCTTTTGCCCTCCTTGCCGGCGGAGGTGACCGGTCTTTCCATCTAAGTCGGTCTCTCGCTCGGGAGCGTTTTCTTCCGGCTGCTTCTTATCGGTCCTCGCTCTCTCCCCACACCTGGTGTTGATGATCAACATTGACGAGGTCTTCGGGGAAACTTCCAGCCGGCACACCTTAGCTGGAACTGGCTGATCAGCCAGTTTAGATCTCCTTCTTTTAATACCTTGAAGGATCAATGTATTACTTTGTTCTGTCACCTCAGTTGGCTTGGCGTCTACGCTGCGTTCTGATTCTTTTCTTTTTCTCTGAGGCGTTTCTTCCTGCGGTTCACCTCTACTCCTCAGCCGCCCCGCAGGACCTGTAGCATTATTCACCGAAGCAGCCGGAGGAGCCTCGGCAGCAGCAGCAGCAGCAGCAGCAGCAGCCTTAACAACCATCGTTTCAACTACTACCGTTGCCTTTTTTCTTGGTCTGCCTCTTTTTCTCTTTGTCAGCACAGGGACACCATCTTGTCCCTTCCCATCAGCAACAACAGGAAGACCGGGCATCTCGTTGTGAGGTGAACTATTGGTTACGGGGCCGTCTCTTGGTAAAGGAATTGTTGTGCTGATCTCTTTATGTTGAACTGCATCATGAACAGCCAAAGACAGATTGTTTTTGCCTTCAGTCAGGGGCGCTTTGATTTTGCGCGGGCGGCCGGGCTTCCTGCGGACGTCTACAGGGTGTCCGTGATTGTCCGTAGTCGAGCTGCACACGATCGCAGGCGGTTGAGACTTTCCCTCCATCCCTGCCTGTAGAGGCGCGTGCTCCCCGCGCTGACAGTCTTCTCCGCCTGCTGTCCGAGAGTCGGCTCGGCCGTCCGGCTCCACGCGCCCCGATGAGTGGGATTCAGGCGCGGGTTGAATCAGCGCTGCTGCTTTCATTTCCCCGCCGCGCTTAGAGTCCACGTCTTCCTCACGGCCGCTCTTGTGTCCGGGTGTCTGTGAGAGAAAAAAGTAAAGTGCACAATGACATTTTTTAAAATAAAAAAGCACATTTAAAAAGCAAACAGATGTATCCCTCAAAATACAGTAAAAGGTACAATTAAATATTAACATATGTTTACTTCAATTCTTTAAGACGTGTCTTCCCTTAAACTATATGTTGTAGGACCCACATAAAACGAAAAACACGGTTTCCTGTTCACTTAAATAGTCTGAATGTGATATACACTATATATATATATTCAGAAACAATACCACAAGAAAAAAAGCAAGATAGTTCTTAAAAATCCGTCAAGTTTAAATGCCTTAATGTTAAAATATTTGGTCGAACCAGAAACTACTATATACTGAAACAGACATAACTTTGAGAGCGATACTTCTATTTTAGCTTTCACTAACTACCTGCTTGCAGTCCGACGGCGCGTGAATAGAGTTGCGAGGACGCGATGCCACAGACGTTAAATCAGAGACTGTACTTTGGTCACCGCTTGCTCTGCTGAAGGACATTTTACTCCCCATGTCAAGCGTCTGTGAATTAAACAAGTCACACGGAGGCTAGAACTCATGAAAACAGTACGGCGTATTCTTACAGAAATCGCCACGCAATAACTCAAAACCAGACTCGCTCACCTCGTATTGTCGTTGGCTCGAACACACCCCATGCTTCGCTTCCTCGCTATGACCTCGCAGAGGACGGCTGCATTGCAAGTGTTGGAAGCGAATAAAGCGCGTCCTCCAAATCTCCTCCAGGCGAGGGAAGTCGTTTCATGCCACACTGACCAATCCGCAATTCAAGCACAGGCTGGTCCTCGGTGCAAATCTGGAAAAGTCACAGGGAATGTTTAGAATTTAGTGGTGCAGATCGATGCTGGATTAACAGAAATAGAGTTATTGCCAAATGAAAACTCTGTCTGGAGAGATGAGCCACGTAGCAGATGGGTGATTCACTTAATCTCTCATCTCTGGTGGGAAGCAACTAAAGTCATTAACTCAACAACTACACTCACAGTGAGTGAGTCAGTCAACATCACTACATTTCTGAGCAGAATATTGCACTTATTTCTACTACTTAGGATGTTTTTTTTCAACAGAAAACAATCTGCCCGAATGTTCATTTACGATATTACATTAACTCTTTCGCCACCAGCTAAAGCAGTGAAATGCTGCTAATAAATCAATCAGAAATAACAATCCAATAATGGAATTGCACAACACTATTACAATGCATTAAAGTAAAATAGCAAAAGTCTCAAAGAAAGTGCAGGTTTAAGCAAGTGAGCCACATCTAACCCTGACGGTATGACGTTAGAGTCAAATGAACCGTGTGCAGAGGGACAGTGGTCGCTGGGGTCTCTCCTGCAGACACCTCTCACTTGATGAAGTCTGCTTGATGCACTGAGCAAATGGCTTTTGTTCGGGATCGCCATTGCTCACACGTGACTTTACTCAGAGATAAACTACCCCCAACGGATCACCGTACACTTCAACACACGGACGACCCAACAGACGGTGTCATTCATATCAATCGCCAGTTACTATAGAAAGCGACGCGGTGTAATGGAGGCGTTATCTTCTGCTGGGCCACATTGCTGGCCCATGTATTCAACGTCACAGGCCACCAGAAGCTAACCGATAACAACAATGTCAGCTCATAGCACTTTACTCACAGCCGGTCGCGCGTACGTGAGATATATACGGTTGGTAACGTTAGCAAACACAAACCGCTTGCCTGAGGAGAACCGAGGGTGTCTCTGCGTAGCCGCTGATCGATCTGCTAGCATCTGTTAGCTCAAAGCTAACATACGCGCTGTCGGCGCGTGGATGTTTGGCACTTCATCCACACACTTTGGCAGTTCGCGAATTGTTGTGGGAGCGGATCCGCAGGTTCGGACCCCGCGTTCTCTTCTTTAGAACGTTGCTGCAGCGAGCCACTCGATATCCGAACACAAAGCAACCAGAAGGCGTCACTCAAGGCGAGCGCAGGAATGGGTGCTTCAGGTGATGTGGGAAACTTGGGAACTGTGATTTGTTCAGCAGAATTAACTACCGAAACACGGCGCTAAATGTCAAACGCTTACGTTTAAGTTGACTTGAAAGTAAAACCCGTATGCACAGCGCAATGTTTTGTTTGTAGATAAACTATCGCATCTCAGAGTTCGGTGCAACTTCGGTGAACATCATCCACACAATGGGATTCGAGTTTATAATCAAACTGTCCTTGAATGCCGCAGCGTTTCGAGATATTTACCTCATCATGAAAGGATATGAACACAGGGCCTGGTTCTTGATTTGAAATGGCCCCATGCATGTATGTAAGAGAGCGGGCCCTCTGCTGGAACTTGGGGCCTTAAGACAGATGACAACTATGCAACAGGCAACTATGGATATGTAGTTTCCACAGTAAAGAATAGAGATGCCATAATCATGTTAGAAATAAGGCATCAAAAGATATATTTTAGGATTCTAGATTATCAATTCTTTTACAGCGATGCATATTCTTACTGCCAATGTACTGTTCAAGCATTTTATATAAACCTGTGAAATACAAGTGAAGTATTTGCACTTCAAGTAACAACAAATAAAAAGCACTCACTTTAATAACTTGCATTATCCCATAAACACACACCCAATCAAATTGAAAATATGGTTTAATACAACATTATACTGCATTCGTGAAGTCCGACAAAAAGACGAAAAGTCGTAGCTGTCAATTCCAACAGCCTCAAAACACATTTGTGAGCCTAACAAAAACATACATATAAAAAAATAAAATACTGTGCTTGACTATCCCACCAAATATGGGTAAATCAGGCACATGACCTGTTGATTAACTTCACAGATTTATATTTTTCTACAACAATTTCAGGGGCACCATTATTGAACCGTTTACAAAACTGACAAAATAAATCCAGCTTAATTAAGATGCATGTTTGTTGCCACAAGTAATCCTATACTAAGTTTTCTTCCAAAGATTGGACACAGCCAGAAAGCCTTGTGTTCCTGTACATTGATGCTAAATATGTAGATGCTCTTCAAACACGATGGACTTTATGCCCTTGGTCCACGATGGGCAAAATATTTGACCTGCAAATTAGATTGGCTTCCCCAGTTGTGTCAAGTCTTAATGGGGACCGATGAAGTTACTTGGTAGATCATCTCAGCAGATTTGTCTGGCCCGCTTTCAACTATGTAACAATCGTCGTCCATATTCCCTCCTGTTTTCCCGTTCAGAGAACCCGCCCCTTGCACTTTGTCCAGACCGGCAGCCATCACTTTGGTTTTCTTGAAATTACCAGAAACTGGAACCCCAAGCTTCACGTTAGCTGCACTGGGACCAGTCACTCCCTTTAGTCTGTAATGCCCTTTTGCACCTCGCACCTGCTTTGCCATAAACTCATGGGCCTTGGCACATTTGTGCCTTTGCAGCAGCTGAGCGGTTTCAAAAAGCAGATGACAAACTCGACATGGGAAGCCACTTGATGCAGAGGATGTCTGCATCAGTTTGCTAGGTATACCTGATGCAGACTGTGTGGGCCTCCTAAACTGGGCGGAGGGAGCAAACCCATTACTGCTTCTATTGAACGTACTGGGATGTGGACTACGACTCATCGATGGAAGGGGGGCCGTGATGTAAGACTTTGATGAGTCAGGTTTCTGGCGCCTTCCCTGCATGGAATGTAACACATTAAGCCTGTGCTTGTTTCTATTGTATGTACTCATTTTCTGATTTTCCAACTGCAGGGTGGAAGGAATTAGTGGGGACCGACTGCCTTTACTGGCTGCGCTGGGATTCTGGCTTTTGAACTGCATATAGGAACCGGGCCACGGCTCTGAGACACCAGGACTCCTGTCTGCACAGGCTACATTTGCCATCTTCAACCCGAGCGGTTTTGCAGTGATGATTCTGAATTTGGTAGTCAGGGTGTTGGGTGCTTTACAAACATGAAAGCGAGGCACTAACTTTTTGCTGGAGAGCAGCAGCCCACATCCTATACAGCCAGCAACTTTATCCGTCACATGGGAGCTGTGGTGAGAAATGAGAGAAGACCGTGTTGTAAAACACTGCCCACATTTCGCGCATATGTAAGGCTGTGTCTTGTTGAATTTGCGCATTGTTTGCACCAGCACAACAGGCTGGTAAAGTGTCCAGAGATCCACTGTGGGCGAACCTACACCCGCAAAAATATTCGCCACATCTTTTTCGTGGGGATTCGGGGGCAAAGAGGTGTGTGACACAGAGTGCTGCAGTTGAGGCACTTGAGAGATCTGCTTAGACCTCGGCTTCGCCGGCAAATAGGTCGATGGCGCATTCCAGACAACCTGGCCGCTCTGTAGCCGATTCAGCTGCTCCTCCTCTTCTATGCGCTTCTCAATTCTGCGCTTCTTTATTGTTCCATGATCGAGCACTTGGTGGCCTGGTTCGTGTGTAGTGCTGTGATCCAGCATGCGGCTGTACTCTACGAACTCCGTTCCACAGGAGCAGATGTGACTCGCCGCGGAACAGCTGTGTGCCTCGAGGCTTCTCCTGTTTGCAAAGATCTGCTCACAGCTGAAGCAAAAGCGTCCGGCGTCCATCAGGTCTCTGCCGAGGCCGTCTTCCAGGATGCTGCGTCTCCCTCTCTCCATCGCCCGGCCGGCTTTGTTCTCCCGTTTGCGGGGAGCCCCTCTGGAGCTGCTTTGCTGTTGGAAACGAGCAATTGTAAAAATGAACACTGGCCAAATTGCTACATTACTTAACGTCAACTTAGTGGTTTAATGGCGACTGATGCTAGCTGAACAGGGAGCTAAGTCACTTAGGCTAACCATTACACACAACGCAATTCTAAGCTAAAAAAGGGAGGAATCGGCGATTTACGGTTTCACTTGAATAGTATTTAACTTTTCGCACGACTTGACGAGACGGATACATAAAGTCTTAAACTTATTATCGGTGCAAAATTACCTCCTAACTAACGTTAGCTTATTTTATCCTGCAAGCGTCGGCTGTGTAATGCATAAAATAGTCATCCGTCCGATTAACGTTAATAGGGCGGCATGTTTATTGTATTATTCTTCCACAATGCGTAATACTCCGGGGAAAATATGTGTGCAAGGCAATTCATTTAAGTTCTTATGTTAAACGCGCCCTTGCCCGCTTTAAAAACTAGCATGCTAGCGTTAGCCTCCACTAGCTCACAAAAAATGACGTTAGCCTACCTTCACATCGATCTGTGTCGCCGGGTTTGACAGCCTGCTATATCCGTGCAACGAGCCGCAATTAGCTTGTCGATTGTCGTTTTGTGAAACCGCAAAATACAAACAAAAAATCGCGCTAACTTGCCGGTGTAGAGAAACGAGTAGGTGCCAATTAGCCACACCGAAAAAACAAGAGGAAAGACTCCGATTCTTCTTCTTCTGCGAATGGCGCGCTTCTACCCGGAAGCATCCGGGATTCGCGTCGCTACAGCGACATCTGCTGGTCGAGAGACGCGTTTGAAGGCTCCTGAACACAATCAAGAGTCGTAACAGTGGTTGTTGAATGCATTTCCCACAGGCTAAATCGAAAAGCCAAACTATCTATCAGTCGCCTTTAAGGGGTTTTGTGTTAACACGTTTTCTGGTGTGAGCAGTTTTATTTCAATGTATATATTTCATTGCAATTAAACTGACCATTACATTTTTCCATTTTATAGTATACTGGCTGCTTACACGTATCCCATCTCCCCAAATCAAAAAATTTGATCAATACTTGTGAGAAGAAACAAATTCATTTACTATGTACTAGTGTAAGAGTAGTATTCAAATAAACATTTAAATACTTGTAAATCAACATTATGGCTGTGTTAGCACGCCAGCTCTGAAACGACTTCTTCCTTATAAACATGTGGGAAAAAAATGGACAAAATAGTTTTTCATTGCTGGGTTATTGATTGTCACCACTCGGCACATACATTTTTAAAACTGTAAAGATTAGGAAATAAAGTCTGACCCCATTTACCATGTCAGTTGATGCCATGTTTAATGTATCATACATTCTAGATTCAAAGATAATCAAAAACCAGAAGACACAAAGTCAACTTGGAACTCTTAGAGGCTCCAGGATGCTTTGCCCAGTTTGTAATTCCGCCCTGACAGAAAAACTATACATTGCTCATTGGTTTGCATACGGTCTGTAAATAATCTGGAGACAAATGTATCAAATTAAATGAAAAAATGCTCAACATTAACTCAATGAGATTAATTTCTTATTTAAATTAAATTCATGATATTGCAGATTAAAACTGTGAACCTGACAAAGTACCTATTCAACCCTTTACATGGAACCCATGGCTCATCTAAGAAATCCCTTACATTTAGTAATTTGTATTTAAACTGTAATAAATAGCTGATAAAAAAATATCAATGCAGTTTTTCACTATGGATCGGCATTTAGGAAAAAAAAACATGCATTTAATTCCACCATACTATTGGCTTGGACTAAAACAAGTTCTATACCACTGTCTTCTGGATGAGACATTTTTATTCAGAAAAAATATATCTGTACGAGTAAAATGTAGAAACAAAACAGGTTTGGCTGCAAAGAGAGTTGATCCTGGCTTGAATTTAAGATCACAGGTCTCATAACCATTTTTTTTTTAAATGGCTGGTTTATTAATACCAGGAACAACAATTGGCTATATCTAAAACCCGGTGACAGGTTTGTGACCAAATATCAAGTAACCTTTACAAAATAATGTAGCTATGTAATAAAACATGATTTACATGTTAAAGAAAACGAGCCAACAGCGGCGAGCTACACTAAGATACTCAAAACAAAAACACTCAGCTGTACAGAAAACTACAATTGGCACATGTGTAAAGAACAAGCTATGAAAACATGTTATATTCTATGTGCACCACTCCCATATAGCAGATCATTTTTTGTTGTTGTCATTAAGTAGTTAGCTGTTCGTGAGTTACGGGCTTTGTGTCTCCAGCCATGATACGATGAATCCTCCTGCGGTGGTTTTTGAGGGATTTCACGTTGGGGTACGTGCCCTGACAGACATCACAGCGGTGCGCCTCAGTCTGCTTATGAGTCAGCAGGTGTTTCTGTAACCCGTCCACGGTGCCAAACCAGCGAAGACAAACAGGGCAACGCACCGGCTTGATGGCGGGCTTGCAAGCCCCGCTCCTCTGGTGAAACATGAGGCTGATTGAGTTCGGGAAGTCCGCGTTGCAGTGGGAACAGTGGTACATCTTGGGCTGGTTAGTGGCCCGCACACCTTTGCATCTATTCCACAACAGGTGCCTCCGAAGGGAACAGCGAGTGGCGAAAGTGTTATTGCACCGCGCGCACATGATGCGCTGCTGCTTCTTCTTCGTCGGATTCGCAGCTTGCACTGCGCGCGCTTGCTTGGGCTGAGGCTGATCCGCAGGCCGAGAGGGCTGCTGCTTAAATCGAAGCAGCAGAGGTTGCGACCGCTGTGGCTGAATTCCCTTCAGCAGCTGGTGGTGAGGATGCATGTGGATCTGCAGGTGGACTTCATAGTCCGCCCAAGAATTCACGGTCTCGCCGCACGTCGGACACGTGTAGGATTCCTGCGCATGCTTCTGCAGGTGCTCCAGGAGGAGCCTCGGGGAGGTAAATCCGACCCCACACTCGCACGTCACCCTCCTCGGAAGCACCGAGGGCAGAGACATGATGCCCCAGTTGCCTCCGTCGTCGTCCTCCTTGGTCTGACAGTCCGTCGCAATGCCAGACACAGCCGGCTGCTCCTCCGTCCGTCCGTCCGCCTTTCCGCCAGCATCCATTGTTCGTAGCAGCTGACATCTCCTTCTGTGAACCATCATGTTATCTTTGCGGTTAAAGCTCTTGCCGCAGACAAAACAGGCAAACATCGGCTTCATATTGTTGCCAGTTAGCGGCGCGGCGCCCTGAGCGCCACTCAGCGTGGCGGGTCCGCGTAACCTGAAGCCGCACAGTCGTAGATGGCGCCTCAGAGTAGACGGGCGGCTGTAGGTTTTCTGGCACCGGTTACAGGGGTAACGCCTCACACCGCCCCTCACAAAGTAGCGCAGGCTGGGGACGGTCGTCTCTGTGGACTTCGCTTGTGTGTCATTACCAGCATTATTGGTGGAGCCCAGCACCTCAAGTTCATCATCCAAGGGCATTGTCCACTCGCCTTCGTCGCTGTCCTCTTCATCACATTCTGATGCATCCCAGCTGCTGTTCTCTTGTCCTTGTTGGAGCGACACCCCGCACAGAGAGGCATCGTTCTGCGCCTGGTTCATGGACGAATTGGAGTAGAAAGGTGAGAAGCTTTTTGCCGAATGTGTCCAGGCCAACTCTGAAACCGCAGACTGCAGTGAATTTGGAGACGTCGCTTCTACCTTGATGTGACTAAGCCTGGTAGCGTCGGTGCCCACGGCGACACTCTTGTTGAGTTGAGATCCGGCTTCGATCCCTGCATCTGTTCTGTCTTCGCTGTTTGACCTTAATACTGGCCTTTTCTGAAAAGCTGGACTGGCGTGTGGATAAGGGGCTGAGCCTGGGCCCTGACACTTGTGCATTTTGAGGTTCCACCTGCGTGCATAGTTGTGCTTGCACAATGGACAAAAGAAGACTTTTTTTGAGTTGTTTAGACTGTGGAATGGCACAATTTTTTGTGGGAAAGAGCTTGATGGCGACATGGTTTTGTTTCCTAACTGAGGGCATACGTGATTGTCAGGTAAAGGCAGCCGCCCAATAATGAGCTGTTTGCAACGACGGCAGCATTTAATCCTTTCTTTTTTGTGCAAAAAATGATGCTCGGCCAGTTTGTCTAAATTTTGAAAGACCCTTCGACAGCGGCCACATTGATATTCCCCATATATGCCATTACTGAAGGGAGCCATGAGCTTTTGACGGGTTTCAAGGACCACAACAGGGGAGAAAGTCTTTGTCAGAGAGACAACCCTTTTCTTACTGCCCTCAAGAATTTTGCTGATGGATGGAGCTTTCGTCTTAATACCAGGTTTTGCAAGCAGTCGCCTCAACTGTGTTATCGACAGATCGTTTATCGAAGACACTTCAGTTTTTGCAACTGGTGTTATATCAACAGGGACAACTTCTTGTTTGGGGGTAATTGTGTTATTGTTTTGATTTTGCAAGAGAGGGTTTTGAAATCGGTTCATGTACGCTGATGCCAACAACTTCATTAGGGGTTTATTTATGGACAAACTCTCCCCCTTCTTTCTGCTGGGAACGGAATTTGTTTTGTCTAGCAAACTATTGTCCTCTACAGTCTCCGCTGGTTGCTCTGCTGGGGCTGACATGGTCTTAAGTTGTTTCTCACTGGGATCTTGAGGAGGCTTACACTGGCCTTGAGGAGCGGTTGCTATGGAAGTGACATCCTCCAGGCTTAAATCGGTTTTGTGGTCTGCCAATATGGGTAGTTTGACATCTGGAAACCTTGAGGTAGAAGGGCAACTAATCACCAAAGATGACTGAGTCGCAGTTGGAATGAATGATAGATGCTGGGAAGGAAAGACTTTATCACAATCTGCTCCACCAGAAAGAACACTATTACTGTCCAGAGGTTGCAGAAACTGTGGTTGAGATTCATGTAATCGCTTATGCTGCAGCATAAGACTGAAGTCCTGAAACTCCTCTCCACAATCACAAATAAAAAAAGAAGGAGAATGGCTATCAGGCAAGCGTGTCGGTGGACTGAGCTGCTCACCAGAAGAGTCCATACTACCAAACAGTATTTCACGCTGGCTGTTGCTAGGCTGTGAAGGGGCAGGGACCTTGGAGAGCGCTCCGGCATGAGTTGCCTGATGTACAAGCAAGGAGGCCAGTCCAGTGAAGGTAGCTGAACATGCCACACAACGATACACTTTGGGGGTTGAAGTACTTCCCTGTAACCCAAGCATCATGGCAGCCAAACGTATAAGGCAATCCAGGTGTTGTGGCAAGGCAAGGAGGTTGCCTGTAAATCACAAACAGCATACACAAACGTTATGTTACCAAGAAAGAGTGGAAATACAATTTTAACATGAAAAAAATAAACACAAAATCCTTTAACCTTTTGAACGAATTTTCATCTACTTCTTTCTCATTCATTTCACTAATAAATGTGGTTGGAACATGGTTACACTAGAAACTATTGCATTATTATTTCATATTTTTTAATTTCCAATAAACCATATGAGAAGCAATTCATTTGTGTCTTGAGATATCACAATTTCACATTCCCACCAAAAGATATGTTTAGGTGAGTGTTTAGCAACATTTCCCAGCTGGAACAATGATACCTAATTTGGCCCCTTTTTTGGAGTCCTAAATTCATATGCATAGATAAAGGAAAGACTCTGTGCTGCCTTGGCTTGAATTTTCTGCCAGCGTCTAACTCAACAGAGCAACTATAAGCTGCCCTGGACGCTGCACTGCGCCGCCTGCCCATGGGGCAGTAAATCCATCTGGTCTTTCAGCAGAAGATGAGATCACAGCTGCAAACTTTGGCATCATTTCCACTGGCTTTCTACATCATGCTTAGCTTCCCTATGACCAGGTGCATTTACACACCTGCAGGGGAAAATCATGCAGACATGCACTGCAGTGCTCATGGCTCTGAGCGGAGGCCTAACCATGGCAGGCATTTCCTGCCATCAGAAATAATTCATAGGGCATACATACATGGAACACATTCAGATTTATTTAACTAAAGGAAAACGTATCCTGTTTTCTCATCTGTTGCCCCCAAAATAAATACACACACATATAACCAATATGAAAAGATGATAAAAACAATTGATGCATTGATTATTATTTGAACCTTACTGTCCTGTTGACCAGGAGGGAAGCTAGTTTAAAATAACGATTAACGTCATATTCGTTGAAATATTCAAAATCTCTCCAACTATGAGCAACGTGTTGCTTAGAGGCTTGAATTATCTGATTAAACCAACGACAACCAGGTACAGCACAAACAACCGTACACACGGCGGGACCCGAACACAGAACCACACACACTGCCAAGAAAAAAACAACAAAGTAGCTAGTTAGCTAACGTTACCTCCAGAATACTGGCGACCGCAAGCGAACACAACGTTAGATTGCTAAACTGACCACAATGCAGGGACGTGGTCCCTCCCATAGCGTCTAAAGTTAACGTTTTAATAAGACGTAACGTTTTTATCGCAAGTAGCCTGAGCACTAGTCACCGGCTACGGTTTGCTAGCTCGTCACCCGAGCCCAACCACACTCGCAAGCCCGCGGTGCTGCTGATCCATGGCAGAAGGGATGCTAACGGGAAGCTAACCAGGGCGAAGGCCGGAGGACGGAGTAACGTAAGGGGGCCACCGCAAGCTAACGTTAGCTACCTGGTCAAATGGAGCAGACTCTCCCACACAATGGCCAACCGTTCGTTTACCTTCACACACTACTCACCAGCCTCGGGGCAATTAGCGTGTTATGCTCAGTGACAGGGCTGGAGGACACGAGATGCCCCCCTCAGCAGACCGCTGTAGGTTAACGTCGCCCTGCTCGGTTCTGTCGTTAACAATTGTGATGCTGTGCCAAGAGGCAGCGAGCCGGGAGGAGAAGCAGCAGCAGCAGGCGCGGAACAGACCCACTCAAGGCGTTTGCACTACGCATGCGCACCTCACCCGATCCCGGTGTGGGCGATTCCCCGTGGGTGCGCTCCGCGCCGTTGCTGCGCTGCGGCCGCAGTGGAAAAATGCGGGTCATGTGACCGGGTCCATCCATTGAAACACTGAAGGCAAACTTGTCTCATGCGAACTTAAATAAGAGCGTACTTCACACTCAGCAACCTTTGTTGGTATTATCACAATGTTTGCCACATGTTTAACATAAAACCAAGTGTTTTCCCAAGGCGGCCAAGATGCACACCTCTGTCAAATATTGTTGTACATTTTATATAATAGTATTTTTAAACTTCTCACTTATTCTATTTGATGTAGTATTGTCTTTCAGACACATGTTCAGGCACAATAAATCCGTTTTTGTCATATAGATTCAGGTTAAAAAAACTATAGCATGCAAGTAGTTCACTAAAGTGTACTACAGTATTTTAGTAATATTTAAATATTATCTAAAATGACTATCTGCTAATCACAATTTATAAATGGACGTTCCTTGTTTTCATTTATGTAAAGCAAACTAAATTGCCAGTGTGTGCAAATTGTTCTAAAAAGGAACTTCCTACTGCTTATTAGAGATTAGTTAAAAATCTAATAGCAATAAAGAAATACTACTGTTAATTTTGACGTAGCAATAGAGAAATACTACTGATAATTTTGACGTATCAGTTTGTCTCACAGCGTTTTTCTAGTGATTGCTTTACGGGGCGCCGGGGAGAAACACACTTGTAGGCCCTTGTGTTTTCCATATACAATGAGCCACGTTTAGGCGCATAATTGCATTAATAGTCTTGCATAGAAAGGAAACGTATTAAGACACTAAATTAAATTCATGGTCTATCAAATTTTATGGTCCAAGAACAATGCTCACAAAAAAGTTTACCATATCAGTTATGTGAAAACTAATGGCCTAAAACTAACTACGTGGGGCCTCTATTGGGCTGTCTTTGATCTCATTTGACCATAATTAATTACATTACATTACATTACAGGTCATTTAGCAGACGCTTTTATCCAAAGCGACTTACATTACACTTTAAACCCATGGGTTTTTTTTCACATTTTTGCCCGGGGAGCAATTAGGGGTTAGGTGTCTTGCTCAGGGACACTTCGACATGGAAGATGGGGCAGCCTGGAATCGAACCACCAACCTCGTGCTTCCCAGCACACCTTCTCTAACCCCTGCGCCACGACGATATTAATATGTTATTAATATATTATATTATTAATATGTCGATTAATAATCAACATATTAGTTATTTCATTATAATAAAATGAATATAAGTTGACATGTTAGGTTGACCTACTTTATCTCACATTTTAGATTTGTATTGTAAAAGAATTGTTTGTAATATTAAAAAATAATGTTCTTAAAACTTGACTGAGGGATATCTACTATAAAAAGGCTAGAAGTTCAATTATATATAAGAAACCAAATAAACTACTACATTTAATTAAATATTTTTGGAGGGGGCTGCTGTTAAAAAGGGAAACCACAAGCTCAGATGGGTATTCGGCATCAAACCGGGACCAGCTCCGCTTTCGACAGTGTTAACCACCAATCTGCCACATTGCCCGACTCTGTTTTCTTTTGTGGCCTTTTTAGGGCAAGCAAACCTTTTGTTGACTTCCTACATCGTACACAGAAATACAAAAGAAGGTAGGCAGAACTAAGAAAGAGACACAAACTGATTTTCCGGTTCACTTTACTCCTTCATTGAATGCATCAAGTCAAACTTCTTAAGAAAGTAACATCAGGTTGTTTGTGAAAAGAATAAAACATATTTTCAATTTTGAATGCACAATGGGGTAAACTTCCACACTAGCAACTTGAGAAAACAAAAAGCAAGCCATTATATACAGGGAAATGTTTAACTGAAAATGTACATACAGTACATAGTCATAGAAAATGCCAATAGATTAAAATGACCAGTTTCTTACCAGTAATCTTACATATTAACAACATTAAATGCTGTTCCAAATTACAGTATTTATCCAAGACTTTCCATAAACATCCCATCATGTACCGGCTGTATTCATTACACAAGTTTAATTTGAACAGCTTTACACCATTTCTTTTTTTTGAGATTTACAAAAAAAACTGTCAAGAAAGTAACTGGCTCAATTACGGTATACAAATCCCGTATTCAAACAAAAAATACAAATATACACTGTACATAGAAACGGGAGAAGAGGGTCTGTCACGAGCCAAATTCTTGGTTAGTTAAAAATACAAATTGGAGTCAAGTTATGATAACAAGTGGAGGTACATGAAAGGAAGTATAGGATGGATTTACAGAGAGGACCCAGCATGAGTCTGTTGATGTTCATCAAGTAGGTGGGGAAAAGCGAAGGCTTTGTCACATTCTGTGCATTCATATACAACTTGGCCGACGTGACTTTCTTGGTGCCGCTTCAAATCAGACCACTCGCTGAATGACTTGTAGCACATATCGCAGCGGAACTTTCCGACTTCCTTTTCAGCGTGCAATCGCATATGCAATGACAGCTCTTTCGCTGTATTGAATGTGGAGTGGCACTGCGTGCACTTAAACTTCAACGGTTGAAGATGTCTTTGCTCGTGCAATACGAGGTACCGCCTCCTGGCAAAACTCTTTCCACAAAGCTTACATTTAAATGGCTTTTCATTTGGGTGCCGTTTATTTTGATGCTCCAAAAGACCACTCTTTGAGGAAAACTGTATTGAACAAACAGGGCATTTGAAAAAGTCCTCTCCAGTAACATCAATCTCTTCCTCCTCTCCTGCCGTTTGATAATGAGGGGGTGCGGATGCCTTGGCTGATGGATGGGAGTGTCCGGTCTCTTTTGATGTGCCCTTTTGGTGGTAACAGTGGTGCTGCTTGAAAGCATCTTTTTCCCCAAACTTCTGGTCACACTCTTTGCATTCAAATTCCTCAGCTGATGTTACATGACGGGACTCATGCTCTTCAAGTTTACGCTCAGAGGGAAATGTCATTTTACAAATTTGGCACTCAAAAGTACCATCGGAATGCATAGGGAAATGACTGATCAACTCTGCAGCACTGGCAAAACACAGATGGCAAACTGGACATATGAAACCGTTTGATTGAGTCACATCTGTAACTTCAGTGCGCTGTTTGGGCTCTTCTGCGTTTACACCATGGCTCTTCAGATGGCAGAGGAAGTGCTCAGAGGTGGAAAAGCTATTGTTGCATTGATTGCACCGATATTCACTGTTAGACGATGATATATGATGGGTGGTCCGGTGCTTTTCCAGGTGAGATGCATGCAGAAAATGTTTATCGCAGTCTGAGCACGAGTGTGGCCGCTCTTTGGCTTCCATGCAACCGTGCTCAGAGAGCTCCTCAGGGTCTTTGAAACGCTCACTACAAACACCGCAGCGATATTTGAGTTCTTTAGGGGACACCCATGAGCCTTCGGAGTGGGAGGCAGACATCTCGTGTTCTTCCCTTAAAACTAGAGGAAGGGGACGGTCACTTGACTTTGAGTGGCTTTTCCGATGCTCAACTCTACTGCTCTTGGAAGGAAACACGCGATTGCATATATCACATGGGAAGTTCTCTTCACGGTGGGTGGACATGTGTTCTGCCAACTTCAACGGCCCTGTGAAACTGAAGTCACACTTGGAACAACGGTAGGGACGGCTCTTTCCGTGAGAATGCTTGTGTTTACGTAGCGCAAAGAGCGTGACGAAACCCCTACCGCATGCCTGACACTGATATTCTGACTTGTGCATGCGTTCATGCTGCTGCAACTGAGAAGCCTGGAAAAAGCATTTACCACATTCTGCACATTCGTGTGGTTTTTCTCCCAGGTGACACCGCTGATGGTCCTCAAGACCTTCTGATGTTGGGAATGTCTTTCCACACACGTGGCATGGAAAGTAGGGCGCAGAGTCTGAGTCGCTACCCTCACTGCTGGTATTTTTATCTTCATCGCTGTCTCCAGTTGTGCTGACTTGACTGCTGGATTGTTGCTCAGCGGGGCTCTTTTCCTGAGCAGTTCTCCCAAGATTCCTCTGCTCTTCTCGATGCCATCTTCTATAATGTCTCGCCAGAGATTTTTTGACTGAATAGACCTTGCTACAGAAACGACAAGTAAACATATCGTCTGGGTGGTCTTCTTTGTAATGATCACACAAAGATTGTCTTTTCTGAAATCCTTGATTACACAATCTGCAAGTAAAAGACCTATTGGGGTCATGAGTATATTGGTGGATGTCAACTTCCGATTGGCTCTTAAAAGACTTGTAGCATTCAGGGCAAGAGAATTTCCCATCATCGTCATGTGTCTTCATGTGTCTTGCAAGATTTCCTCGATTAGCGAACACCTGCCCACACTCTATACATGCGTTGCGCTTTTTCGCTTGATCTTGTCTTCCATGGTCTTCAAGGTGACTTATGAGCATTAAGCCATCAGTGAAGCTCTTATCACATTCTGAACATTGGTACTGAACAGCTTTCTTCTCATTGCTTGAGCTCCTCTGTACCGGTTCTCCTTCAGAATTGTCTGCGGATTTGTCAGTTACTTCATCTTTGCAGGAGAAGTTGGTCTGCAAAACACCAGTCCCACTCGATTCAGAGGCCTCTTTGAACACTAGAACAGAGTCATTTAGCACAAAGTCAATCTCCGCTTTCAAAGGGACATGCAACGGTTGGGTTGTTCTTCTCTTTGAAATGTGGCCAAATCTACATTTCCTTTTGTGATTATGCAGAAGCCATTTATTCCAGAAGCCCCTCTTGCATGTTTTACAATTATAAGGATGCCCTATTGAGTGTACACGGAGATGACTAGTTAGTCCAGCTTTATTTGCAAACGACACATTGCAGTCTTGGCAGGACAATGAATTGGGGACCTTACTCTCAGGAGCTGTATCTATCAGATCATCCCCATCACTGAACGGTTTGTCACAACTCTCATCCAAAGGCTCTTTTTTGATGTTTGACAAATGGTGTTGTAATGGAGCAGAGGACATTGGTGCAACCTTTGTTTCTGGCTTGTGCGCACTTAAAAAATGCTCTTGAAGCTGTGAAAACAGCAAGAAACGGCAACTGCAGTAGGCACAAGAAAAGCCTTCTGTTGTGCTTGTAGTGGGCAACTGTTGGCTTTGGCAAACCGTGGACCTGGATGGCGGCGTTACAATGCATCTTTCTTTGCTGCACTTTACGGAATGACGCTTCACGTAATCCTTCCTTATAAATCGCTCACCACAATCATCACAGGCATACGGCCTTTCTCCTGTGTGCAGACGGGTGTGCACGACCAATTGCCAGGCATTTTGAAAAGCACGGGGGCAATAACTACATGCGTATTTGTACTTTTTGCTCAAATAAGGTTGAATACGCTGTATTAATCGATCTCTCACCCCTTTAAGTGGCGTTGTCACATTCTCTGTCTCCAGTGGAGGAAATGCATTTGATTCATTGGAGGGAGTCCTGCACCTCTTCCTCTTCCTGTGCTTTTTCAGAGATGTTTCATGTGCAAATGACGAGCCACATGGTGTGCACTTGAATCGTTTCGTCATATGGAACATGGTGACATGTCGGGAAAGTTTTGACTGTGCGGAAAAGCTCCTTGTACAGATTTTGCACTCAAATGCCTCATGCTTTTCAGCAGCTGCCAGCATACCAGACTTATTTTGCCAACCTTTGCCAATGTCATCTAAACTGATTTTGGGAATACAGACTTCCAATCGGGTTTTTTTCCCTTTACAGCGAGTCTGATGTACTTTCAGGTGATCATACCTTGAATAGCAGCAGTCACAGGCCCTGCAGCGATATGGTTTCACCTCATTGTGTGTCAAAATGTGACGTCTTAAGCTTCGTGATTTCACAAAGGTCTTGGTGCAGAATTTGCACTTTAACACGGCTTCCCCTTCTGCCTTGGGCTTGGGCATAGCCTCACTGAGACGAGGCGTCTTTAACAATTGAGTTTCAGCAGTACCTTTGACTTTCGACGGTCTCTCTTTGTGGACACCATCACAGAAAGCTTCATGCTGCAAACACGTCGACTGGTTTCTATATCCCTGTCCACAGTGCATACATGCATATGGTTGAATACCAGTGTGTGACACAAGATGTCTCAAAAGTAACGATTTGTACCTGAACCTCTTTGTACAGTGTGGACATCTCAATGGAAGCATGTTAGTTGCATTGGACTTTTGAGGCATTCTGGGGACATTTTGCCCCGCCTGTGAATTGCTTTCACAGACATCACCATTGACAGGTGACAACCCATTGTTGAGCTCTGAAGTTTCTGTGCAGTTCCTCTGATGATGATTTAATTTTGTATATCCAAAGCACTGCCCACATCTTGAGCACGGAAGCAAAGTGTTTGCTTTATGGGCATTGTGATGGTTTTTTAGGCGATTTCTCCTTGAAAATCTCCGTGGACAGTAGAAGCACACGAGTGGCCCTTTATTAGTGTCAGAGTATATGGTCGTCACATGTCTGGTTTGAGCAGGCAAACACTTCTCTGCATGAAGCTTCAGATACAAGTAACGGTAAAACTGTCTTCCACAGTTGGCGCAGGAAAAGGGCGCGTCTCCAGTATGTTTGATCATGTGGCGCAGCAGGTAGCGGCGATTACTGAAATCCGCTTTGCAAAATGGACACTGGTTCAACGAGGATCCAGATATATGTGCAAGACAATGTTTTCTTAGTAGTTGGGCATCATCAAATACTTCGTTGCATAAAGAACACTCCAGCTGCTTTGGCCCAGTCTGTTCTTTTACAGATTCCAAGGACTCCTGTGGTTTTAATGGAAGTCTCTCTCTGAGCTGAATTGTCCTGTTTTCTCTTCTTTTGTGGGACTCTACGTGTCGAAGGAGATGTGCAGGATACTGGAACTGCAGGGGACAGTCTGGGCATTGAAGCATTCCCCTTTTAAGATGAGTGCTTCTGTGCTGGATCAGATCACCAAGAGTTGGAAGAACCTTTTGGCAGACAGTGCACTGTATCCTCCTGCGGTGAACAATTTTATGACCAATCAGATTGGCACGTTTTTTGAACACTTTGCCACATTCCAGGCAGCGGTATGGTTTTTCACCTCTATGACTGCAAAGATGTTTCTTTAGTGACTCTGGGGTGTCAAAACATTTACCACAAAACCTACAGCTCAGAACAAGACCGCTAGTTGCCGCAGTTGATTTTTCATAACCATCATTCTCTTCTACAATTGTGCTACTTAAAGTCGCTGGTGTAACAATGGTGGAAGAAACTGAATTCCTGTACCTGACCATTTTGCCAGTGAGTTTAAACAGCTCATGTTTCTTCATATGTCTGTACTTTCCGGAAGCATGGCAAAAAACAGCTGGACAAAGATTGCATTTGTAACGTGGTACAGTTTGAAGGGGTGTAAAAGCTGGGGCTGATTCCCTAGGGTGTTTTTTCCATTCACTTTTCCTAGACTGTGTCTTCTGCTCAATCTCCTTAGTTGTTTTCTGTTGCAGCTGTTCCTTTGACGTTGGCCTCGATTTTGAAAGTCGAATTATACATTCTCTGAGGCAAATTGATTTGACATGTCTGTATCGGTTGCTTGACAAAGTGAATGTAACGTGGCACAAGGGACACGGATATTTACCAGCGATTTTGCCCTTCCCCTCACACATGGAGTTTCTTACACAGTCACGCAAATGACGAGCTCTGTTGAAGGAGTACTTGAAAAGCCGTGGACAGATGGGGCATTTATATTTTCCACTTATGTGACCCTCCACTTTTGGAGTCGTTTCCTCTCCACTGTGTTTAGTGGTATTCAGACTTGATGAAGCGGCTGGATCTTTCCCTTTGTTGAGGAAGTGGTCTTTAAACTTCTCTGCAGTTGAAGACGGATGCGTTTTCGAGATGTCGACCAGCTTTACATAACATTCAGGTAGATTTGGACATGGTTTGTTCAATGGATGTTCGTCTTGTGGTGGTCTTTTAGTTTCCTTGATATCCGAATCAGCCTTTGAATTTGTAACTTTTGACCCCCTGCATCTGCCAGGTATTTTCTTATGCCTTTGCATGCTACCAGACTGTGTAAAGTATAATCCACATGCATTGCACCTGTAGGGAGTTTTTCCAGTGTGAGATCGCATATGCCTGATATATTCAGTGAGCTTGGAAAATACGAGTCTGCATTTAATGCAGCTGTGGCCGCCACGGCGTTTTCTTTGCTTCGGTAACCTGGAGTCAGAAGAGAGCAGAGGGCCATCTTCAGTCACACAACACACATGTTTTTCTGATTGTTCATTCCTGACCGTCAGGTAGACCTTACAAGTCATGCAAAACTGGAAGTTTTGCAATGAATGGGAACAGTGGTGGTGTTCAATTAAATGATTTACATTGTAAGTTGTGTGTTGGCAATCCGCGCAATGATAAGAGTTTCCGGACTCTGATGTTCTTAGTACTACGACAGGTTGCAGGCTTTTTCTCAACTGTGTAGAAGATATGAGTTGCGGTGCTTGCCCTTCTGAACAGTTCATACTGTCACGGTCAGGTCCGGCCAAAGAAGTGTCTGGGTAGGGACTTATGTCAAGTTTGGATTCATCCGCATCACAGGAAGAATCTTCCCTTGACAGTGGTTCACCAAAGAGGATGCCAGACAAGGACACCTCCTCTGCAGATGTGTTCAACTTTTTAAACGACTCATTTTCAACAACATCTCCATTGAGACTTCCTTGTTCTACAGCCTGTGGACTGCGCTGCTGTGACTGATGCGGATCTGGAGAAGAGGTTGCATTTGTGTTCACTACTGGACTTGTTAATTCCTTTTCTACAGAGGTAGTTGAGCCTATGCTTAAGGGGTTTGATTGTGAGCCAGGTTGTATATCATTAAAACAACTTTCCTCTTTCGTGTCACCAGTCAAAGCGCTGTCACTACAAGCTGGTACTGAGGAAGGTGGGGATTCCATTTCTACACCAGGATTTATGTCTCCGTTTGAGCTGGTTGGCTTCAAACAGGATTCAACATTAGCAACTTGGTCGTTCTTGTTACCATCAATAAGAAGACTGGGGGCACTGCAAACAGGATCCAGAGAATTTGTATTTTCTGCTGCACTGGTCCATTCCTTTTCTAGACAGGGATTTGAATCTGCGGTGGAGTTGGTTGGCTGTATGGAGGGATCTGAATTACTTGCAATACATTGCTCAGTGTGGTCACATGCTTTGCTGAAATGACCACTCGTCACAGCTGGATCTGAAGAAACCTGACGGTCAGAATCGTTGAGTGCATTTGTATCGGACAGAATTTCTTTCTCCTGAAAGTCAATCCTTTCATCTTGACCATCAGTGGAGTTGGGATTTAGTGTTGTCTTCTCATCAAAAGTCTCTTTTTCTACTTTACTTTTAGCCTTGTCCTCTTGCATATTTCTATCTTGATTATTTGTGAAGCTGGGATTACCATTTTCTTGATTCAATGATTCCTCAATTTCCTTTCTTAGGACCTTTTCCCCTAAATGCTCTTGCACATTGTTCAATGTAGTCAAGATATTTGGTTCAGAGAGAGATACAGGTTCAGCAGTTTGCGCTTTGTCATTGCCATCTGGGTACCGTAGTTCATCGTCTGCAAACTTTTCATCACTACTTGTGGAGATGTTTGAACTTTTCCCTTGAATCAAATCTTTGTCTACGTTCTCTTTTTGTTCCTGTTCTGGACCACCTCCATTTTCCTCCTCAACAGTCTTGCTCACTGTAGTTGTCACCATGTTAGAAGTAATGGAGGACTGATTGTTTTCTGTGTAAGAATTGACAGTTTTATCTCGACATTCCATCTTGTCCTTGACTATGGTTTCTCCCACCGTTACATTTGAACTACTTGCCAAGGCTACATTTGTGTCTGACTTATTAGGGCACAGACTCTCAGTTGGAACCATCATGTTTCCAGCATCAGTAAAAAGCCATTCTGATGAGCTGGGATTTGTAGTAATATGAGTTTTAAGTTTTGAAACCGAATTGCCTGCCATGAATTTACAAGAGGGCCTTTTTTCACCCAAATCGGCATCCGAGCAGCTACTGACATCTGAGTAATCCTCAAGAAGTGATTGAGCTAGCATTCCACAGTCTTGTAAGTCTGTCGCAAAAGATCCCGATGTCGACAATCCATCGTTTGGCAGGTAATCTTTTACCATTTGTTCTCCATCCGCTTGCCATGGGGTTTCGTTGCCGTATCGTTGATAAAGGCAATCTGAACTTGGATTTTCTAAAGAGGGATTTGAGTAATAGTTTGTGTTGAAGTTTGAGTTTGTAGCAGAGGATCCATGTGAAATCTCTGAGCCGGGAAAGTCATGATGTCCAATGAAGTTCTCTATATGGTGGGTAAGAGTTCCTTCCGACTGTGAAGTTCTTGACAAAGGGCTTGTTTCTGATGAAGTTGGAAGGGTATGGAAGTATGAATCCCAACCATGAGCCATCCTTTGCAAGGATCGGAAGCCCTAGCTTATTTTGTCCAATCCTGAAAACATAATGCATATAATTATAAAACATACAATCATTATCACCTCAAAGAAATGTGCATAATACTTGACAAGAAACTTCTAACCTTTTCTTGGACTCCCGATGAGTGGGACTATCCAGGGCGATGTGTTACATCTACATGATACATGGAAATACATTGGTCATTATTATTGTGAAGGTTGAGTAATTCTAAACCACATTGGTTGGCCATGTAGAAAGCCTACAAAAAGACATCAGTTCCTGGGCATCTGTCATAAGAACCATTTGGTGGTCATCAGCAGTGAAGGAAGCCACTAAGCTGAATGAGAATGCCTTTTAGGCAAGCATAAACTGTGGATCTGCCAAATCTGCAAAAAGGAAGGACTGCAGCTTCTGTCTGCTTAAATCGACATTCTGTGTGGTAAATAGAGATGGCAGGTTTCATCAGAATTACTTTACACAGGTGTCCCTGTAGAGAACTCCTGGAAAAATAGACTTATCTACCATTGTTTCTACCTGGCTCATGGTTTGCTGTACATTTATTGTCACTTTAGATAAAGGCGTCAGCTAAATGGAACATAATGTTGGATGTAATGCAAGGTAATTGGGGAAGGCGCAGCCTTTGCAATTCATACACGTCGCAACCAACACAACCCCCAGCAAAATGCCCGCTGCAAATAGGAAATTTCCTACAAAAACATATTCCTGGGACCACTTGGGTTGAAAACATCTGAGCTTTTTTTCTTGAATGTAGAAAGAAATTTCAATCAATTAAACCATCCTGTAATTAAGAGGTCTATTCAATGGAAAGATATTTTACAATACTACTATAACGTCCTTTAAACATGATGTTCTCAGAGACAAAAATCAGCACACACAGACACAATCTTAACCAATGTAAAAACGTTTGTACCTGATGTTTAACATCTGCCGTCGTAAGACGTCAATCTTGGCGGTCTGTAAAAGGCAAAGAAATTTAATTATTAGTAGTTCCATGACCAGCTGTTTTACAAGATAAAATGGCAATGAAGGCCGTTGTTTGAGAAAAGGATTAAAAGGGTAAGGCTCTTGCAGAGATGTTCTGATACGGGCTGCAATTCAACAGCATCAAATACCAGCCGAGGTTGGTGCAAATTGATTACCAACACACACACACACACTGCGGTGAAACGATATAAAATGTAATTATAAACAAAACAAAATTGCAAATAAAAGCAGCAAGCATTATGAACAAGCCCAGGCAACCATGGCATGTTGGGGGTGTACAACCAAATGCCTATGACAAGGAGTCGCAGAGTTAAAAAGGTACTCTGTGTGACTGCATGACGCTCTAAATGTTGTTCCGTAAAAGGTTGCTATAGTTTTTCCGGCGACTGCGAAGTGCTAAATAACACATACACATCAATTATGTCGCTCGATACACCTTGTGAAAACACTCCAAAGCTGCAATTAATTTTTTGGCCACTGGTAACTTGAATTGCTTATTATTGCAATTATTTAGGTACCACATGCAAGCTTTTTTAAAAGTTTACTTTAAAAAAAAAGAAAATGATGTAGGTCAATTGTAGAGCTGGTGCTGCTCTTCTTAAGTAGGTGGCGCAATTCAATCAATTAACAAAGACCCATATGAAATATCTACTTAAATTCTCCAGGACACGTGTGTAAAGGTCCAAGAGTTTGAGAGCATGGCAGGCGACTGAACAAGCTTAATTTTCCATGGCAAAGGAGAGGTTGTGTTAGAAATTAAAGCACAAAAGCATGCCGAGCAGTAGAATTTATAATATGCATGATCATGACTAGTGGTGGAATTGAAGTTTGTGTGTTATTAGATAGTAGATCATTATAGTATAAATATGCCTGTAATATGAAATACACATTGTATATCTTGTCATTCAATACTATAAACAAGACATTGATTTTACTTCGTGGACCCTGGAATGAGGGTCTCTGCTTTGACGTCCTTCCTTTTTTGTCTGTGCCTAGTGTGATTTTTTTTTGCATGCGTGCAGATTGATGGGCTTTGTCTATGGCGTTATATTTGTGCCACAATCCTGAGCGCGTAATTTTAAGTTTTGAGCACAGAGAACTATATTTTAGCAAAGAAAAACATATTCCGTGCGCGCAGTTTACTCCGGTTCCCCTCGCCACAAACTGGTTTTCTGCGCGCAGGCAGCCGTTGCTGCGCTCGCTCCACCTCTTCACTCTGCGCTCGCTCGACGGTTCACTCTGCGCTCGCTCGACTTGCAGCAGCGTTACATTTGTGCCACAAAACCAACCAATCAGAGAATTAAAGAAGGTCCATTGCGATTGGCTGTTGGTCTCCAATCACAACGCTTCCTAAAGAAGACGAAAACGAGTGATATTAGAAGTCCGACTAGCCACCATCAGACATGACCGAAGCAAATGATGAGAACAGCAAGTGTTTTAATCCAGGCCATTAGCATTTAGCACAAATGCTGCAAGCTTCAACAACTCGCTGAGCTTCCGCGATGCTGTAGGTAGTTCTACTAGCGTTGTGATTGGAGACCAACAGCCAATCACAATGGACCTTCTTTAATTCTCTGATTGGTTGGTTTTGTGGCACAAATGTAACGCTGCTGCAAGTCGAGCGAGCGCTTGAGTGAAACGTCGAGCGAGCGCAGAGTGAAGAGGCGGAGAGAGCGCAGCAACGGCTGCCTGCGCGCAGAAAACCAGTTTGTGGCGAGGGCACCTCAGTAAACTGCGCGCACGGAATGTTTTTCTTTGCTAAAATATAGTTCTCTGTGCTCAAAACTTAAAATTACGCGCTCAGGATTGTGGCACAAATATAACGCCATATTTGTCTAAACTTTTATTTTGGACCACTAATGGTTAAGATGTGTTATGATTGAGTGTATTCCATATTTAAGCAATATGGTACGAGAGGCTGTGCGTCGGGCCTAACAACACCCCCGAACTGTTACATTATTGGACAATAAAGTACTGCCTCAAGTTAGGGCTGCACGGTATACCGGTTCAAACGGTATAAGATTTCCGTACGGTATGAATTTCTCACATAACGACCATACCGGTGTTACGTCACAACTGACGTTGCTCTTCGGCGGGCGGCAGAATTTATTTTTACACGTCATCGAGGAGCGCCCAGCGGTCGGAGCTACTTGTCTTTCGTGTGTTGAGATTGAGTCATGGTTCTGACTTCATAACAACCAGGAATAACACACAACAAACTCTTGACATGGTAAAACACCACGACACAACCGCTTGTGACAGACAAACAATTTGTTACACATAATTGTACATTTATAAAAATTTATTAATTATTATTAAAAGTGAAGTTTACTCTGTTGCTACATGAAAACACGGAAAAGCGCGATACAGGAGGAACAACGAGAGACCAGAGATGCACCAACACAACTTGTGCCCAAGACAGGAGCTATGTCTGTTAGGATTTTCCAAAACCAAAAACCCTATGTAAGTTACATTAGGCTAGAAAACGATTTATTGTAAAGTCTGTCGAGCCTCTGGTGGCAACACTTGCAGCCACAACAAGCTAACACGCTAACTCGCCGCAAGCGTCGAACAGCTGTTCGGGTAACCACGGCCCTTTCAGGGTCAATGAATTAATGTGTTTACTTGAAAAATCAATACCATGATACGGTCAGAATCTTTCTTAATACCATGATATGGATTTTTGGCCATACCGTGCCGCCATACCTCAAGTACCGTATTCCTTTTATAATACGGTTACCAGCGAAATTATAAGTAAGTAAATAGCTGACTTTCAGCACGTAATAGGTGTACCCACCAAACGAAAAAAAATAGTCCTAGTACGTGCATTTAAACAGCATTGGGTCTAGTGTTGCATGGTGCACCGGTACTAGAAAGGTACCCATACGATGAAAACAATACAGTTTTGAACATTTTTTGTACCACCACTTTAAAAAAAAATCCGAGCGCACTCACTGTTCCGCTCCCTGTCAGGCTGCCTGCACGCATTGACTGCGCAGCTCTCACACGTGCAACAGGCAGCCGTCACTCACAGCGAGTTATCAGGGGAGACGTGCCCTCACGTAGCAGATTGCTCACCCACATACAGCCTAACGCGAGTAGCCTTAGCCTAGCTTAGCCCAGGTGACCAGACGTCCTCTTTTAAAAGAGGACGTCTGCTTGGTCTTGTAAGTTACGCTACGTGCAGCGAATCGGGATACAGATGCGCCGTTTACTACTACTACTAATATTGATAATACACACTTGATGCAAGAGGCTACATGCTGGTGGAGGGTGGATCTTCACCTTGTAATATTTTAATTTTAGTTAAGGAAATATGAACGTGAGAATATCAAACTCTATATGCAAGCAAATGAAGCATTGTTTATCCCAGACAGTCAAACAGATGCCAGGTCAAAAAGGGAAGATGTTTTATTTATTTACTTATTATCATAGATAAATATATTCCAGTTCATGGTATCCTATATGTGGTATCGTAAGTATCGGGTACCGTAATATTTTGGCAGGTATAGTATCACGGTCATAATTTGGGTATTCCGACAACCCTAGTCCCGCACCATCTCATTCATTCACATCGGCCATGACATCCACCATAATTGTCCGGTTTCGACAGTTCGCATTGCCCAAAACCGATCATTTGTGGGATTTCCAGGGTTTTCCCACCCATCGGCACCGAACTACAAGCTAAAATGTCAATTAACGGTCGCGCAAATGGTAACTGTCTAACCTAACTTTGAATGCGTAGTGATATGGAACGCTCAGGTCCATGTGAACAGCAACTGTACATTATTGCTTAATAACGCACCCACGCCCATATTATAATAGAATGTAAGAATGATAATGAATAATGCAGGCCATAATATGTTTAATTGAAGAAGCTTTAGACCAAAGGTGTAACTATTGAATGTATTGTAATATTAAGTTAATAGGGATTTGTGCACACAACATTTTGGCCGATTGGATAATGCACCTTGGAGTTGCATAAATGAGCAACGTGCTAAAAATGGGTGGGATATGGGATGGACTTAATGTTTATTGCCTTTTAATGAAAATACACCAAATTGTACTCCCAACCACAGCATGGTGCTAAGAGCAATCTGTAAGTTTGAAATATGGCTGTACGGTAAACCGTTTAAAACGGTATAAGATTTCCTTATGGTATGAATTTTCCCCGTACCGTCAAGCCGCAACAACTGCCATTACTTTTCGGCAGGCAGCAGGATTTATTTTTACACCTCATCGCTAGGCGCGCAGGGATCGGAGGTACTCGTCTTCCATTTATAGATAGTCGTGGTTATAACTTTGTAACAACAATGAATATCCCGCAACAAACGCTCTTTAGCAGGGTGAAACACCACAACATAAGTCAAACAAGAATCTGGATAATATGATAATAATCCTTTCGATTGGTCCTTGCAGGACCAACTGTCGGTCTGCTCAGACCCTAACAAGTTAAAGATATGGCACTATATCATATGAACAGCACAAAAAAAAGGTAGTATAAAAATATAAAGAGGGATTGATGCGAAAGACTTAACGGAGGATTTGCTTTCAGAGTCAGATCTGAAGTGGAAGAACTGCGTGGGAGTGTGCGAGGCCGGGAAACGCAGCAGACTTATCAAGCACATCCCTCCCAAAGCACAGTGGACACACTTGCCGTCGCCTCCTCCTCCTCCTTCACAGAGGGGCCTGGCCTCTCAAGAGCTACGTCCCGTTCTCAATTCAGTGTTGGATGTCATCACAAAGACTAGACCCCTCAAATTCAGGATATTATCATCAATATGTGAAGAAATGTGATCGGAGCACACAGCTGTTGTGGCAGTTAGTCCAGATGGCTTTCACGATGGATGGTAGTGTCCAGGGTTTTTGATCAGAGTGCACTTGACAGAAGAAGGAAATTACCTTGCCCATAAGTTTCATGAAACTTCTTACAAAGGTCTGCCCATCTATTTCTATTTTAGAAGGTCAAT